GAATAGTTACTAATGTGCCAAAAGCTGTCGTTAATTTAAGTACTCAAACTTAATATTATAACTGAAAATCTAAATAAATTCTCTTTAATTATAAGTATTTCATGTGGATCTTTAGAGAAATCAAAAGTTTGATAGCATCATTTTAATATAGAAACTGTCCAAAAAATAAGTATCAAATAGTAGTTTTTTTTTGTAAATTATAATTGCCAAAGGTCTATAACTCTAAAAGTTAATAAAAACTCAAAACATATAGATGATTAACTCTAATTTAATATCCCTAAAACCTATCTCGTAATTCAATGTGTCACTCTCTAAAAAACAATATTACTCGAAATCAAAAATCAAAATCGAGGGCAAAAAAAAAAAGAGAAAACAATTATTGTAAAATCTAGAAACTTAAACTTATTCTAAAATCGTGAAAAAGTTATAAAAGATAAGAAACTAAATGTGCTATATTTTTTCCAAAATATATTAACCTAATTCCATGTGGCACTTATGAAATCGAATTTGTTGCAAAGAAAGGTTAAAAATATATAAATTATAGGAAATTATTTTTTTAAAATCTAAAAACTTATTGTTAAAAAATTCTAAAATTACGAAAAAAATTATATAAGATAAGAAACAAACTATGCTACATTTTCTCAAAAGATGTTGACCTAAGTCTATGTGACACTAATGAAATTAGATTCAATCCAACAAAAAGTCAAACCAAGAAACCTATAAAATAATTTCTAGTGCTATGCATGATGTTTTTATCACCAAATCACCAAAACAAAATCTTTGGAAAAGAAAAAATATTAATTGAATTCGTTAGGAAGTAAGGTATTCAGAAAAAATCATAAATCTAAAAGACATGATAGGATACAAATATTATTTTCCTACCTAGAAAATGATTTTCAATGATATGCTTGATGGTGCTGTCACCAAAACATGATTTTTTGAAGAAATAAAGCATTCATTAAATTCGTAAGAAAGTAAGGTATTCAGAAAAAATCATAAACCTAAAAGAAAATGCACGAATTGATACATATCCCATTTCTTTTGCCTTGATGTCATCGTTAAGACATGAGACATTAAAGATAAAAAAGAATAACCCATTAGAAGCTCAATGAAATGTTATCTATTAAATGATACTCGTTATCTACAAAATAAGAGAGAGTCTAAGGAGTTAAGAAATAAGAGAAAAAAGTAGAGAAATTGTGCTTGCAACCTTGAGGCCTCAATTGTCTATCACCCAACCGCCACCTCACGTTTGAGTACGAAAAAGCTTCATTCATTTGCCCTCTCCAAGGTTTATATACCCACTCTTTTTTTGGGCCTTCTTTTTCCATCATTTGTGTGCCTTGATTAAGTTTAATATTTTGGGTGATGTGTTTAATTTTTTTATGCCCCAATCTGCCCTTTCTCATATTTAGGGTCTTTGAGCTTTAACATTTCATACTAATTATTCTCACTTTGGCAAATCTGTGTAAATCAATCTACTAAGAATAAAATTTTAAAATTTTAAACCATGTTCTTGACAAATTGAGATAATTATTAAGGTAATAAATCTTGAAAAAAGGTTTAAAATGTTAGTAATTAAATCCATATATACATGACGTAGATATAACTAAGTCTAGAGTCATTTATAAATATATTTTGACTTTTCTTCTAATATGATGAGATATAATAATTCATGCTTATTATGATTCATTAATGTAAAAATAAAATAGACAATTAATTCATTCTTAGTGATAAATAAGTATTTATCAGTTCCCAAGAATTGGTCTACTTAAATCATTTTGGTGCTTGACCTTCAAAATGAACCCTTGACATCCATAATTTTGTTCCTCAAAATAAGAATTTATTGAAAAAAAATCAGTAAATCCAACCTTATGAATCATTCTAAAAAAAAAAAGGCATTTCAATTTTTGTTCCTACGTACCTTGCTTCATGTCAATTTTTTGATGTTGTGTTAGGATGGCTTTGATGATTAGATCGACACATCATGACCATTGAATCAGCCTCTACTAGAGGAAGAGTTCCATCGTCTGAAAAGCTCTTTTTCACTAACTTGTGTAGCTATGATTCCACACCTGGTTTGGGCATTCTCTCCATAGCTTGGATTGAAGCATTCATCTACTATTGTAATGCCAAGATAGCCTCATTGTTCTCTCGCTTAGATGCTAACAAAGTTGTAGTCATATGTCGCGAATTCACCAAAAGTTCTTCCAACTCCACACTAGACACTCCAATTTGTAGTCACCAAAATTTAGAGGCATTGTTGGCTTTAATACCAAATCGATAAGACCCCGAAACCCTCATAAAGAAGAGAAGAACAGTTCTATTGATATCTCATAAGAGTACAAGCAAATCAAGCTCTCGAATGAAACTCAAGAGACTTTCCAAAGAAAGAAGAGAAAATAAAATAAAATAAATTCAATCACTCATATGTTCTACCTTGAGATTTCCTTCACAACTATTTATAGACAGCATCAAACCTTCTAGAAGGTGCTAATTGATTCCACACTTGTCTCAACGTTAGTAGAATTATGAATAGTTAGGACATTTAGACAGTTATTCATTTATATTGTTGTTTAAATGGGGATCTATTTAACTAACGACTTCCTAGTATGAGATCCTTCTAAAATAAGTTTCAATTTGGATTTAATAGTAAGTGAATCCGAAAATGGTGTCCCTTCACTCGACCGTTATGATAGTTGAACCGGAGATTAAACCGGTGTCCTGAGGAGCTCTCCTTCCTCCGCTTCTGTTTTTAGTAGGTGGGCCGGTTCTGACGAGAAACCCATCAATGGCCCAGATCGAGAGATCCGTTGCCTTCCCCGATGTCGACAAGCGATTCTTCTTCTTCTTCTTCTTCTTCTTCTTCTTCTTCGTATCCTTCTTCCTGAGGAGGAGGATGGTGGTTGCATGAAGCGTGGTGGGCGGAGGCGGGAGCGTACCCCGGCCGAGGCTGCCACCGAGGAGTGGGTGGCTATAGTCAACGACTTGCAGAGCGGGAACTTGTCCACCCGCCTCGCATTCCCATCATCTATAGAATCGACGCCGTCCACGGCCACAACAACGTCTTCAACACTACCATCTTCCCCAGTCACCAGGCAAGCCCCACGGCGGTGCCATCTTCTTCTCCTTCTTCTTCTTCCTGAATTCTCTCTTCCTCCTTTTGAGCAGGGACCCGGAGCTGGTGAAGAAGATCGGTGCCGCCACCGCGCTGGAGGTCAGAGCCACAGGCATCCAGTACACCTTCGCTCCATGCATAGCGGTGACATTCTGAAACCCCTTCCACCATGATCAGACTGTGAAATGTTGACCCTTAAGCTCAACCAGGAGATCTCCTTCCTTCCTGCTCGATCCATCGCACAGGTCTGCAGAGATCCGAGATGGGGCCGCTGCTACGAGAGCTATAGCGAAGACCCCGAGATCTTCCAGATGATGACCGAGATCATCCCCGGCCTCCAGGGCGATCCCCTCCATCCTCCAAGGGCGTCCCCTTCCTCGCTGGCAAGTAAGAAACCTCTCTCTTTCTCTCTCCTCTTTCTCTCTCCTCTTTCTCTCTCTGCTGTAAGTTGATGGTGGCGGCTCTCCAGGGAGAAGGTGACGGCCTGCGCGAAGCACTTCCTGGGGGACGGGGGGACCCAGAACGGCGTGAACGAGGGCAACGCCATGACTGACCTCCACGAGCTGCTGGGCGTTCACATGCCGGGGTACTACCAGGCGGTCATCAAGGGCGTGTCCACCATCATGGTCTCCTACTCGAGCTGGAACGGGAGGAAGATGCACGCCAACGGCGACCTCATCACGGGGTTCCTCAAGAATAAGCTCCACTTCAGGGTACGCCCCCCCGCCGCCATCGCCGGCGAGCTTATCGACCTTCTTCATCCTGCTCTTCTGCAATTGTTACTGTGTCTCCAGGGCTTCGTCATCTCCGACTGGCAGGGAATCGACAGGATCACTTCCCCACCCGGCGCCAACTACACCTTCTCCGTCGAGATCTCGGTCAACGCCGGCCTTGACATGGTGAGGACCATGCGGTTCCACCCCTTATTCTCTCTCTCTCTCTCTCTCTCTCTCTCTCTCTCTCCCGCCGCGGCTGGTGACCTTCTGCCGCCGTGCAGGGACAAGGATCCTCGCCGGAATCAGGGCCGCCGTGAACCCGTCGACGGAGGTGGTCTTCGCGGAGTCTCCTGAGAAGAGGGCAGTGGCGGCGGGGGATTCTCCTTCGCGGTGGTGGCGGTGGGGGAGACTCCCTACGCGGAGACAATGGGGGGCAGAGGTTCCCGTGGAACGTTGACTTGCCGACGCTGAGTTCTGGTCAGCTATTTTCTGGTTGGTCGTGAAGGTTGACTTCCTGTGGAAACCCTCCAGTGTCGTACACGTGTCGGTGAAAGGGGAGCAGAGGTTCGGTTGGTCCGTGATCCCTCCGTCCAGTCGCGGTACCCTCGACGACTTTGATTTCCCCCCTGCCCACTTGAGAGATCTCGGACCAGGCTTCCCTACTGCCTCTCTACCTTCCGCACCGGTCAAACCTCACTTTCGCACAGGACAAACTCTCTCTCTCTCTCTCTCTCTCTCTCCGTCAAACCCACAGAAATAGCGCTCAGCATCTTACGATCTGTCCGCCACTTGAGGAAGACGAGGCGTACTAGGTGGATCGTAGTGAAGAAGATTAGACCAACACCTGGTAAAAGCTTTGACCTTTTTCATACTTTTTTTTGACTTTTTTCCCGCTTGAATGATTTCATTTGCCGAAAACACTTTTCCAGACTTCCCCCCCCCTCCACGTCATTATTATTTTTCAATAAAATTTTACCCCAAGCCTTGAAGAAAAGCGAAGTTCACTTAGAATTTGTTGGCGGCGGCGAACTCCACGTCGCCGTCACCGTCGGTGGGCTCTTCATCTGTGGGCTCCACCGGAGAAATGATCCGCCGCCGGCGAATTGACGCAGGGGATGGTGATAAGGCCGACTGCCCTCTTCGTGGCCGCCGCGGTTATAGGCGGCATGGAGGAGCATCGGCGGCAGCGGGAGATGAAGGCCCAGAGCCTGGTTTTCGCGATTAATGGCGAGAGGTTCGAGCTCGCGAGCGTCGACCCGACCACCACCTTGCTCGAGTTCTTGCGGACCCGGACGAGCTACAAGGGGGCCAAGCTCGGCTGCGGAGACGGTAGATGTCTCCCCTTCTTCCTCCAGCTAGGGTTTTCTGGTTCGCCCATCCGTCCGGGAAAATCGGTAGAACTTTTAGGTCGCTAGGGTTTTCTGGTTTTCCTTCCTCCATTGTCATTCTTCAATCTGCCGGTTTTTTACCCTTTTCTAGGGGGATGCGGGGCCTGCGTCGTCCTCCTCTCGAAATACGACCCCGTTTCAGGGGAAATTGAGGATCTCTCAGTGAGCTCCTGCCTCACCCTCCTGTGCAGCGTCCACCTCTGCTCCGTCACCACCACCGAGGGCCTCGGAAGCTCGAAGGGCAGCGGCGGGTTCCACCCGATTCACCGGAGGATCGCCGGATTTCATGCCTCGCAGTGCGGGTTCTGCACACCCGGTGTCTGCATGTCCATCTTCTCCGCCCTGGTCAACGCCGACAAGGCCCCCCGCCGGCCGGATCCGCCGCCTGGCTTCTCCAAGCTCACCGTCGCCGAAGCCGAGAAGGCCGTCGCCGGCAACCTCTGTCGCTGCACCGGCTACCGCCCCATCGTCGACGTCTGCAAGAGCTTCGCCGGCGACGTTGACCTCGAGGACCTGGGGCTCAACTCCTTCTGGCGGCGGGGGGAGACCACCAAGGCCGGCGCCGCCGCCGTCGACATGCTCCCCTCCTACTCCCTCGGCGGCGGCATTGGCACCTTCCCGGACTTCCTGAAAGCCGAGATCAAGGCGTCCTTGTTGGATTCAGCCCCTGAGATTCCACAGTCCGCCATAGCCTCGAGCTTCGTCGGCTCCTGGTATGCTCCCAAAAGTCTGGGCGAGTTGCACAGCATTCTGAGATCGGAAGGGCCTGGGAACCGCCTGAAGCTGGTCGCCGGCAACACCGCCGCCGGCGTGTACAAGGAGGTGGACCGCTACGACAGGTACGTTGACCTCAGGCTGATCCCGGAGCTGAACGAGATCAGAGGAGGCGACCCCGCCGGGTTTGTGGAGATCGGGGCGGCGGTGAGCATCTCCCGCGCCGCCGTAGCTCTGGAGAGAGAGGGAGGCGCCGTCTTCTGCAAGCTCGCCACCCATCTGAGGAAGGTGGCCGCCGAGTTCGTCCGCAACACGGCGAGCATCGGCGGCAACCTCGTCATGGCGCAGAGGGGGAAGTTCCCGTCGGACGTCGCCACCATCTTCCTCGGCGCTGGCGCGTCTGTCTCCATACAGGTCGGTTGTCAGAGGTCGCTTCTCTCTCTAGAGGAGTTCTTCGAGATGCCCCCCATCGACGCCGGGAAGTTGCTGCTGAGTGTGAGGCTTCCCAGCTGGGCGGAGTCCGCCGGAGGAGAGAGAAAGTCAAAGTTAGTGTTCGAGACCTTCAGGGCGGCGCCCCGGGAACTTGGGAACGCCGTCGCCTACGTCAACGCTGCCTTCCTGGCCCGTGTCGCCGCCGGAGAGGCCTCTGGAGGGCCCGTCGTGGAGAGCTTGCGGCTGGCTTTCGGAGCCTACGGCGGGCGGCACGCCACCCGAGCCAAGAAGGTCGAGGAATTCCTCACCGGCAAGCCGGTCAACTCCGGCGTCATGCTGGAAGTGATCAGATTACTAAGAGAAGATATTTCGCCGGAGGAAGGCACTGATCACGCATCTTACAGAGTCAGCGCCGCCGCCGGTTTCCTCTTCAAGTTCCTCCTGCAGCTCGAGGAAGAACACGGCGGAGGAGGATCAGTGAGAGCAGTTGCTGGAGAGAAGGAGACCCTGCTTTTAAGCACCGGATTCCAGAATGAGCACATTTCGTTCTCAAACGGCGAGGTCTCCGCCGTCGATCGATCGGGCAGTCAACGGGAGAAGCTTCTACCCTCGAGGCAGGCGATGGAAGGGAGCAGGACAGAGTATCATCCCGTCGGCCAGGCAGTGAAGAAAGTCGGCGCGGAGATCCAAGCCTCCGGTACGCTCTCTCTCTCTCTCTCTCTCTCTCTCTCTCTCTCTCTCTCTCTCTCTCTCTTGTGATCCCGTTGACCAGAAACTCCATCTCTACTTTATCTGCTTTAAGTTAGTAAAAAAATGGAAAAACCCAGGTTAGATGGACGAACTTATTAGGAAATCTCGGTTGACTTTGTGCTTGCTCCTGGGGTCTGACCTTTTCAGGGGAGGCGGTGTATGTGGACGACATACCGTCCCCGATAGGTTGTCTGCATGGGGCTTTCGTGTACGGCACGAGGCCGCTGGTGCCGGTGAAGGAGGTCAACCTTAAGAACCAGATGGCAGCGGCAACGGAGGAACCCGTCGCGTTTATCTCCGTGATGGACATCCCGAGCGGTGGGAGGAACATCGGGACCGGGGCCGTTTTCGGCGATGACCCGCTCTTCGGATCTTCTTGCGCTGACTATGCTGGTCAACCCCTCGGCCTCGTGGTAACTCCTTTTGCTTTGTTTTGACTTGATTCCAGTGAGGGAAGAAAGAGAGAGAGAGAGAGGGGGTTGACCTCGTGAGTTGACCTTGCAGGTTGCAGAGACCCAGAGAGCGGCCAATGCCATCGCTCGGAAGGCGGAGGTTGTCTACGAAGGCGAGATCGCCGGGACACCGCCTATCATGTCGGTGGAGGAGGCCGTGGAGAGGAACAGCCTCTTTGATGTGCCGCCATTCCTCCAGCCCACCTCCGTCGGGGACTTTGACCAAGCGATGGAGGAGGCCGACCGGAAGATCCTCTCCGCCCAGGTGATAAAGAATAAGGAGAGAGAGAGAGTGTTTAAGGGTTGACTTTTGGTTTTGACTTTGTTCTATTCTTCAGATCGTTCTTGGGTCTCAGTACTACTTCTACATGGAGACGCAGACGGCGCTGGCCGTCCCCGACGAGGACGACTGCATGGTGGTGTACAGCTCTTCGCAGTGTCCCGAGCAGTCGCAGAAGATCATCGCACAGTGCCTCGGTCTCCCGCAGCACAACGTCCGCGTCATCACCCGCCGCGTCGGCGGCGGATTCGGTGGCAAGGCCGTTCGCTCCATCCCCGTAAGCCCCCCTCCGCCGCCGCTGCTCGCCATTTCTGCCCCCGCTGCTCGGACTTTGTCGCTGGTGCTCGCCATTATCGCCGCCGCTGGTAGTGCAGGTGGCGACGGCGTGCGCGCTGGCGGCGTTCAAGCTCCGGCGGCCGGTGCGCATGTACCTGGACAGGAAAACGGACATGGTGGTGGCGGGCGGGCGCCACCCGATGAAGGTGAGCTATTCGGTGGGGTTCAAGGAGACGGGGAAGATCACGGCGCTGCGAACGGAGATCCTTGTCGACGCGGGGACGACGACGGACGTGAGCCCGATCATGCCGCTGAACATCTCGGGAGCTCTGAAGAAGTACGACTGGGGAGCGCTCTCCATGGACTTCAAGATCTGCAAGACGAACCGCCCCACGAGGTCCGCCATGCGCGGTCCCGGGGAGGTCCAGGGGACCTTCATCGCCGAGGCGGTGGTGGAGCACGTCGCCGACGAGCTCGCCGTCGACCCAGAGGCAGTCAGGGAGGTCAACATGCACACCTTCGACAGCCTCCGGCGGTTCCACGGGCCCAGCGCCGGCGACCCGCCGGAGTTCACCCTGCCGGCGGTCTTCTCCCGGGTGGTGGCGACGGCGGAGCTCCGCCGTCGCCGGGAGGAGGTCCGGCGGTTTAATGGGGAGAACCGGTGGCGGAAGCGGGGGATCTCTCACGTGCCCATCTTGCAGCCGGTGTCCTTGCGGCCGACACCGGCGAAGGTCGGAGTCCTCGGCGATGGTTCCGTCGTCGTCGAGGTCGGCGGCGTGGAGCTGGGCCAGGGGCTCTGGACCAAGGTGGCGCAGATGGCGGCGTACGCCCTCGGCCACCTTTTGGACGAGGGGGGTGGCGTTGACCTTCTCCATCGTGTGCGGGTCGTACAGGCTGACTCGCTGAGCTTGATTCAGGGGGGATTCACCGCCGGCAGCACTACCTCCGAGTCGAGCTGTGAGGCCGTGCGCATCGCCTGCAACGAGCTGGTGGCCCGCCTCATGCCGCTCAAGAATAGGCTCCTCGAGCAGTTGGGGTCCTCCCTCACCTGGGACCTTCTGATCGGACAGGTAAATCAGTCAATCAAACAAATCGATCGATCAAGCTCTGAAAAGTCAACGGCGACGACACCACCTCACCATCTGTTTTGTAGGCGGCGATGGTGTCGGTGAACTTGTCGGCGAGTACTCTGTTCTGTCCCCAGGGCCAAGCCGTCAGGTATATAAATTACGGCGCCGCCGTGAGCGAGGTAGGCAGTTCTCCGAGATACGCGGAAGAAGATGGATGATCGATCTTTCTTTTTCGGGATTGTTCTGAGACGTTTGACGTCATCATCAGGTGGAGGTCGATCTTCTCACCGGCGCGACGAAGATCCTGCGCTCGGACCTCGCCTACGACGGCGGCCGGAGTTTGAACCCCGCCGTCGACCTCGGACAGGTTTGACTTCAGAAGCCTTAATCAGCGGCGGCACTAGCGACGGAGATGAAGGAGAAGAAGAAGAAGAGTGAAACCCTAATCCCTCTTCCTCTGTCTCTCTCTCTCTCTCGTTCTCTCAGATCGAGGGCGCCTTCGTCCAGGGACTTGGGTTCTTCATGTCGGAAGAATACGTCTCGAACTCGGAGGGGCTCGTGACCACGGAGGGCACCTGGGATTACAAGATCCCCACCGTCGACACCATCCCCAAGCAGTTCAACGTCGAGCTCATCAGCTCCGGCCACCACCAGCACCGGGTCCTCTCCTCCAAAGGTCGCTGCTGCCCACTTATCCCTCCCTCTCTCTCTCTCTCTCTCTCTCTCTCTCTCTCTAATGGATGGTGTGTGTTGTGGGGGTGCAGCGTCGGGAGAGCCGCCGCTGCTGCTGTCGGTGTCAGTGCACTGCGCGACGAGGGAGGCGATCAGAGAGGCGAGGAAGGAGCTGGCGGCGCTGGGGGGGCCGGAACCGCCGCCGGCGGTGTTCCAGCTGGACGTCCCGGCCACCATGCCGGTGGTCAAGAAGCTCTGCGGCTATGACAACGTGGAGAGGCACTTGGAGGCCGCCCTCCGCCGTTGAAGCCGCAGCTCGCGGCGGCGCTGGCCGCCTCTCCGGCTGTCGCCAAGACCAGGCCTGCCGAGCTTGCTGGCGCTTGAACTCTGTCAAAATCTCCCTCTCTCTCCCCATGACGCTGTTTTGCCGCAAGTGTGGCCAGCGGCGGCTAACGGCTAGTTTTTTTTTACTCGTGTAATGCTGGACCGACGACCGACACTTGTCCCGGGTCACGAGAAAGAGAAAGGGCTCGCCGTCTTCTATCCTCTTTCTCTCTCTTAAAAGCCGCCTGTTTTCTCACCTCGGCTCAAAGGGCGAGTCGCAGCGCTGAAGTTGGCCAGCAATGCCGATCAGCCGTTGAGGAGATTTGCTAGGGTATTTCCTCTCCTGGCGGAGTTTTCCTTTGAACAGGAGACGGCGATGGCGGTGACGACGGCGCCGGCGGGAGGCTCGGGGTTACCCCTGCTAGCGCTCGTCGCCTTCCTGGGGCTCACTGTGGCGGCCGCCGGAGAAGGAGCGGCGGCCGCGCCGCCCAAGTACAAGGACCCCCGGCAGCCGGTTATGGCCCGCGTGAGGGATCTCATAAGCCGGATGACACTTGCCGAGAAGATCGGCCAGATGACCCAGATCGAGAGGTCCGTCGCCTCCCCCGACGTCGTCAAGCAATTCGCCATTGGTACTCCCCTCTCTCTCTCTCTCTCCCTTTTTTTTCTTCTTCTCCTTCGTATCCTTCTTCTTGAGGCGGAGGATGGTGGTTGCAGGAAGCGTGATGGGCGGAGGCGGGAGCGTGCCCCGGCCGAGGGCCGCCGCCGAGGAGTGGGTGGCCATGGTCAACGACCTGCAGAGGGGGAGTTTGTCCACCCCCCTTGGCATTCCCATCATCTATGGAATCGACGCCGTCCACGGCCACAACAACGTCTTCAACGCCACCATCTTCCCCCACAACGTCGCCCTCGGCGTCACCAGGCAAACCCCACGGCGGCGACGGCCCCCCGCCGCTGCCACCTCCCTCCCTCCCTCCCTCCTCCAGCCGGTGGTCCTGAACTCTCTTCCTGAATTCTATCTTCCTCCTGAGCAGGGACCCGGAGCTGGTGAAGAAGATCGGTGCCGCCACCGCGCTGGAGGTCAGAGCCTCAGGCATCCAGTACACCTTCGCTCCATGCATAGCGGTGCCATTCTGAAACCCCTTCCACCATGATCAGACTGTGAAATGTTGACCCTTAAGCTCAACCAGGAGATCTCCTTCCTTCCTGCTCGATCCATCGCACAGGTCTGCAGAGATCCGAGATGGGGCCGCTGCTACGAGAGCTATAGCGAAGACCCCGAGATCGTCCAGATGATGACCGAGATCATCCCCGGCCTCCAGGGCGATCCCCCTCCATCCTCCAAGGGCGTCCCCTTCCTCGCTGGCAAGTAAGAAACCTCTCTCTTTCTCTCTCCTCTTTCTCTCTCCTCTTTCTCTCTCTGCTGTAAGTTGATGGTGGCGGCTCTCCAGGGAGAAGGTGGCGGCCTGCGCGAAGCACTTCCTGGGGGACGGGGGGACCCAGAACGGCGTGAACGAGGGCAACGCCATGACTGACCTCCACGAGCTGCTGGGCGTTCACATGCCGGGGTACTACCAGGCGGTCATCAAGGGCGTGTCCACCATCATGGTCTCCTACTCGAGCTGGAACGGGAGGAAGATGCACGCCAACGGCGACCTCATCACGGGGTTCCTCAAGAATAAGCTCCACTTCAGGGTACGCCCCCCCGCCGCCATCGCCGGCGAGCTTATCGACCTTCTTCATCCTGCTCTTCTGCAATTGTTACTGTGTCTCCAGGGCTTCGTCATCTCCGACTGGCAGGGAATCGACAGGATCACTTCCCCACCCGGCGCCAACTACACCTTCTCCGTCGAGATCTCGGTCAACGCCGGCCTAGACATGGTGAGCTAGCAACCATGCGAGTCAACCCCTTCTTCTCTCTCACACACTCACTGAGGATCTTCCATTATTCTTCTTCTTCTTGGTTGCACCGGCGGAGCAGATCATGGTGCCGTTCGACTACCAGGGATTCATCGGCAACCTCACCTACCTGGTCAACCACAACTTCGTGAACATGTCCCGGATCGACGACGCCGTGGAGAGGATTCTCCGAGTCAAGTTCACCATGGGCCTCTTCGAGAACCCCCTCGCCCCCCTCCACCTCTCCCACCACCTCGGCGCCACCGTATAGATCCACCTCTCCTCTCTCTCTCTCTCTCTCTCTCTCTCTCTCTCTCTCTCTCTCTCGCTCTAAGTTCTCTCTGTTCTATGTGGGGGAGCAGGAGCACAGGGAGCTGGCGAGGGAGGCGGTGAGGAAGTCGCTGGTCCTGCTGAAGAACGGCGGGGCACTTCTTCCCCTGCCCAAGAAGGTCTCCAAGATCCTGGTAACGGGCTCCCACGCCGATAACCTCGGCTACCAGTGCGGCGGCTGGTCCATCGAGTGGCAGGGCCTCAGCGGCAACGACCTCACCACCGGTAAGGAACTCTCTCTCTCTCTCTCTCTCTCTCTCTCTCTCTCCCGCTCCCGCCGCTGCCAGTGACCCTTCTACCACCGTGCAGGGACGACGATCCTCGCCGGAATCAGGGCCGCCGTGGACCTCTCGACGGAGGTGGTCTTCTGGGAGTCGCCGGAGAAGAGCGCGGTGGCGGCGGGGGGCTTCTCCTTCGCGGTGGTGGCGGTGGGGGAGACGCCCTACGCGGAGACGAAGGGGGACAGCGGCGAGCTCGCCATAGCCGAGCAAGGGAGGAGCACCGTGGAGAACGCCTGTGCCGCCGTTCGCTGCGTGGTGGTTCTGGTCACCGGCCGGCCTGTGGCGGTGGAGGGGATGGTGGCGCAGGTGGACGCGCTGGTTGCGGCGTGGTTGCCAGGGACGGAAGGCGGCGGGGGGATCGCCGATGTGCTCTTCGGGGATTACGGCTTCTCCGGGAAGCTCGCAAGGACCTGGTTCAGGTCCGTGGACCAGCTCCCCATGAACGTCGGAGACCCGCACTACGACCCGCTCTTCCCCTTCGGCTTCGGTCTCTCTACAGAACCCTCCACCAGGTAGTGGTAGTCTCTCTCTCTCTCTCTCTCTCTCTCTCTCTCTCTCTCTCTCTCTCTCCTCTTTCTCTAGGGGGTTGACTGTACATGAAAGACCCGCTTTTGATTTAGTTTGACAAGGAGGTAGTAAGTAGTAGTCGTTACTCTCTCTGTCTCTCTCTATCTCTCTCTCTCTCTGGTGGGTTTCTTGTTTAGGTAATGTCGGTTGAAAACTGTTGATAGGTGGATCTCGGCCGGTGATCAGGGAGCGTGGAGACGATGGACGGCTAGGATTCTTCGGTCTGTGGGCGTGGCTGTCGTCACCTGGCATATCCTCCGTTCGTGAACTGCACCTTCCTCTCTCTACTTGTCCGAAAAATGATCATTTAGGGAATATTTCCATACTCTCCATGCGTAAAGAACTGAGGGAATATTCGTTCGTTGACCCGCAAGTCTGTGGTCAAGGCCCTGTCCGCTGCTGGAGAGAGAGAGAGAGAGAGAGGCCACTTCTCGGGGCATTTCTCATGGGCTGGACCGAGCCCGGTCTTGGGAAAAGGCGGGATTTAATATTCCCGCCCGCACGTGTGAGGCGATGATGGCACGTGCAGCGCCGTCAGAGCAGGGGTTGCTCGTAATACCTATTGTACCCTCAGGCTCACTATACGCAGAGATAAAGGATCATGTAAATATAGGTTCTTTGAAGGGTATATTTGGTCTGAGATATTCACCCTTGAGGAAATAGCGAAAGCAGAAGGGGAGAAAAGAAGCCTGTGTTGTCTTCTGCGCTCTCGCCCCCGCGCCTAAGCTTCCGCTCCTACCCCTTCTCGAGGGCGGCCACACAGGCCCCTTCGCCGGCGCCGCCTCCCCTCCTCCGCCTTCTCTCTCTCTCTTTCCCTCTCACTGACTCTCACAGTATATATTATATATTATATATACTATCTATCTGTGTCAGTATTTTGGTCTTGAGTGTGACGAGCGAAGGTGGGGGGAGGAGGAAGATGGCGGAGGACAACTCGCAGAAGGGTGGGTTACTCGATTGTTAATTTCCCGTTTTTCTTTCTCGCACTCTCTTCATCGTGGCTCTTTGGTCGGGCCTCCTTGTTTCTTTTCTTTGCGATCCTCGGTGTCAAGTGAGGCGGGCGTGGTCGACGAGTGGCTCCTGAGAGGCCCTCTGGCTATTGACGGCAGCTCCATCGCTAATGTTCTGTTCTTTGCATCGCCAATGTCTGGTTCGATCGTGACGATTCTTCTCTCATTTTAAATGTGGTTCTTCTCCTTTATCGCTATGTGGGTTTTGTGGGTGGAATAGTTGAGTTAAGGTGTTGTTGGAGCTACTTTCATCTAGTAGCTCATGAAACCATCTGTATCAGGGCCTAGTTGGGCATCATCCGGTTGGCTTGCTGGGGTTTAACCTGCATTTTAGCATCACATTATGTCTTTGATTTCGTGATGGAAGGCAAAGTGGATATCGCATCATATAACTGCTTGTTCTTCCTGCCGATGCTCTGGTCTGGTCTGTTCTGTTGCATCCTATTTGTTGACCTTGTAGGTCATAACAAATCCCAAACTAATAGCCTCACGGTTCAACATCCGGGCCAGTTTCAAAAGCATTTATCTAGCAGTGCTCAGAGGTGAGTGAAGGGAATTACAAAGGGCTTATGTGGATCGGATTCGTTTATCTCTGGTGTTCACAAAGACGCTTGAAACAGCATTGATGGATAAGATGTCGGATGATTCTATCTTCAGAGCTTCCTTCATCTTTTTCTTTTTTTTTTCATCTGTGGCCAAATATAGAAAAACCATGGTTTCTATTTCAACTTTGATTTTTTTATAGTTGACCTCGGAAGCAGCTTCCTGGTCGTTGGAAATTCTGTCCATGGGTTTATCTTGGCGATAAGTCCTTCCTCAGTAGTAGTTACACAACTGAAATTGGGAACTCTATAGTTTAGAATGCGAATGATCTACACAGTAAAAACTGATGACAGAGTAAGCAATCACATGATAGCATAAGAGATTCCTGATGTTTTTGTAAATCCCTGAACTGCTATGTTCCTCGGGCCTATTTGTTTTGGGGATTTACTTTGGTCCCCCCCTCCTTTCCTCCCAAAATAATGCCATGCTGCAATCGTTTCATAGCATGTTTGGTAGTTCTTGTCCACAGTTTCTGCGGCTAAGTGCACTGTTCTGGGGTGAGGGTATTTCTTTAAAATCGACAAGAAAGGCGAAATAGTTAATATTTTCCTAACAACATCGGATGGCTTCATCAAAATACCCTCAGGGGATGGCTGTTAATCCGAGGGATATTGTTCATTGCAACTTTGCTTGACATTTCTCTGGAAGATAGCTGTATCATCTTTGTGCATTGTATTCCATAAGCTTTTTGGGTTAGTGAAACGCTTTTTTCTTCATTTCAGTAGAAGGTAAAATGTGTGAGAGAATAGGATGCAGCAAGAGCCTGATAAACCTTGGAAAAATGGATTCACCTTGCAAACTATCTTGCAAACTATTTAATGCTCACTGGCATTTCATTTCTGGTTTCACCTTTTCTAATCATCAGATGCTTTGAATCTGGTGGCCAATGTGAAACATGGGTAGCCTCCCTTGGTTTCCGTGCTTTGTATCTGTAATGCTTTTATTCTGTAGAATTTCTTCCCGAATCCCTCCCCATTGTCTGTCGACCCAATTGAAAAGCTTTCACCCTGAAGTCAACAGTCAATCCCGACTCTGAAGTCAACCATGCCCCAGTGTTAGATTCTTTGAGTTAATGATGTGAACACTTGACTTCCCTCCCACCCCTCAACCCCAAGTTCTCCAGCACAAAACTTGATGGGTCAACCGTTTAGGTTCTGTACAGTGAGCTGTCTTGCCTGGGAGACTATTATGGGCTCTGTTTCATCCAATCTGATTCATGCCCGCTGTTCGCTTCCTCCACAGGGGTGACAGATTGCTACGTTTTCAAGAGCCGCCTGCAGGAATATGCGCAGAAAGTTGGTGTTCCCACTCCGGTGTATCAAACTGTGAAAGAAGGGCCCTCCCACGAGCCCGTTTTCAAGTCCACTGTGATTGTGAATGACGTCAGATACGATTCTCTCGCCGGGTTTTTCAATCGCAAGGCAGCAGAGCAGTCGGCGGCAGAGGTTGCACTCGCGGAAATAGAGAAGTCTGGGAAAATGACGGAGTGTTTGCCCACAGTTGTAAGTTTCTTGCCGATCCGAAGAGGGAGGATGCCCCTTCTTGCTATCTCACTGATTCCACTGAAGAGGGAACATGGGACTGAATGCCCCAGAGATCTCCGCTCAGATTTCTTGGATCCTTGCTTGGTATCTCAGACCCAGCATGCGTCTCCAGCTTTTCTTATTCTTGGGCGTGAAAATCCTCATAAAAATTCATCTTTTTGTTCTCATTTCCGATGTCTTCCTAGATTTCTCTCTCTAGCCGTATCATATCGTGGTATACCTTTTTTTCTGGATGAGGCACATGCATGAGATCTTAATTGAGCTGAAGCCCAGAGCATGATTGGTCTTCACCCCTTGTTTTTTTTCCCTTTTTGTCTTCGTTGTTCATCTCGTTTTGATCTATGATTCCTTTTTTTTATCTTTCTCTGCGCCTGGTAATGGCCTCACCAGCACGAGACAGGCCTGTGCAAGAACCTGCTCCAGGAGTATGCTCAGAAGATGAACTACGCGATTCCTTCATACCAATGCAACAAGCAGGCCTCGGGAAAGCTGCCCTTCTCCTGCACCGTCGAGATCGGAGGAATTCAGTACATCGGAGCCGCAGCGAGAACCAAGAAGGAGGCCGAGATCAAAGCTGCCCGGACCGCACTCTTGGCGATCAACTCGACTTCATGTATGAACAATAATTTTCTTTTCTTTTTCTTTTTTTTTTTTGTTAGTTTGATAATCCTCTGTTAAAGCTTCAGATTCCCGTTGCCAGGGGGCTATGGGATAAACGGAGTGTCTCAGTACACGGTTCTCCCGGGCAAGAAGAAGGGGAAGGAGTCGGCGGCACCGACAGAAGCGGTCAAGAACGTCAAACCCAGGAGAGCAGAGTTCAAGAAAAAATGGCCCAAGAGAAAATTCCCCCGGAACAAGGCCCGTTGGTTAAAGCCCGACAACAATGATCTGGGGACTGATGGAGATGGCCCCGGGGCAGAAGCTGCCAATGGCGAGGTGCCAGCGGTGGTCAACGGCTCTAACTTTGGGGAGAACAATGAACCAAATCCGTGCCCGACGGTCAACGGGGAATTCCCGGGTGGCTCGACTGCGGTGTTGGCCGAGGTTCCTCCTTCTGCCGAGGAACCAGGCGCCATCCCATTCACAGTCTCCAGTGATCATCATATTAGAGAAGATGGATCCGTTCATCATTCTGAAGATGGAGTTTTGACCAGTCTCATCCGCTTGGGAGGCGGCGATAACCCGCAGTGGTAGCGGGCCCTCCATAGCCGCGGAGCTGCGTGATCCAGAGAAAAGCCTGAGAAATAAGCGATTTTGTGCACTGCGGACTACGATTATTTGAGCCCAGTGGAGTGTAAATATATTTCAGCCCCCCGGTGGCAATTTACCAGACGAGGCGATGTAGCAGGCGGCGCTCCATTCGGAATGCGGTCCGATGGAATGAAGGTTCCCATTTCTTTTGCTTCAGTCAGGAGCGTGTGTCGTATGATCTTCAAGAATGATGAAGAAATGGAGAAAGTCTGTGTGATCTTCTCCCTGGATCATCGCCGACCTCACTAGATTCGTAGTTTGTGATTATCTCGGTCTCCTCCTGTACGGATTTGCAGGTTGCCAATCTCTGCACAGATTCCTTCCGCCGGCCTTCCGTTGACTTTCTTGCCCGCTTATCCGTTAACACCCTTTTTACGGATTTTTCAAAGAAGAATGCGTCGGCTCTTGTCCGAAGGTTGTGAGGGGGAGAAATCGCAAGGGAATGAATATCTCTTTAGCGAGCTTACAGTCGATGTCCGCGAGGTTGCTCACCCGCTTCAATGCCAGCCCTCGGAGGATGATGACAGACAGTGAGGCATTGGAACCTTCCTCCATGGCGAGCGTGGCCATGGTGATGATGAGAAAGAAAGAGAGAAGAGAGAGCGGCAGAGGACCCTTCCTCTTCATTGACTCGCGGCGTCCGAGGTAGGAGGGGGGTCCTCACCGGCGAGGTCCAGGGACCTGAAGTGCTTGCCGTCGATGAGGTACGTCCCGATCGCCAGGCGGACTGCCCACACGTCCATGGGCTTCCTCCCCACTATTCTGCACATATGACAAGAGAGAAAGAGAGAGAACTCAAGACATCTGGTCATTCGTTCGCTCGTTCGATTCGGAGGGACTGTGTCGTCTCGTTCCTCACCTCCCCACGTCGCCGGGCTTGACGAGCCCGTTGTTAATCCTCAGGCTGGGCATGGCGGTGGCAGTCTTCAAGGTCGGCGGCGCCTCCACGACGATGATCGGAGACCCAATCTTCAACTCGCCGGAGTCCGCCCGGCGGGCGGGCTCCCGCTGCGGCTGCCCGCCGGCGGCGCCGCACCTCGTCGGCACGCAGACCGCACACGAGGCACGCCACTGCGCCGCCCCGCCGCAGAGCCCCGAGGCCATGGCTGGCGCTAAAGTGGCCCGCATGAGAGAGAGAGAGAGAGAGACGTAACACAGAAGAAGGGGGTCTTATCCGCAGCAGGGATGTGAGGAGAGGAGGAAAACCATTACTGGGCTCGGAGAATTTACACGTACGTAGAGGGTAACCCAATTCCCGTAAATTGGACGGATGACGGATGCACAAAAGAAGAGAGAAGAGACCCAAGAGAGAACCCAACAAAAAAACCCTCCTTTTTTTCTCCCTCTTCCTTCTCCCTGCCCTCTCTCTCTCTCTCTCTCTCTCTCTCTCTCTCTCTCTCTTCTTTATAGATCATCGTCATCCTCATTTACAGTCCCTCATCTCTCTAGCCCCGGAGTTATTTCTTGGCATAAGAGAGGTACGGGTCCTGGGCCAGCGTGAGCACGTCGGGCCTCTCCACCTGGTTGTACGTCAGGCACCGCCGGATCAGCTCCTGAGAGACCCACCACAGAAGCAGAAAAACACAAGCAGATTAGAGAGAGAGAGACAGGACCCAGATCGATGGAGGCGGTGCTTGGATGAAACGGCAGGGATAGAGATGAGTTACAGCAATCAATGAAGAAATAATGCAGGAAGATCACCAAATCTCCAAAAGAGATAGAGATAGATAGAGAGATAGATAGATAGAGAGAGAGAGAGAGAGAGGGAAGCAATCACCTTCACCTCGTTTGAGACAGCGGGCCGAGAAGGGAATTCCACCTTCCGGGCATTGACGATGGTGGCCTCGCGGAGGATCCTCTCCTGGCTCTGGTCGTGCCCGAACGGGCGCTTTCCGAAGAGCATCTGATACAGGATGACACCAGCCGACCACACATCCACCTGCGCTTTCACAGACCCACAGCTTTTTTTTTAACACGCGGCTCCCTTGGATCAAACAAGACTGCTATAAACATGATCAAAGCCTCGTAAGGTCGGCTCTAGACACAAAATATGACAGATCACGAGGAAGAAGGCCTTCTACGAGACTTCCCTAGCGAAGAACTGGAGCATGCATGGTATAGTTCATATGGAAAGTAATTATTTCACTCTAAGAACCTTAGTCAGTAACGTAACTCAAGGCAGCAGAGATTGAAAAAAACAGAGAAAAAAACAGCAGAGGGGCGGAGATTAGATTCCCTGGTCAGTTTACTGCCCAAGAACATGCCGATTAGTTCATTTGTACAGACCTTTGATGATATCAGCGGCGTTTTGCTGCATTCGAAACACTCTGGGGGCAAGTACCTGAAGAACAGCGACAGAACCATCAGGGTTAGACGGCATTTCTTCATAAAAATAGGAGCCCAAAGCGAAGAACATAAAGAACCAGTAGAATAAAGAGAGAGGAACCAGCAGGAGTAAACCAATATTTTCGAGTGCCAAGAGAAAAAGAAATTTACCCAGTTAGAGAGAGAGAGAGAGAGAGCCTATTCAATGGATCTATAAACGTAAGGAGAAATTATCGATAAAGGGTAGGCATTGCTGACCTTATATAACTAGATTCAAGAAAGACGGTATGAGATCAGAGAATGGTCTCCTAGCTAGTATAGCAGGAACACGTTCACAAAATTATGGAACGAAAAAGCACAGTTCTGAAGTTAGACTAGGGAATCGATTAGCTCCTACAAGCTTGTGTACTACCCGAAATAGAAGTTTGACAAGAAGATGGTCTCTTATATCTGCAGAAGCCTAGTTTACACCTCAACTCAACCCACAATATGGTTTCTGAATGGCTACATTTTTTGGTACATCCGATACAATATGCATAGCCTGTTGAAGGTCATTCATTCACTCTAAATGGGACGACTCCGAGTTTTAAAAAATATATATATACATTTTCTGTAATAAATTCATTGTAAAAAGTATGGTAACAGGTTAGGGACAAAACTGCATTTGAACATAAAAAGCTTCTGAGATAGTTTCAGTCGCTGCAATGTTAAAATATAATAATGGAGGCCGTTTGATCTCCGATAAGAACAGTTTTCCTGAACCTGAAGTGATCAAAACATGGATAACATGAACAAAAGATGGTGGAGAGGCATGAAATCACATGCAAGCATCGTATTGATACCCCACCCGCTGGTTTAAGGATGAACCTGAATTCAGAACCCATTGAGACCAACCCACTTAAGCATGCATATCCGGGTGAACAAAAAAAAAAAGAAAAAAGACCAGAAATTTGACAGGCTACTAATCTCAACTTAGTCAAGATGATTTCAGATTGATCCCAAGATTCCGGTCACTTTCGATCAGCTACATCTGATCTTGGTTTTTCTACACATGCCACCCAGATACAAGAGCTCCATATCTGATCTGGCATTAACCATTCTCTGCGTTGGTATTTTACAATGGCAATGATACAGCTTAGCATCTCAACTATTTTATCTCTGACATTGGGAAGAAACGAACTGTAATTTTTCAAATTAAGAGAGCACTGAACACAAACATGAATCACTTTCCCTAAGACAATTAAGTTGAATCTCTACAGAGGCGCATTGCCCTTATTACCAGTAGCCATTAAATCCATGATTCTTCAACAATTTAAAAACTATCTAGTATATGCCTACGCTCATCTGTTGATAAGAAAAAGGCATGATCCAAGAGAAACTTCCACCGAACTCTATTATTGATCTTAAAAGAAAAGATTTATGATATTAGACGTCATGATACCGCCAACAGCTTTTACCAAGTAATGTGGTAAAAGAAATTCAACAGCAGAGAACCGATCAGAACTTGTTTGGTTTCCATACAAGGATAAAGAGTGCAACGCACACAATTACAGGGTATATCTAAAACATTTGCAATCTAGGAAGAATAAACGACAAATAATGTTCTTTGTAAGTACGAAGTGGAAATAGGGGAGCATACCAATATGTTCCAGCTCCTTGGGAAGTAAGTTCAACACCCTGGGATCCGACATCGTCCTCCACTATCTTGCTAAGCCCAAAATCAGTTAGTTTTGCGATGCCAACTTCGTCAAATAGTACATTTCCAGGCTTCAAATCATAATGAATGATTTTCTGTGGTCTCTTATTTAAATATACGAGACCTTGAAATATTTGAACTATTATAATCCTTGCTTCTCTCTCGGGAAGAATAGGAGTCGCTTTAAGAACCGCATCAAGATCCTTACCTGGTGAAGAATGCAGATTGCAACAAATTAGGTTCAACTGTCTCAATTTCTGCACATTTCTCACGCAATTCGTCTTCAAAAGTAGATAACCACGATCACTTTCATAGAATAAATGATGCGCATTAAATAAATAAATAAATCATAAAAGATTAATGGCGTTTCCATCTTAGTCAATCACATAATTGCCCATTTATGATCCAAAAGCAGGTACGACTAGATCAATGTCATGCACAACAACCCAGAAAGTGCAGATCCGGATTAATAACAAAAAGAAAGCTTCTAATCTGGTTGTGAGAACTACGCAACAAGCCATGATAGCCAGAACATGATGTTCATTTGAACTTTGATCCAATGATAGCACATATTTTCCTTAACACCACGAACTCCATTACAAGGATTGCAATAATCTGCTACCATGTCCATGTAGGAAAGAAGAATATAAAATTGCCACCACAAGACTACTATCTAATTTATGGTAGGCTTCTTGAAATGGATCAAGGAGTTAAGGACAGTAAGAGCAGAGTACCGGCTGCAAGACAAAATATTTGCAGAAATTTCTAAAGATTCACATCCCTTAATTCTTAATCAATTCCCTATGCTTTCTTTGTTTCCTTAAATAATTCAGAGGAGAAAAAAAATCAATGGGAGCAGACAAACGAAGGATGAAAGAGTATTCCGTGCCATAGATAGATTTTCCAAACCGGAAGACCTTTGAAAACTATGAGAGAAGAAAGGGGGAAGTGAAGTTCAACAGGATGAAAAATATTCAAAGGGAGGAAATTCAACATAGTATGACAGGAAACTAAGCTCAACAATAAAGAAAAAGATCAAGCTTACATACCATTACAATACTCTAAAACAGTACAAAATGTGTCGTGGTCAATCTCAAAGATATCCCACAATCGCACAATGTGAGGATGCACCAGTGTCTTGTGAATGTCGTATTCACGAGTTGCATGTCTTATATAACTTTTTTTCTTCTCCTCGCTCCACTGGGGATTCAACCCATGAAGCTTACACGCGACGTATCTATAATCCACCAAGTCAAATGCCTGCTTAAAAGTTTCCACTTCAAGTCACTGTCACTGCAAAAAAGTGTATGCTCACCATTGCCAATAAAGGAAAAACTGGAAACGAAGGTAGTGGGAAAAGATATCTAGGGCAACGATTTGCCCTAGATATCCAGTTTCTAAAATTAACTATATCTCTGGTATTAGTTACTCTCCACAGGAGTATTCAGGATTAACAGCAAAGATAAAATATGCATAAGATTTGCACCTTATAAACCTCACTGAACCCTCCTTTCCCAAGAAGGTTCATGAGAGCATAGCGGTTGTTGAGAATCTGGAAACTATTGAAACGGGATCCATCCTCATCTCTTATGCGCTTCATTTCTCGTATTAGCCTTCCTTTTTCAACCTCATAACGATCTCTTTCCCTCATGGAAGACTCTTCTTCCTAAAGAGAATTTCAAGAAGCATAGGAACAAGATTGTTACAACACAGAAAGTGTCACTTAATTGCTAAATGAAAAATTGGAAGACAGAATCTTACACGTTTGATACTTGCTAAACGAGATTTGCAAATTTCATCCTGTATAAGAAAATCCTCCTCTGATATCACTAATTCATCACTTCCATCACCCTTATCTGCTGAACAAAAAGGAGAAAAGAAAACGGGATTTAACTGATAAATTAACAAGAAGCCCCATATTAAAAGTAATCAAGAGATATATCAAGAATGAATATATACCATTGAAGATCATGTTACCGTCAAATGAAAAGCTTTATCCAAGGTAACAGGACATAAAAAATGATGCAATTTCGAGGATTTGATTAATTATCAAAATCAATAATGAAGCACAAACTCCATCTTCATGATTCAAATTCTAGAATATTTTACCCACAGAGAGAATCAAAATATGTTCAGAGTTGCCAAGGCCCTATGCATCAATAAGAAAGTAATTACTCAGACTGAATTCTCAACACATTCAAGCATGAGTTTCCCATTATGGTAGAGGAAACTGTCATCTTAATATAAGAAATTCCTCATAATCCATCATTCCTGAATAACAAGTTAATCTCTTGGAATCAATTATTCAACAAGAATTTAATAAGCCTAAGAAGCACACAAGGAATTCCATAGAAATCTAGTCACTGACTGTATGACATATAACAGACGAGAAGAACAAGATATTGATAAAATCTCAATGGGATGCTTCTATGCGGGCTTTACGAAAATGTTAGGGTTATTATGCGAAATACATTCGAAGAAATTACCAGATTGACGCTTCCTTAGCGTTTTCCTATGTCTCTCGATGGCCTCCTTTGTCTCCAACAAAAATCGCTGTGAAGGCAAAACTGGCAATGAGTTCATACACGTTTAGGTAACAATCCATCAAGCATGAATGATATTTTAACCACTACTTGTTAAGGCTTTTTTCCTTCCGTATGACAGAACACGTAAAAAAAAGGGGGAGAAATACATAAGGCACATAACCAGACAATGTAAAGAGGTAGAAGTTTTATTTTTGATAATTCGGGAATATCAATGTTTATCGTCCAAACCCATGAGAAAAAACACATGAAAAAAAAAATTCTCGCAGAAAAATGGAAACATGATATTTTCATCATTACTTATCTCATTATTGTCAATCACTAGTTTAGTGTCTCTATTGCTTAAGAACATCCTTAAGCAGAAATCCAGGTCACACATCATTATTTGCCTTAATAATAGTCGAAAAGCTTTATCCCATCAACATGAACTCCGATTGAGATCTCATGAAACATCTCTCAGAAAGCAATCTGACACCAACCTCTAAAAACTCCAATAGAGTTCATGTTTGAGGTGAGTTCGAGCTTGGATATGAAAGACATTCTGAAATTGAGCTTACCCAACACAAGGGAAGAGTTTAAGTTATTGTTATACTTTTCAAGAGAATATATGAAGAGAGAGTGAGAAATGCACCATGAACTCATGATTTTTCCCTAGAGGACTACCACCAGAAGGTGAGAATAAGTGTTCCCCACGATGGACTATCCGGAAAAGATGATCTAAATTAAAGTGCATCAATGAACTTTGAAATAAGATTTCATTCGAGGTTGTCAAGATACCCAAGGTGACCAAGGCAACGGTCATCTTCCTCTTTCCTAGCCAACAAGGGAAGGAGCTTAGGTGATTCCTTCCCCTTAGTTTTTCACAGAAATAGTTACATTCGAAAGATGTGACAATTCTCCATAATGCAGTTTAAACTTTCAACCTACAAATACCACAGCAAGATTACTACTTGAGCTCTAACAGCTAAGCATAAGAAATGGTTGTGCTCCAATGTAGAATGAAAAGCATAAAAATGCAAGTTGGAAAGTGGTCACCGCCCCAAGTTCTTGTCAAAGAAGTTGAAGATATCACTACAACTTATTCAGAGCTTCTTTTATGATCCGTGATTAAGTACAACCCATTTTTAAAAAAACATGATATTTCTAAAAAGTTCAGCGGCAGATTATACCAATAGAGACTAATCATCAAGAAGAGCTTTAACATGTGGTGTCAAAGGGAAGGGAAAACAAGGAAAATTACAAAGGTTATCAGGCTGGGAATCCTCACTTCAGTACATATTTTTTTAGTACTTCACTACACCTATAGATAAGTTTCGTAAACATCTCTCAGTGGACAAAGAAAGTGGAAGAAAAGGTGCTAGAATTCTAAGCAACTGATGACATCACATGCTAAAATCACTGAAGTCCTTTAGTAGAGAGCAATTCCAACCGATTCTCTGCTTTATTTTTTGGAAGGTAGGCAAGATGAATTTTAGTTATATGGAAACATTTCTTTCACGTGATAATTTTTAAAATCAAGTCTTCCGAATTTTTAAGTGTCGATGAAGACTATTTCAACATCAAAGAGAAACAGCATATCATTAAGTTATGACCATAAGTATTATGTACTCATGGCACAAAATTTTATTTGGTTCGCAGTCACTTATCATCTACATACTATGGGCATGCAAATGTACATGAGAGTGCTTAGTACCATGAGAAGGAATGCACATTAAGAAGTGGTTCACAGCAAATCGCCGTTGGTCAACTAAATATCATATCGAGAAGAGGAGAGTAAAAAATCTGAGTAAGACTGTACAGTTAAGTTATGACACAAGTCGACTTAATCTGCCCTTCCTCCCTATCCAACCCCAACTACCATACCCTGCCTACATCACACCCACCCCCCCCGAACCCAATCAACCTCCCTCAACCCTCCAATGACATCTTCCACCTGTAAACAGTCAACAATGCAACTTCAAAACCGTGCAAAATATTCAAAATGGAAAATGAGTAGAATGAACATACAAGATGGGAATTGATATCTTTCAGCGCTTGCCCATCTTCCCATGTCTCAGATACGATGGTCCCTGCTCTGCAATTTTGGGAGAAACGATCAGATAATATTAATACGTCATGATGACGTTCATAGAGCCAAACAGAACAGAAAAATGAATAAACTTAAGAGCAGCATATATAGGGATGTTAAAAATTATAAAAAATTACTAAATCCTTCTCGAACCCTAAAAATAATTCCCAGTACATTTGAAGATAAATGAAAAATCAGAATTTTACATAGCAACCCTCAAGCTTCTGCATAGGTTATCAGTAATCTACAGCGATTCTACCTTTGAAGAGGAAGTTCAAATACAACCCTTGAGCTACTTCTAGATATTTTCAGTTCCAAAACAGAGAAAGGGCACACGAAAGAGCATTAAAATTATGTTAATGTTATGACCTAGACTCTATTAAGAACCATCAAGGCGAGGTATATGCTTACATTGGAAACGGTGGCTGGTTTGCCGACATTTTTTATAACATGCATCACTGAATTGAAATTTACACATAATAAAAGCTTGATGTATATTATAAAAAACATTTTTTTATGAATTTCAAGTAGATGCCTTCAAATTCCCAGGGAATGAGAAGGGAAAACTTTATGTCAAATCGGAAACAATAAGTAATAATGAACAACACAGTAGCATATTTTGAAATCATCTTTCTCCACTATATGAGAAAATAAAAGATAGAAAAAAACTTTACGAGAAAATAAACATCACATGAGGAAGACAAAACTTTTTATCTTGTTAAGATTTAAAAGAAGCATTTGTAGATAGAATGCTACCTGATTACACCCACATTGCCAAGCCGCATGGACTCTTGTTGCGTCTTTATTCTAGCTTCTTGTCTCTCTGCTTTCGAAACAGCTATCAATAAATCAGACAACACTTTTATCCGCTGCAGAAAGAAAGGAACAAGAAAAAAGACATCAGAAAGATTATTTTATCCATTATCTTATTAGGGATGTAAAAGGCAACGAGCAATTTAGGTCACATTTCAAAGAAAGAACAAAATAAGGGGTCAAGATTCAGAATGATTTTATTTATGAACCAATAAAGTCAATTGATATCTGAAAATTATCTAATAGTTTAACATCGAACAATTTACTTATCTCTAATGAAACAAGGATAATATTTGTAAATAAAGATATAGCAATGTGCTATTCTATTTTTAAAATTGTGTAAATTGTTGATTATTCGAATTTATCCTACTTCCAATTATCAACATTGAACACTCCATCTACAGAAATTTTTGAAAGGGGGGAAATTCATCACAGAACATAGAATTTTTCTGTGGAAAAGAGTACTGTTCCAATTTAACGAGTCTGATTCATGTGTAGATCTGCTCAAGTACACTCCTGATCTGATGCAAAAGCTCACGGATTATATTTATATGCTACCGTCAGATGAACACCACCATTAATCCATCAAACAATTTTTCTAAAGTTAGAACAACTCCATAATAGTGTTTAATTAATCGTTTAGGTTTTTCTATATAATCTCCCAAAGTCATCTCTGATGAGTCTTTGTATCTCTGCACCCATGCATCCTCTGATGAGAGTTTTTAGAAGTGGCTTCTACTGTGGATTCATTTGAAAACGAAAGTCGCACAAGAATGATATTCATTCACAAACTTTATTTTGGGTCGACAGAAATTGGTGCCTTGCGTGTAACCTAAACAACAGGCAATAGACTTCGAAAATAGCCAAACACAAGAAGAATGACTACGGAAACTCATGGCACTGGCTTTTAACTCCCAAAATTCTTCTTGATCCTTTCTCTTACAAGATTGCTTGTCCCTCTGAATTCTCCTACAGATCACACACTCATTCTGCGCCTAAAGCTGTCTCAAAGTTACATCTGACAGTGTACAGAAAGGTCTGAGAAATGCAACTCGTTTACTGAATTAGTAAGCTCGAAAACGAAGTAAGTCGGGCTGACTCTGACTTTTATATATCACATAGCCAGATCGAAACATATCCCATTCTTTAGATGATCCGACTTGAGTAATCTGGCGAGGGTCTGTTGAAGTCGCATGCAAGTCAGGCCAAGCATCACCCAGTCAGCTTCAGTCACATGTGCCCATGATGTTTGAGGAAACAAGGTAAATCCCTAAATGCATCAGGACTCGAGACATTATTATTAAGACAGCAATGTTCTCATGTTACAACCAAAGTTAGCATGTCCTGTAGCCCTTGAATAAATTGCCTATTAAGGCGTATGACACCCAAGAACCCAACTAACATCCACGCCCTCTGGTAGAAAATGTGCACTGCTATTGAACAACAGTATCTTCAACTCTAGATAACTGGGATTGATGCTACAAGTCACGCATAGAAAGTTTCACATTGGGAACCTCCACAGCTTATGCAAGGTGAAGAAAATTCATGGCAGATCTTAGTTTCTTCAACAAAAGAAAATAAGGCCAAAGAAATGGTCTAGTAATTAGATACACCACGTATTTTCAGCTCCAGCTTGTTCATTCAAGTCAGCATACTTCTCAAAAAGCAAGATAAAATTAATTAGGACCGTCTCTATAATTCACATATTCAAGGCCATAAAATAATGTTTTCAGAAAATATCTACAATTCGTACTTATAACAATTGCAGGTATCTTAATCCGACTCAGTTCTTGGAAACTGTTCTTTTAGTTTCTTTAGATCCCCAAGGACACGGTACCATGGCAAGTAATGACTTCCGCAAATGCCTAGCAACTAAAGACAAAATAAACACACTTGGATGGAGAAGTCCACATGCAACCAAGTACATCATGTTTGAGAAAAAAAAATTGGAACTAGCCTACATATCTTTACTCTACGCTATAAGCCAACCAGATTATTCATCCTTCCATTTACACACAATAAATGGTTAATCCCAGCAGAACATGGGCAATTTGCAACCAAAGGATGTGTAGTGTTCAAGAAACACAAACCTTCATCTTCATCTGTCGGTCATGTTCTTTTAAGTCTTTCAACTCCTGAACGACCAAAGTTTACAACAAGAGGCATCATTAATAAAGCAAGAGTCTTATAATAATATCATAGAGAACAACAGGAAAATGGTAATACCTTTTCTAACTGACAGCACAACTGCTGCTGTCTAATCGACTCTTGGCGTGACTTACTCAACTCCTCCTCTAGCGAAGCAACCTTGTCACGCAATAACGGTGTCTCTTCCTAATTATATGCCATGAAATAACGATATCAGTAAAAACCAATAGGCTTGTATCAACTAAACTACCAAAAGGAATATTAGAAAAAATAGAATCGATATGCTATTGTCATTCATAATTTTCTGGCAATATACAGACTGCAAGATTGCTACTTAGCACTTAAAATTCTTTTATAATGGTTTAAACATGGAAGTTCTATGCTCTTCTCCAGCAAAGATGTGTTGATTGAAACATTCTAATTACAAAGTGGCTCACCATTCGTGAGAAAATCAACTCCTTTTAAAAGATTTATTATCTAATCGACAAAATTTAGCAAGAAGAGAGGTTTTTTAGACTAGATGTTCAAGTTCTAAAGGAACCGTCAATAAGAAAGCAAGATAAAGTTTTGGTGAATTTTGATCCGAATAATCAAATGAATTCACAGATAAATAAATAGGCATACATCAACACATGTAATGAAATGGCCAAATTTTCAAAAATTATAAATTATTCCACTATCATACATCAACTACAGCAAGGAATTGGCACTAAGAAACTAAAGATAAGTTGAAGAAAATGAAGAACCTCTCACAACAGAGTACCTGCGAAGAAAACTTTTCTTCATTGCAGAACTGGTCTTTAGGTCGGTTCTCCTGGCATCAACCACGAAAGATTGTCAACCCTTTTGCATACGGATCATTCAAATTTCATAAAAAAAAGCTGCGTGTAAGCTATCATAAAAGTTACAGATGTATTCAACCAATTCTGGTCAACCTACACTTGATCAAACATCACAATGCAATAACGTAACAGATCAGAATGGAAAGGCAAATAGTCTTACGCATCTACAACCAGGCATTTGAACATGGCCACCATCGCCATCAGAAAACGTAAGGGACTAAGGCATCCTGATAATTACAGCATCTGACCAAGCACAGCATTTAAAAATGGTGCGCTTACAAGAGATTGAAAAACAATAAACTACATGGACATATTGAAACGACTAAAATAAACGGGTAAAATGATAGTTAGTCCACTTATGGTTTTATCCCTCATGAGACTATATTACACACATGTCACATCATGCAATGCATGTGCTCCCCGCTACCACATAGAAGCAACCTACTTCGTTTTCCGCCACTAATGACAAAAATTCAGCAATACTTGAGAATCTAGACCTTCGACTGTGAGCAGAAGAAATCCCCTGAGCTGATTTATATTTCTTAGTCATGTGAGACCCTAAATAATATTTTTTTCCACTTCAACAGGATTGAGATCTACAATTTTCCATTTAATGATGTTAGCACCATACAGCAGCAAGACAAGATCATTATTTTTCTTAAAACCAATCACTCTTTCATATCATTTAGGAGTCAGAATTGAACCTCATCACAGTCTAAAATTTTAAGGTAACCAACGCAATGGTTGAACACCTTACTGCCAACGCAAAAAGACAAAGCACTAGTCAATATTTGACAAACAAGATAAAATTATAAAGATAATTACGAAAATAATTATAAAATGATATAACTAATTCATGCAATATGATTTATTATTAATCGATAAAAAACGTAGAAAGTCATCAAGCAAACAGCACGTGGTCAGTTGGATAGATCTTTAGGAATATTCAACATTCACGAGTTAAGCGAATGTATCATGTTCTGAAATTACATCCAAAACATGATATATATTGAACGGTCACAGTAATCTAAGAGAATGAAGGATGAAAATCTAAATGATGCACTGGACCCAAGTATGCAAGAGCAGCTATCAGTTTAACTTGTGAAAGTGGATAAGGAGGGAAATTATGTCTGATTAAAAATCTAGATGGATTAGTGAGAAATTCCTTAATGAGGGGATGTCAATCCCTTTAATCCATAGGCACAAATTAGAAGGTTTCCCAAAATGGTATCATACATTTTATGTCACCTTGAGGAGTTCAAAAATAATACAAGCGATTCCACAAGTTGCTACATAAATTATAGACAGAATAGGCAGCTGAAAAACTAGTATATTGGGAATGGGGTAGCTAATGGTATCCATTGAATTCACTGATTAAAGTCTGAGGAATCTGGTAGCATGTTGAAAAATGTAAAAAAAGTAGAAGGGCGTATAAATTAAACCTGTAAAAAAAATTCTGATGTGGAAGTCAGACAAGAACAATTACCATAACCATCAATGTGCAGCGCAATGCACTGAAGTGTTTCATAAAAAAATAGCATCTTGCCTTTAAAATTTGGTGAAGGATGAAAAGGAAAGATTGAAGGAGGGATAGAATAATCATATAATAATAATCATCTTGAAAGATACTAAAGGATTTTGGAGACAAGACCAAAAGAAGGAATGAATAGAAATAAAAAAAATACATATCAACGATAGTAAAATCTGAAGGAGCAGAATCAGAAGAGTATTTGATACTAATGAGGTGAAAAACATTAAATTTATGAGGGAGAAGCAGCGCAATGGAAAAACAAGATGAATCCAAGATAGACAACTGAGGATATGACAATTTGAGGGAAAATGAGACATTTTGTCCTCTATAGAAGCATAAAGTGTCTTTAGTGGTCATAATGTGTCTTTATGACAACTGAGGATATGCTTTCTTATAGTTTAAATATTATACAAGGAAGCGCCTGATTATAAGTCTATAATCTTAGTAATGATATGAACTTTCGTAATGTTGTAACAAGAGTCAGCCAATTCAAGGAGCGTTATGAATTGATAGGGCAAAAAAAGTAACTAAATAAGTGAACATACATAAGAATCCACATAAATAAAATTACTGCATAGATTTAGAAAATAGGCAAAAAAATAGAATCAGACCAAGTAGTCCATATTTTTTATCTGGAAATAATATCCTAGGCATAGTACTTGAAGTCAGGCTGCTCTAGAAGGGGAAAAAGGAACGCATCATCCAATATATCATCTGATGTAGACATTTATAGGGATTGACCTGATACCAATATGATCTGAACAAGAGTTGAACAGTAATTGCCACAATCAATTTCAAGTGATGGCTTTTAGAAATTATGCTCATCAAATATTACTTAATAACCAATGTATTACGTGATACTTTATAGAAACTAATAAAGAGGAATTCAACTTTTGGAATAATGAATTAATGTATCCTTCTCGTCCTCAATCAATATGGTATAATCTCCATGTTCTACAGACTGTATGAAAATTAACAGAACTGTAATAAAATTAAAATATATGAAATAATAAAACCAGAGATGCTTTCATCGAACAACAGAAGAACCTTGTGTGATGTATTATCCAAGTGTCCGTTTGCTAAGGAAGATGTTGAACTGCTAGAAAGACGCAATGAATCATTGTTCTTTGATCCACGCCCCCTTCCTGTCCCAGAACGACCCCTGCCACGCCCTTGCTTGCTTTTACTCGAGCCATCCGTTGTTAGCCTTACCTCTGCAGTCTCTGCAATCTTTACCTTAACATCTGTTGTTCCCTGTTCGTCCAGTAATCCACAGTGCAGTAACAGTAAGATACAACAGTCATTGACACCAGAAAGAAGGCCATGATGCACCAGTAGGAGGAATATACAATATCTAATAGCAATAAAAAAAAAATAGAAGCAACCACGGGTTTAATGCAGAAGTTTCAGGCTTATTGAACCAAACATCGTGCCATAAATATCTCTGAAGAAATCAATTCAACAGAAAATCCCTTTTGAATCTACTTCAACAAACAGATATCAGAGGTCATCTATATCGGAAGAAACCAAAAAGCATGCATAATAACCTCAAGGAGAAGTAGAAGGGCAGAGACCAACATCAGAATGGTGAAGTCTACTAAGACAATTAATCATCAACTCTTTCATTAAGTGGAAATGCGCATCAAAAATATCTTAACATGAGGTAAATATAACTAAGACTGTCATGAGAAATATAAATATATGGAAACAGCAGCAACATGCCTCAGAAAGTTGACAAGCTTTAGATTCATCCTCCTGAGTCCTTTGCCTTTTTTGAGTGTTAGCCTGTATCAGAAACTCTTCACCATTCTCCTGAGCGGATGCAAAATTGGCTCATTTAAGTATTATAGAGAAAGCAGATAGAACTAAGAAAATTGTCGAATGATTAAATATACAAAATCAAATGAACAATATTGATCATGCAGAGGTGAGTAAAAAACGTACTGTGAATCTGGTAAAATAAACTTGTAATAACATTGGATGGCTACATATAGCTATGCATAACTTTATAGCTATATAAAATAAATTGTAAATAACTACGATTATCCTGATCTCAGTCCTGGGATTCGGCCATTAACTATCTACAGCTCAAATTGTGGCTGGTTCAATTTCTCCATGTGATGACAGCCTTTTTTCTACAGCGATAAATCCCCCATTGGATGCTTGTACGATCTGCTACCCGTTGGATCAGACACACAGTACTTTTCCCTCTCTAAACCAGCAGTTACAGTCCTTTTTAAAGATATTCGATGAAGTACATACATGAAATCATGAGTCCACACGTATGTAGAGCAAAAGGACGAAATCCAATAATCAAGCATATGAATCACAGTCAACAAGGATGAAGTTAAGATGCTCACATCATTGTCAGAATCGCTGGAGGTCGAAGGCTCGGACAACTCCTCTGGTCGTCCAAATTTCACCGAGGAGCTGGATTGCCACGTGGAGGAGGTAGACTGCACTGGAGTTGAAGAAGTTGCCTTGCCGGCCATGCGGGCTTCCAGCTTCGCTATCTTGATCGGTAGGTTTGAGTCCGAAGGGTTCGAGTTCGAGGACAGGTGCATCAAGACTTCGTCCGACATGTTGACTCTCCCGGAAGAACAGCAGAAGAGTCGACGAATAAAGCAAGATAACACGGACGAAGGCCCTGATTTCAAAATCTCTCCCTCCAGAAACAAGAAGAAGTCGGCAGCTACCTTGGGAGGCACTAGTACACATTCCTGCCGGCGGAAGACACGCCCATAACTACGGTAAAACTCCCCATTTTAGGGGCTTGCTGCTTCCCACGCAAGCATGACCAAACAAGCCAGGAAACCCTAACCCGATGTCTCACAGAAACCGCCCACAGAAATGCCACAGTCGGGGTTGACGGCCGCAGGCCAGGCTAAAAAGCGCCACAGCGGCCGGTACAGCGGAGGACGAGTTGAGCAAGAACACAGGAGATGAATAGGACGAAGAGATCCGAAACACGCGGCCGCCGGAGGAGGGCGATCACCGGAGGCGGCCGTGTTGGAATGCAGTGGAGGCGAGGGAGACTTCGTGCGAGGAAGGAGGGAGGAAGCGGAGGGGTGTTTCGGGAAGATTTAGAGGGTATTTTGGGGGTAGAGTGGGTGTACAGGGGAGGGAAATCACGGCAACTCCCTGAGCCCTAGTGAGGAGCAGCGAACGACCAGCAATGGGCTTCTTCTGCGTGAGAACCAGCTGACGAGGGTGACCTCAAGTTTTGACCTTGTGCGTTCTCAGGGGGGAAGGGGAAGGATCTGAATGCAGCAAGCCTGAAGGGACCGTCTTCTCTCTCTCTCTCTCTCTCTCTCTCTCTCTCTCTCTCTCTCCTCTCTCTCTCTCCTGTCAATCACAAGTTTAGGGCTTGTGAACCTCCTCCACAAGGTCTAGGGACAATCATAGTCTCATACCACTAAATTGGAAGTGGACTCTTCAACACCCAAACTGGACCTATTTTATTTTCCCGATTTTGTCCCGAAGCCTAAAATATTTAAATTTTTTCCTCACAATATGCTTATAATTGCGCCGCCAACCATTGAAATAAGAGTCAAATACTTACCAGAGAGGTGCATACCTAAAAATATAAATCAATAGATATTTAGATGATTATGATAAATTAAAGGTTGACCAAAGCTCACCCATAATATCAAAGGTCAACCCTCTTACACCCCTTGTTGACTTTTCTATTAAAGTCTTGCCTTGGGCAGGTAGAGCTAGGGGTCTAATTTTTTGGGCTTAATGAGATGTTGGGTTTCCAAATAAAAGCATTATCCAATTGTGATTCAGTTTCATATACAAAAGGTCAACCTTCTTATTCCCCTCATTGACTTCCCTAATTAATGTCTCACTTTGGAGAGGTAGAGCTTCGAGTCCTTTATTTGGAATTAATGAGAAACTGAATTTTGAGATAAAAGCATTGTTCACTTGTGACTCATATTTTACTTATGATTATTCAAAGGTCAACCCTCTTATTCTTATCATTGACTTCCATGATTGAAGTCGTGCTTTGATGAGGTAGAGCTTGAGGTTCTAAGAAAAGCATTATTCAAGAGTAACTTAGCATTTGTACATGATTAATTGGAGGTCAACCCTCTTACTACCCTCATTGACTTTCATGATTCAAGTAGTGCTTGGGGGAGGTAGAACTAGAAGTCTAATTTTTCAGGCTTAATGAGAAATCGGGTTTTGAAATAAAATTTATTTGTAAATGAGTGTGGCTCATTTTTTTTCATATAATTAATCAAATGTCAACCCTCTATTCACCTCATTGACTTTCCTAATTAAAGTTGTATTTTTGGGAAGGTAGAGCTCATAGTCTAATTTATTGGGCCTAGTAAGGATTTGGGTTCTAGGATAAAAACATTTTTCAACTATGGCACAAATTGTACATACAATTAATCAAAGGTCAACACTCTTACTCCCCTCATTGACTTCCTTTCTGAAAAAGGTCATGGTTTGGGGATGTAGAGCTTGGATTGTACTTTTTTCACTAAATGAGAAATCTTGTTATGAGATAAAAACATTATCTAATTGTGACTCATTTTTTATGTATGATTAATGAAAGGTCAACCATCTTACTCCCTCATTAACTTTAATAACAAAAGTCTAATTTTTTTCGGCACAATAAGAAATTAGGTTTTGAGAAAGAAAACATTATACAAGAAACTCAATTTTTGGATACAATTAATTGAAGGTCAACCCCTCATTCCCCTCATTAACTTTTCTAATTAAAGTCATGATTCGGGGAGGTAGAGTTTGGAGTCAATTTTTAATGTCCTAATGGTAAATCGGGTTTAAGATAAAAGCATTATTGAAGTGTTAGATAATTTTTATATACGATTAATCAAAGGTCAACTCTCTTATTCCCATTATTGACTTTCGTGATAAAATAAAGAGTCATGCTTTGCAGAGGTAGAGCTCAGAGTCTAATTTTTATTATTAATGAGAAATCTATGAAATAAAAGGATTATTCAAGTGACTCAATTTTTATATACGATTAATCAGAGGTCAACCCTCTTATTCCTATTGTTGACTTTCCTACTAAGAAAAAATCGTGCTTTGGGGAAGGTAGAGCTCGTAGTCTAATATTTTTTTATTAATGAGAAATCTATGAAGAAAAGCATTATTCAAGTGTGACTCAATTTTTATATACGATTAATCCAATCAAATTCAATATAGGTTTTTAAAATAAAAAAATATTTATTAACAATATCTTTTTTTACCGTATTTTATTTAGTTTAGAGGCAGAATTGACGGGCTTCCTAAATTCTCGCGCCGGCCCGGCCCGCCGAGATGGTTGTTGCTTCAGAAGACGGAGAGTGAGACAGAGTTAGGGTTTCGGGCGCCCCCTCCCAAATCGGCCGCGATGGCGCCGGCGAGGGGAGGGAAGAGGCCCAGGGAGGAGCACGACGAGACGGGGAAGTCGGTGGTCCTCCTGAGCAGCAGCAGCAGCAGCGATGACGAGGAGGCGAACGTCGACCTAAGTGTGAGGATCTTGGAGAAGGCGAGAAAGCGGGAGGAGGAGAGGTGTGCTACGAAGAGGACTGTGGAGGCGTCGGAGGGACGGCCGCAGGTCGTGATAGACCTCGCCTCATCGGACGAAATGGAGGGCGTTCGCGAGAGGAGTAATGGGGGGACGTGGGAGGCGTCGCTTGCGGCGACGGTGGTAGCGGAGGGGTCGAATAAGAAGAAGAAGAAGAAGAAGCAGAAGAAGAAACGGAAGGGCGACTCCGTCGGGCTCGGAGGTGGCGCCGGAGGGGAGCAAGAAACCGTGAAATTCTCAATCCTTTCTCTCTTTTTTTTTTTCTCCTACATGCAGATAGAACAGTGGTGGAAATTCCTGGCCGGGATTGCTGTTACTGTATCATGATTTATGATATTTTTCGTATGTCGACTTGGTTCTTATTCAGATTTCCATTTGTTATGTATCCATGCGAGAGAAAAAGCGCCATCTGATCGAGAAAACTGTTTTGTCTTCCAATGTAGGCTGAGATGCCAATCGTCAGAAACGAAGACGAATCAGCTGTTAACCATTCCGCTGTCTCTGAGACGAATGGGGACATGTCGGACAATATTGTTTTCAGAAAGCTTCTTGTAAGCAGTAGTGAGCTTTCCCAGATTTCTATTGAATCTTCGTTGAGTTGCTGTATCCTGATCAGGGTATTCATTCTGCCTGTTTCTAGCGTGGGCCGAGGTACTTTGAACCGGGCAGTACACAGTTGGAGACTTGCTATAATTGTGGCGAGGAAGGTCACACAGCTGCGTATTGCAAGGCAGAGAAACGGAAGAAACCATGCTTTGTCTGTGGTATGTTTGGACACAATGCTAATAAATGCAGTCAGGTATAACAATGCATGTCTTCGCCCTTTTCTTCCTTTTTTTTTTTTAATTTATGATTTTCAAACGCATGACACTATTGAATTTGGGAGATCTTATCACAAATCTTCTAGAAACTCACAAAAAATGACAATTTTAACGGGAAATAAATCGTGTGGAAGAGATTTTTCTCTTAGCTGTCTGCAAGATTGCTTTAATAGACCATCTTTTTCAATAGCAAAACTTCACTTCCAAGATTTCTGACTATCAATACTTTATTTGTGAAGGTGATTGGTCCTATGTCCTATGAACTCGTAGCTGTTGCTTTATTGTAATGGACGCTAGATCATTCATAATCATTGAAATTTCGTTTCTGTGGACGAGCCCATTTTATGTTGACTACTCTTTGGCTTGTTTGCTTCACTTTATGTCTATCAAAGCTTCCTTACAAGGACATGAATATGATGATGACGAAAACTGTGGTATCACCGCCTAGAATTAAACTAGGAACTCATCAATTCTCTCTCCTCTCATATCTTTTGATATCCAGTTGATCATTGTACCGCTAAGGATTGTGGTCATCTGTGCATAGTTTTAAAACAGGTGCAACAAGTTTGGATTGTAGTGCACAAACCTTAAGAATTCTGCTGCTAGGGTTGGTTGGTGAATGTGATGAATCAGTAAGCTAGAGAAGGTTGCCTTGGCCTATATGCTTTAGTGAATTCGAGTTTGTGAGTTTGGGATACTTATACACGACCTCTTTATCACATGCAACATAATGACTTGGAAATTGCCAATTCTCATGATGCTAGAAATATCACATAGTATGCCTCTGTCTATGAACTGCTGTGTGCTCGTATTTTAAGGTTTTGATGAGCATATCCAGTTTAAGATGCTTCTTGAAAATTTGTCAACCAACCATTTAGAATGTTGCTGAAATAAATGTTCAATTACAGCAGTAAGTCGCTTACTATATTATCTACAGTGGGTGGCAGCACATAATACTTAACATACGGCTCATGTGAGTAGCTCAATTTGAGAGCAGATGTATACATCTATACACATCTTGTGGTGGTGGAGGATCAGGGTTGAAGTGGCTGAATGAAATTTGAGAGAAACCCTTCAGGCTTGGAATAACTCTTCAATTACAGCACTAGGCAGCTTGCTACATTATCTAACCCTTCTGAAGTAGAATAAGCGAACGTTTTCACCTCTGGTTGTTAGATTTTCAGAAGTCTCGGCAACCCATTTCTCTAAGTCTGGGCGTTGGGCGAGCACCTACAACTAACTGATCATATATATATATATATAGATATATGCACTGGCAACTGGCCATAACTTTTTTGCTGTTAAGGATATGAACATCTATAAGATAGATTTGACCAATTTTCTTCTCACTACTGTCAATGTAGGCTATACGAGATCATGACTAGGAATCATGACCACATTTATTTACAGAAAGCATAAACTCCTTTTAAGTATTTCTGTGCAAAGCTGACGACAGTCAATTATGTTCAGGGGCAGAGTTGCCGTATTAGCTGTTTTATCTAATTGGAGTAGTCAAATATCTCCAATTTGTTAAGTGTTGTAGCTTTTCTCTCGTTCTTGTATGGCTTATGGCCTTCAGCTTCTCGAGTTTTTCTCCTTTTCAGGGCCAAGATTGTTTCATCTGTAAACGAAGAGGACATTTGGCTAAGGATTGTCCAGATAAACAGAAAAGAACATACCAAGACACGAGGATCTGCATACGATGTGGCAGCATCGGACATGACATGTCCTCATGCGGGAATGAGTATCCTTCTGAAGACCTAAAGGTAGACTTTGGATCTCCTTTGATGCATTTCTAGCTTCCTTAGTATATACCCTTTTCTTCCTGCAGAATGTCATATGATGATGTATGTGGTCTATTCAAGCATGCAAACCTTCCTTAAGTTCCTACCATTTTCTTTTTGCAGAAGATTCAATGCTATGTTTGCAAAGGCTTCGGGCATTTTTGCTGTGCCGAGTTCGCTGTTAACTCTCCAAGGAAGATCTCATGTTATAACTGCGGTGATTCTGGCCATTCTGGCGTGGTATGTCTGGTTATCTCCTTCCGCCTCTCATAAGAAACCCAGAGATCTTAGAGACTCCTCGTCTTCTTATGCAGGGATGTGCAAAGCCTCGGGGAGAACCCACCATCGATGTGGCACCCAAACTGTGCTATATCTGCGGCGAGGAAGGGCACTTTGCACGGGGTTGCACCAGAAGATCATCGTCCAAGGTTTCCTTCCTTCCAAGCCATGGATCCCATGAAATAATTTTCCAATCTGCATCCCATTGAGATCATATAATCATTCGACATGTCGAATCACGCAGTTTGACCGGCGACAGGGCGAGCCAGCAGCGTCAACTCCCAAGTCAACTGAGTACAGAAGAACCACACCCACACATGCCAAGAAGAGGAAAGAATTCTCAGGGTCCAGGTCTCTTCCCCGTGATCTGGGAAATTGGTCGAGGTCTTCGTCTCACAGTAATGGCTTCAAGAAGAACCACCCAGTCGAAGGTGGGAGAAGCGGCGGCAGTGCGGGGAAGTCAAGGAGCAGGGGCGGCTGGATAGTTGACGACCCAGGGGACTACAACTGGAGGTCTCGGTCATCTCCCAGGTCAAAGCCTTGGAACTCTCCGTACTCGCCGAGGACGCCTGTGAGGAAGAGCTTCAAGCATTATGACAATGCTGGGAGTTTGCGGCAGTACCATGAATACTGACTGAGGCCCCTTTCCCCTTCCCAAGATAAGCCCTTCTCATTCAATTGGGGTCAAGAACTGGAAGTGGAGGTAGGATCCTGCACCTGGCTCCCCTTGTTGTATAATGTAAAAGCAGCTTTCTTTCTTCAATTCAATCACATAATCTTCCTTACTCTGGGTATGTATATCCATCTGGAGAAATCGAATAGAAATTGCTTTCCAGCAGGATAGTCTCTGTCTGCTCAGCCCATTTCAGTTCAAAGAACTACTTTGTTTCTGGGGCCTGCAAAGGAGGGATTTTTTCAGTCAGATTGAAGAGAGAGATGATGATCAGAGTGTAATCCTTGGGCAGAAAGCATCTTGTTGCATTCAATAATTGATGATATGATGTGAAGCTAAGTACTTAAGAGGAGGTCAATGTCTCCGGGGAATGGAAGCTCACAGACACCAACACCAGTGCCTGGAGAAGATCACAGACACCCCCCTTTCTCTCTCTCTAGCCATTTATAGCAACAAAGTCCTTCCACATCTCCTCAGCAATTGCATCCCTGCGACCACACCATTCAGCAAAATATCCGTTGCTGGTGCCGCTTTCATTCTCCTCATTATCTCTGCTGGAGCACTGCCGGCTCTGGGCGGTTGGATCTCCCTGACTTGAGTACTCTGATAGGATCTCATCCGTTGGATCGAATTCGATGATCATGTTGTGTAGGATGCAGCAAACCAAGACTATATCCACCTGGGTAAGGAAGGGGAACTGTGGAGAGCTTGTCAGGAACCGAAACCGGGCCTTCAGAACACCCAATGCATGCTCCATCCTTGCTCGGAGAGAAGAGTGCCGCCAGTTGAACAGCTCCTCGGCACTCGTCGGTGGATTGCCATCTCCATCCTCAAAACCCGGCGGTCGGTGCCGAACGCCTGGGTATGGGGAGATGAAACCCGGACCCGCCATGCGGGGATTATCCACCAGGTAGTACTTTCCTACGAAGAAAAGCGTATTTATATAATTTTCTTCGTTCTCCATGATATGGGTATTCATGCTTTTGATGCAATAATAATGCTGGTTCTCTGAAAGAAAGAGATGGAAGCTTGGCAGAGCCATGATCAAGCTGGCATAAAATAATAATCTTACTCTGAGTGATGGGCATCACTCTGAGTTCTATGGTTTGCTGTGCCATGATCAAAGTTGTTTGAGAGATATAGGAGATGGGAGCTTGGCAGAGCCATGATCAAGCTGCCATGAAATAAGAATCTTACTGAGAGTGATGGGCATCACTCTGAGTTGTATGATTTGCTGTGCCATGATCAAAGTTCTTTGAGAGGTAGGAGATGGAAGCTTGGCAGAGCCATGATCAAGCCGCCATGAAATAATAATCTTACTCTGAGTGATGGGCATTACTCTAAGTTCTATGATTTGCTGCGCCATGATCAAAGTTGTATGAGAGATATAGGGGTGCTCCTGATATGCCATGATCTGGGTGGGTGTAATGAAAGTATCGATCTTTGCTAGAATTGGAGCCGTAGATGCATACCTTCAGGAACTGTGAGCCCATTTTCTCTCTCCAGTGCATCATTTAGGATCTTTGAGTCGTCGGCAGATCCTTCCCAACCGGCCAACACGTACGAGAAGGTTAGATCGAAATTGACCGCCGCCAGTATGTTCTGCGTCGGTAGCTCCTCCTGCCCCCGGAATCTGGATCGGATCTCGGCTGGCACAGATGCAGGCAGGTGAGTTCCATCGATTGCTCCAACGCAGTCCTGAGTTCCAATAATGAGATATAATAATCATCTGGCTTCACATTCGTAAAATATAGCAGAGGCAAGCTCTTTGGGATGAATGCTGCACATTGATTACCTTGAACCATGGCCAGTACCTGGTATCTGAGGTGACGTCTGGAGGTGGAGAAGGAGGAGGGCCTCTGATGTAGTCGTCCTTGAGTGATCCGATGGCCTTGAGAACAATGTTGAAGTATCGACTGACGGTCTCCCCGGATCGAGCGAAGTTCCGGCTGATGATACGATTGCTCATGCCGTGCCCGACGGTGTTCAAGAACATGACGAGCTGTTCTTCGACTGAAACGTAAAGCGTATCCCGGAGTAGACCCCTGGATCTGAGAACCCCGCAGAGGTGATGGAAGGAGGCCTTGTTCATCCTGGTCATGTCGATGCAGGTCTTGTCTGTGGATCTTATGATCTTCCGAATGTAGCGCTCCCGCTTTGAATCCCTGGCAATATCAGGGGGAATGGATTCTGAATCGTGTTCCCCCGCGTGGCATTCCTCTCGATCTATTTCCTTCCGGAGGATGGGAATGATCACCATGCACGCCGCCATGACGGCGGCACAGGCGGCTCGCTTCCTCCGATCGAATTCTTCCTCCTCGCTATCACAATTAGAGTCGGAATCCATGGGGGCAGGCCTTTGTAACTTTTCTCGAGAGCAATGCAGGATCAACGGAATCTATCCCCCGTTCTCTGCATGGACATTTGAGAGTGATCACCAAGCTCGGAGCTGTATCTCACGGATTCCGTTCGCAACGCAAGCCATCGGATGAGCACTCAGAGACGGAGGCCACCAATTTCGAAGAACGCGCGCGCCAACGAAGGGGCAAAAAGAAAACCTCTCGGACTGTTGCCTTCGCTGCGGAGGACGATGTTCGGATTCTCCAGACCTAATCTCGAAGGAAGAGGCGAAAAGCGTCAGGTCGATAAACAAAGGAATGAGTACCGATAGAAGGACTTTTCATGGCGGAAAACGGATTCGGGGAGGGAAGAAGAGAGATTTGATTACCAGTGTTCCAAGCTGCCCCAGAGTAGCAGGCCGGCCGTCGTCCTGGGAGAAGAGGAAGAAGGGCCTACGATGTTCCTATCCAAGCTGCAGGAGCCGGTCCCTCTGGAGAAGAAGTGAACCTAGAGTTCCCGTCATGGCCTCTTGTCCTAGGGTTTTACCATCATTTCCGACCCCTCCGAGAAAGAGAGAGAGAGAGAGAGGAGGGAGTTGGGGGGGGGGGGTTGGTGAGGGAGGAACAACAGTATGTAGGCCGGACTCAACCCAGTTCAAACCGGTTCCGGTTCACTGAGAAGGGGATGGTAAACAGGACGGATGAAACCGGTTCCAACCGGGTCCGGTTCATAAAAGGGGACGATAAGTAGGCCGGAGGCAGCCGGTTCAACCCGGGTCCGGTTCATCAAGAGACTCTCTCTCTTTCTCTCTCTCTCTCTCTCTCGCTCTCGCTCTCTGTCTCTGTCTCTGTTTCTGCAGAGATAAGATTGCTCCATCTCGAGGAAGGTCCTCTGCTGGAGAGTCGGTAGAGATGATCACGTCGGTTATCGGCTTCGGCGCCGCCAGTGGCGTTGCGGCGGCAAGAATGGCGGGGTGGGCGAGGTATTCGCTGCATACTGGATTGAGATCCTACTCTCCGTCCTCCAGGCGCTTGTTCTGCTCTCGCACGTACGCGGCTCTCGAGCCGCCAAACGTACATCGCCTGGCAGAGACGGCGCGCATCTCTGTGTCGCCGGAGGAGGTCATTGGATTCCTTCTCTCCGCCGATGTTATCATTCCTTTTCGTTATACTTCTTTCTTCTGACGCATCCTTGGGTTTTTGCTCCGTAATTTTGTTGCACAGGTCGAAGAATTCACTCCCAAGATTAGACAAGTCGTAGACTGGTTCTTGCCTTCTCTCTCTCTCTCTTTGTCCCTCTTCGTGCAATGAAATTCTTGGTTACAGCGTGTGAACTTTCCTCCCCGAGGTTCTAGCACATCTACTTGTCTCTGCTTCATATTATGGTGGCTCTGATGCCCCATTAATTTCTAGGTCTGAAATTTCGATGTGCCAACTTCTGGGAACATCTGAGGTTGACATTATCACCATTTTGTTTTTGATCTTTTGAGCTTTCAAGCTCATCAAAATTTCTGTTTCTGATGATGTGCATCCTTAAACCGATGACTGGCATCCCACTTCCAAAAGCTTTGAAAAGAATAAATTCTATTTGTATAGTGGCTAGGACTTACTGCTTCTGCTCCATTTTGACTTTCATGGCTAGTGATTTGGGAGAAGAAGACCATTTTTTCCTGCCAATACTAACATCCCACTCTTAGGAGTTTGCTCTAATTCTTGAGGGTGTTTTCAGGTGGAAATTTATCCAGATGGATCTGTTTTATTAAAGATTCGGAAACACTGAACTCTTGTATCCTAGAGCATCAATGAGGAAAGACAAATAAAATAAACCATTTGTGGGATCTATAATTATTATGCTCTTTTTCCCAGGCGACGTGATAATAAATTGAACATATTTCACAAGAAAATCACGATGTTTATGAAAATATGGAATAAGTCCTCATTCATTATAAAATTTGAGTTGTTGAAGCCTAATTCACTCATAATATGTTTCCTTCCTCATCTTAGGGTAATTTCTTATATTCTTTCTTTACTTCAGGTTTGGACAACTCCAAGCTGTTGATCTCGAATCTATTGATCCTGCACTTCGCGTTGGTAAATATCAATGCCTTCATTAGTTCACTATTATCAAGTTTTATGTTCTATGGAAAAGGTCCTTTTTGTCTAAAGGTGTCTTGAATTGCACTTTGAAACATTGTTAGAGCATTATGAGAATTTTTGAACTGGTTTAAGCTAAGTATTAACTGAGATATGGTGGGTACAGATCTCACTTCTTTCATCATCCTAGGCTTTAAGGTATGAAGAGTCTTGACATGCTGAGATCCCTTGAGTGCCAAACATTGATTATCCGTTGAATTTGAAATATGCTTCTCATTAAGCCACTTGACTGGTTGCAGTCAATCGTAATATTCGCCCAATGGCTGACATAAAAAAAATGAAAATAATTTCTAATTTGTTTCCCAGAAGACAATTGGTGGTCCTCGAGATGAATCTGGGGAATAATTCGATGCCTATCAGCAGATCCTTGTTGTACATAATATCTTCTTCAACAAAGGATACATGAAATCCGAAATTTCATAATGAGGGATCCTGCAGAACCATGTACTTAATTTCGTCCTAATTACGAATCTTTTGAAAATTTCTTTTGGTAGACTGTTGTTCACATTCCAGGGCATCCTAATAAAGCAGTGTAACCATCCGGTTTCATTCTCCTTGAAATACTTGGTGGATATAGGAATGTGATAATATTATGCTTTCCAATCAACTTTGGTTGTTCTTCTTTGCAGACACTGTTGTCAATGATAATCTGCGGGAGGATGTGCCAGAATCGTTCGATAACAGGTGAGATAGATAACAATCTGTTGAACTAGCAGTGTTGATTAGGATCGCAATATCATTCACGTGTCTAATTGATTTTATTTTCCCCGAATTTAGGCCAGCAATGTTGGCTGCTGTTCCAAGCTTTGAAGAACCATACATCAAAGTTCCAAGGGTCTTGAACAAGGAGTGAATTTTTTTAAAAAATAATTTTATAACGTCACAATGGCTATGCCCTGGCTCCTGTGGCGTGCCTGTATGAAATCTAATCTATGGCTTCCTCTTGTTTTCTACTGAAAAATTCAACGTTTCATTCACACAAAGATGAAGAATTTGAAGCGTTGTGTCTACATCTCTTGCATAAAAAAATTCGCAGCTTCAAATAGAGGGCCATCCCAAAGTATAAAGTAAGCAGTACCAAGTAGAAGTATCAGTGGGCCAGGCTAGGCCATTGGCTACTCATGATCTGGCTTTTGTTACAAGTGAAAAAGTTACTTTTTTTTTTTTCTAGAATTTATTACCTTTTGAGGAGATCTGAGATAAGGGTTTCTATATTTATGCCATTTGGATTGCTCTTTCTGTCCTTTCTTGAAGTTGGATTCTCTGCACTGACCCGAATCTATGTCAATAAATAGCGCTGTATAAGTTGATCGGATATTGAGGTCACTTGATAATTCATATCATGAAACTCATTCTAAACTCTGTGAGATTAAAACCCATTTAACAAGTGTGTACAATGTGGTTCATTTTTACAAGTCTAAGGGGATGAGTCCTACGGATCCTATTTTCAAGATAATGTACAGTGGGCATGTTCTTGATGAGATAATGTAATAAGAGCTAGTGTGAATAATTTTGAGTTAGGACCCTATTTTTCAGAATTCATGGATCCTCTTGCTCATTTTCATTAGATCAAATAAATTTGGTTTTAGGCTCACACTGTGCAAGTTTCTTTATCAGACTGCTAGGTTTTATGCTACACAAGATCTTATTAGAACTTGGACTGCTGGACTCTCGAATGTGGTGTTTTTGACCTTGAGGCTACTGTCCTATTTATAGAGTTCTCTTTATATCTTTTTTTATTATTATTAATGGGATTGACATTGTTGCACCTTCTTTCTTGGTGAAATCGTAGCGTCGGGCATTGTAATCTGATCCCTCTGTTTCATACCTTACCATTATCTGAGGCCCTCCATCAGCCATTAAATCATCCCCCCTCCCCCCATTTCTTCTTGGTTAGGATTTCTAGTGGTTTCAGATAGTTGACCATGGGTGGCCAAGCGGTCAGATAGTTGGAGCAGTGTCTGCACACTTTACTTTTGGTATGGCGGTGTAGGAATGTCAACGCCTGGTGCCTTGATTTTGGGGGGGGGAGGAGGTAATTCCACAAAGTGATATTTAAGATACTAAGTAGAGGAGAGAAGTCCACTGAGGGATGGGAAGTCAACCTGGGTTTAGTCAACGGCAGAGCCACCACACGCCATCTCAAAAAGAAGAGGAGAACAACACACAAGGGGCACAAGAATCAAATCTCTTCACATCTCCAAAATGGATGAAAGCAAGCCTGGTAAGCCGTAGCTTTACAAAATAGCTGCCTTTGAACAAGTCTGCACATATCATTATACAACCCCCAATCCCTAAACAGAAACTAGGAAACATATGATGAGACAAGAATGAACAAAATGAGCTGTATGCCCTTACTACCCTTGAACCAGAAGGCCGCCGCCGGATATTGTGCCAGCCCTTCTAAAGTATATGAGATATGAGAGATGAGATGAGATGAGATGAGATGAGTTGAGATGCTCAAGAGGCAATGAGATCTTGGACTGGACTGTTAGGACCCACCAAATCTAACTCAAATCCGTTTAAGAAGTACTCTCTTTCCATTTCCGTGTCGGCAACATTGCAATGAAAGGGTGGCGGTCCATCACACTTTCTTCAGTTGTAAATTTTCACCGGCTTTTCAAAGGTATGGCGGCTCTGGAAACAGATGAAAGCAGAGATGAAAAGAAAATGAAAAAAATCAGGTGATGAAGACGAACATGGAGAATGCAACATGATCCTCTGGACAATCTGCCCCTCGGATCCGATAAATAACTTGAAAATAAAAATATAAATTCTCAATCCCATTATGATCATATCCCAAGAGAAAAAAAGTCATCTTACAGGGATCTAAATATCGGGTCATACCACCTGAACTTGCATGAGAAATCTAGGATCTTTTTTTTTTTTTTTTTCCAGTCAATAAATAGTTTCAGTTGGATGAAATCATAATCTTGGCTAGTCATGCGTCTTTTCTTTTCCAGATTGATACAGAAAGTAGTGCCACTGTGAGGCCATGGGAATTGAGCATACCTGATTGGCAGTGTAAGCTCTTTTGGGAGCAGTGTCCGGATGTTCCAATCCTAAGTACTGCTCCCAAGCTCCGTAGATATCTCGTCTCTGAGATGAATTAATGAGAAATCAGTGGAAGACACCCAGATGAAATGATGTGAGTATCATTTGATTGTACTGTACCTGAAAACGATGTGACACAATGTCTGTGTCTTGAAGATATTCCGGACGGCCCAGGGATAGAAATGCAAACTTCCACTGAACCAAAAAAGGATGAAATATTATACGCAGATCAATGGGGAAGGATCGAACTTGCTAAAAATCATAGAAAACAATGCATCACCTCGGAATCTTTATATCATGCATATAATTTTTAACTTCTGAATTAGTTGACTTTTTGAGTCAGTGTTCACATATAGACGCAGTTGAAAGCAGGCAACATACATGCAAAGTCATGGAAGAACATGTGCTGTGTAAAGCATCCATCTCTTTAAGAAGATACCAGTTTTGATTCACAAATATACAAAAACAACATCAACATTCATAGCAAAGAGTGTCCAAACTAAAACCACAGACGCTGGCCAGTTTATTTGTGTGGCCAGGGTAAACAGTGATAGGGAGCTCTTTGTAGTGCTAGGCATTGGGCACCAGCTAGGTCAACCAGAATGTAGAACAACTCCAAATAAACAATCGCAACTCCTCTGCAAAATCCATTATTGATACTTCCAGAAAGCCCAGTTTATGGGACAGTTTTATTGATTGATTGAGCATTTTATAAAATTGATACCACCATTGCCAATGATCCAGAGAATGACAGAAAGCCAGTTGATTGAACCCAAGACAGAACATGTCCCATGACGCAAAGGCATGCATGATGGAATGCATCTATTTTGGGGGTAATACAAACAGCTATCCTGTCCTCGTTACTCACACCAGTCATGCCCTTAAAAATAAAAATGTTTGATATCATAAACAATTACCCATTGAAATGTCTTGGAAGATAGCGTTAGTCAAATGGCCTCTTTTCAATCTGATGAAATCAAATACCAATGTTCAAGGGGTCTGTCTACATAAGGGTGAATGTGAAGGGATACCATCAGTGCAGTTGCCCATCTGCTTGATGCAGGTTAAGTAACTAAAAATTTCTACCTTATTTCTTTAGAAGTTTCGAACGCTACCATTAACATTGGTGAATATCCAAATGATAGAAGCAGAATGAGGCAGTACCTTTGAAAAATCTTCATCTGGAACCTGCAACTTCTTCTGAATTCGGATCTTGACCACAGCCAAGGTCTCACCTTCATGAATCACCAGGAAAAAAGGTTCTCCAAAGTTCTGAACTTGCTGCATAACAAAAGCCGTGTTACATCAGGGCATGATCTGAAATGGGAATTCCCTGGATGTCAGTCATATATATATATATATGTTTACTAACAGCAGCAGCCTCCTATTTCGGTGACCTCCCATTTCTCTTGGTATTGTCTTGATTATCAAAGAAAAAGGATTAGGAAAAAAATTCCATCATGCGAACTAATAGTCTCCGCTTGCTTAAGAAGGGGAACCTTTCCACTAAAAGTTATAACTATGTATGAAGTATTAAACCCATTTGAAGCACATTTACCGTTTGATTTTGAGAAGCATCCTTTGTGAAATGGTAGACATGAATCAACCGATCCTGTGGTCCAAGATTTTTCTCCTCCTCTGGGATCTATGATCACGACAGTCAGTGTATGAAATGCACACAACATTAAATTAATATAAGGTGATGCTTGCGTTGGCGTGATAAAATCGAACATTATCTCCACTGCATCATCAATACGGTAAATAAATGCACACATTACCTCCTCAGCACGCAAAGTCCAGTATTGGTCATTTATGTTCTCAATTTTCTCATTGGCCGGAAAAATCTGCAGGCAATGAAAAAATAATAACTAAGCTATTTCTCAAGAGAAAAACGGGAGAAAGAAGTGAACCAAAGAAAATTAAAACTCAACAGATTTGCCCATGTTCTTTTGGCTGGAAGATGTCTAACGTCGATATGGATACAAATAAACAAAAATAAAGAAGAGGAATACGCATATGTGAACCATCTCCAATGCCAAGATAGAACTAACATAACTTTATCAAAGTTTAAGGTAGAGATTGGCAATGTACAGAGAACTCAGTTCATACGAGTTCTCATGTGTTGTGAAAGGGATTAAACATTGTTTAATACCAGCAGGTCAGTTCTTTTTCTAGGCGAAAAAAAAATGCCGTTCTATTGAAATTTTGATACTGATGCCCTCAAATTATAAAAAGGTTTTGAAGCTTATATCAAAGTTGGATCCAAAAGTTTCTAAGAGTAACGATTCAGCTGATATGATACAGTCGAGCTTTAACCACTGGGGACAATGTAGCAAACAGAAAAAAAGCTACTCGCAGTAGCATAGTTTCACCTTTTGCAACTATGAAGCCTTGAATAGAGCAAGGGCTACTATCAGTCCAGGAGTATGGAATCACAGTATTTAAGCACATACAAATTGTACCATTACGTAAAATAATATTTTTGGATGAAAATGTCATATTCAAAGGTCCAAAGTTGATAGATTCAAAATATTTGAAGCATTTCATGTTCTGTCCACTCAGTTTTATGATCTGTTAATAAAATAACCTAAAAAAATGAATCTATCAATGATCCGAATAAAGCTGATAAATTGAAAGGAGTTTATTTAAATACAATGAAATTCCTGGTTTATGGAACAATAGCATGAGCCTCCTTTTTGCCCAAAGTATCTGCTTTGGACAAACTCCACAAGGCCTCAGTTAATCAGTGTATCACTCCTAGTTAGAGAGAACTTCGTTTCTCTTCATTATACCATCAGGTAATTCAACCCAAATTAAGTTGCTCTGATGTATGGAAAAGGCATCAACATAGGATTTGTTAGATTTCGCAATGTCGTCATATTTTCTACGCATTTGTTAAATAAAATCGGCTGTTCAGGCTTTAAACAGTGCCCGTTTTATGTTTTAAGACAATACATGCACTTTAACTTGAAAATGCAGAAATAGGTCTCTCAGAAACAAAAGGCAAAAAAGGAATATGAGGGTTGTGTCGGTGAATGGACCAAATCTAAATGAAAAAGACAGTACCTTATATATTTTGTGATAGAAAACTTCGAGCAATCGAAGCTCAGCATCGGGATGAGACAAGTCAACCTATTCCAGAAGGCAACCGCAATCAATAAAGACAATAAAAGAGAAATAAGCAAGTGCAACAAGAAGGTTGTAAGCACTGGAAAACACTTTTTCATGAAGAATATATGATATTCTAACAGTGAGAAGGGGTTTTTTCATTTAGCATTTCAATCACAGAGGTTACCTTTGTCTTCAAATCAGTAAGCACATCGCCCACAGTGCTGTTCTTGGGTAGCCTAATGCTGTGAATCACCACCTACAAAGACCCGTGGCATTTTCATCAATATAGCCCAAAGTTTTCGAATGTTAATACACCAAGTAAAACAATGACTAAGGTAGAAGGAACATTGCAACGAACTAACCTCATCTTTTGTTGCATGATGGAAAGCTACTTTCAGAGTTTTCAGGCATTGCAACTCTGGCAGAGGTATGTCCAATACTTCATAATACAATATGTCGGAGGTCTGACAAGTGAAAATTTAATTAGAATGTAGATAGTTGTTTACCGTGATGGACAGAAAAAAACATATCTTTCAGAGATGATAAATGACCCACTTGATTATAATGAGCAAGCATATCCGATAGATGCTCTACACCCCGATACTTAATTGGCTGCGGTTTAGGTTGTTGAGAATAACAGTTATGAGATGTGAGCCTAAGCTTTGTTGGATCTTCCAAGCCAATGTGACGAGCAAGCCTTTCCACAACATCATCATAAGTATATAATTTTGACCTGCAATAGAATTTAGAAAAATATTTAGCTTAAAAAAAAAGTTGTACAAGGCAACAAATAATCGTGACATTGGAAGTACTTACAGCTCTAAACAAAAACCATCCTCTTTTGGTTTCTCCAAAGAACGAAAATGGACAACCTGATTCACCAGATCGTATTGAGATTTAAATAGACTGTAGTGTTGGAGGTTCATAGTACACGAATCACAAAGATATGCAACAAAATTGTGGTGAGGTGTGAATATAATTTGTCTGTCTGACTGTCATTAGATGAAGTTCACCCTTTCGTCTCTGAAGAGTGATATATAGAAAAGAGCAGATCATTTTCCCCTAAGAGGGAGGGCAGAACAATCTGCATTGATCAACAAAACCGGATGCAGGAGGCAAATGCGGGAAAACTCAAAATACTCACAATTATTTCAATCGGAAAAGAAATGAGAATAGTGAATGGAGGCTAACCAAACCATAAACTCGAACCATCCCATTATCTCCGGTTTTAACTGAACCAGTTTCAACTGGATTGAGTACGACCCAAACTCCTGCCTCACCCCACTCACCCTTCCCTCCACAACTTTCCTAGCCCCAGCTCCATTTTCTCTGCATATTGATACTGTCTATTCCAGCATTTCTGCATATTGAACCCCTCACACTCTCTCACTCCCAACTGCCTCTCCCTACCCCTCCCACAAACATGATTAAACAAACGTACTTCATCAGATCAGTCTTGAAAAATATTTTTCAGATTTGGACGATCCCACACTTGAATGAGTTGAAAATCCACAATTTTTGTAATTTAGAGTGTTTGGCATACAGCTAGGGTAGAAGCGCCTTTTATAAATCTGGAACCTTCTAATTTAAATTTTTTCATATGCTGCTAAGAGTTTGCTACGTCACAACTTAACACTTCCATCTTTTAGCTCCTTTAACAACCATGGAGAAAGGAGACGAAAATGATAATAAGGGCAAGTAGGTGGCAGTTGCTGATGCCACCTGCTCATACCACATCACTGCTTCGACTGATGCCAATCACCAAACATAGTACGGACCCCAATTCCCTCCCTCCGTCCATCACTAGCCCCAAAGTTGGAAGTAAGCAAGAGCAGGTAGGAACCAAGAATGGATTTGATGCCTCAAAAAGTGTAGGAGAAATTGGGATCCACAGCATCGATAAGAATGACAAAAACTCAAATTTCTAATGCAGTAGCTTTATCCAGAAATTCTGTCAATAATGCAGGGCTTCAGGAAACTGTCCTATGAATCATTAAAAATCCAAGTGGTAAGATCATCTCTCACATTTCAATGCAATAGCAGAGGAAGAGACAAATTAGTATTTCAATTTCTACAGATGAACTTTATGGCAATCAACAAACTTCGAAAGTAAACAGAGTACAGAACGTTAGAACATTTGAGGAAGCACTCTAGAAAGTCTAGCTATTGTTTCGCCCCTCTTTCATGGGCTATTTGCGATAATACCCTCGGTTTGCAATCCCATGTACGGTAGTGACTGGCTTGATAAGTACACTGAAGACATCTTGTTCAGATTCGATTGACTCTAGCCAATTGAAGTTAATTCCCCTGAAACAGGGAGTAACTGTGTGTCTCACAGGGAAGCTTGATGTCCGTATCAGTAAACTAAAATGCACAAATATTAAAGAGTGTTATTAATCACAACAACATGAGTTCATAAACAGTAAGAACTCATTACCACTCTAACTCCTACAGCACAACTCCCATCTGAATCGGTACCAGTTACCTGTCAACTTAAGCTGGTTCACGAGTATCTAAACTCTCCATCAGTTCTAACTCCTCTATTTCGTGATATGACTATAAAGTCACTTGTCTATTGAACCTACCCACATTGCATGTATCAGTCCAAGTCAGGACCACTAGACAAACCAAGACATGTAAATTTAAAACACAAAACTGGCCATGATTTACATACGTTTACTATTGGCTAATCTGCTCATAATTTTTTTCACGAAGTGACCAATTAGATTTCACAGAAAATTAATATATCTAATATAATATCAGATCTTTCAAGATTCATTATAAGCCAAGGCAGAAATGACAGAGAAAATAATTTTAATTATTCATGCAATTAAATGAAGATTCGATTGTAATCTGCATATTGTCAGATTAGTTTATCAACTTAAAAAATATTACCCGTCACATACAAAATAGTCTCAAAATGTCTAAACAAAGCCTGACCAAAAGCAACAATCAATCACGTTATCCAGTTATCAGTTGGTATGTGCAAGCCCACTCCTGCTCTCACTCTCCTCTAGAAATCCTACTTATTTCGTCACCTCTTGCACAAATATGCACATGCAGACTGGAAAAGAAGGTTATAGAACAGCACCTGCCGATTATGTACATATTCCAAAAAGGAAGGAACATCAGGATAACGACACATTTTATCATTTTCTGGGGGAGGCTTCTGATAGCAAATGATGTCACCATCTTCAAGCTACACAAAACGAAAAAAGTCTCTTAGACAGACTTCATACGTGACTTGACAATACGTACTGTCCTCAAGAAGAACAGAACTCAGAAGAGATCTCAGCAACAAGAAACAAACTCCTATCAGGAAAGCTCGAAATGATTAGCTCATAGTAAGTATTTAGAATAAAAACAACTTCATACCTGGCTAGATCGAAAAGTGAGGTTCTTGTCAATAACTTCACACATCACAGTTGGTTCAAATTTTATTTCCTGAAAGATTTAAACATCAGAATGTGTATTGACGTTTCAGTATCACTATCTATGAAACGGCTTTAAATACTATTTGAATGGTAGAAAAGTCGCCAAACATAATAGAATTCGAAGGAAGACTGAAATTGTAGATAAGCCAAACCTCATAAAGTTCAATCTCTTCAGCTGGATCAAAACCTGCCAATTCATTGAGCTTCTCCAAAATATCTACTGGTTTTCCGATAGACTTCACAAAAAGCCTCCCCACATACCTAAATAAGTGAGATATTAAATGTCAAAATCATCTCAAAATTTACTAAAACTTTCTTAAAATAGGATTAGCAACTTTATGGCAACCGGTTACCTAAGCTCTTCCTTCTCTGGGTCATAAAGCTTAAAAAAGAGGAGTATATCTTCTTTGGTCTTCTCCGGTGGAAAATGAGGGATCTTGTCCTTAATAGTTTTAAAAAAACTAATTAGCAAAGCAGAAAAAAGATGAATCTTGAAAAATAGAAACGAAACTAAATCAAGTCCTAAGTGCATGAAATCAGGTAATAAGTGGCTACCAGTCCAACATCGACTTCCAAGAACAATTTCAGTTCAGCATTATGAGCCTTATTTGATACTTCTCTTAATTGCCCAACCTGCAGATTAAAAAAATAAATTCAGTGATAAACATTTCGTAACTGATACACAATGAGAAATAGCTCAAAAGAAAAGATAGTGGAGGTAAATACAGATTGCGTCTCTTCTAGAGGAGTCAAAGGCCTATTTGGACGGTATGTGTGGTTCTGACGTCTAGCCCACAGCCAGAAACGTTGGAACTGTACTGGAATGCCAAATTCTTTGGCCACCTCTTCCTGCCAATAAAATTAACCCGATAGTTCCATGTATCACACAATATAAACATCTATTAAAACAAAAAAGATGAAAACGGCAACAAAAAATGTGCGTATCACAAGAACACAGTATTTTCAGATGGTAACTACGCTGCATTATAATATTTCCCCTGGTAATCATAATATGGCTCTGTTTGCATGAGAGTATCTCCCCATAATAAATCATTTTTTCCCTTAATTCCATGTAGTAAAAAAGTGGGTAACTAAAGAAAAAAGGCCAATCAGAACAGAGAGATGGATCATTTTCTCATCCAAGGCAGCCTAACGAGAAAACATGAATTATGATCAATGCATATTGTAAAGTGAAATGCCTGAGCTTGTTTCAAACTCATTATTTCCTTTCATGTTGTATCTTGTTAACACATATGCACATCTCTTTATATGTATCACTATCACCAAAAGCATAAGGAGCACAGAATCAAATCAGGTAGTTAGCTCAGAAAGGCCAGATCTCTATAACCAGATCGCGGCCAGATAAATTCAATCATCTGATCCAAGGGAAAAAGGCCCTCGACAAGTCGCAGAAAGTTTCAAGGAAAAATAGAAAAGATAAGAAAAAAAAACCACATAAAGATACTTGGTATCATGTCTACAGCATGGTATCAACTACTCAAGGATTCTTGATCACCGACATGCAACGATTGAAGGCATTAGCATGGACTGTAAAACCCGGCTGTAAGTCTCCACATGTAACTCTGCATGAATGTCACATACACCAACGCCCAATAAGCACCAGATCAGAGACAAGATCACATCTGATCCAAGACACAACATATCCCTTTCCGGTCAGAGTCAGGGAAACTAGCAAAGGGAATGGAAGAGAACTGGAAAATAGATCAGAGACGGGAGATAAACAACAAATAAACGAAGATGCAGGAGTTAAGCTGATGGTAGCTGTACACATCCCACCAAGTGCCAGGTGATGGAAACATACTGGGCTCGTACATCACACTTCCATCCCCGGCACAATGCTTAGAAAAGAAAAAAAAGGCCAAGGGTCGTAAAAAAAAAAACGAGTTTTGATCGTCAGTTCAGTCTTTACCATTTCTTTTCAACAGCTGATTTTCTTCGCAAGTCAAAAAGTGCAAAATTCACCAGTGATAACAAAGATCACAGCATCAATATGCATGCGAAAAAAATTGCTTCTGAATTAGCACAGATTTCTTCCTCAATTCTCCAGTCTGAGGGAACATCGTGGAATATACCACTTTTGCGCTACAAATAAATCTTCTACCTCGTAATGAATCTAGAAGACAATAAATTGAGGATCCGTTTATGTCTCAGTAACATTATAAAGACGTCTACAATTCCAATTTAGTTGCATCTCAATCACTGAGTTGTTTGACCATCCCCTCACTAACTCATATTTACGCTCAGAAAAGAACCCAAAGTAAATTCTATTTGGTGATTTTCAGAATCACTTATCAAATGAAGTTCGAGAAAGAAAGGGGTAACTCTACACGAAAAGTGATGCCAGACGCATCATGCATCTGACTGATTTTAAGAAAAACCAGCAATTTTTAAATGAAAGTCTGTCGACTAAATAATTATCCACTTTAAGTCATTACAAGAGGGTTATGTCCGGAATTCGGATCACAACCATTGTGCCTTGCTTTCAAAACCAGACTTAGATCGCACGGAGTATGGAAACACCCACTAACTATGGGGGTTATTATGAATTGTTAAGGGTGGCTTAGAATAGAAGATTGGCAGGTAGGGCTGGCGGGGATTTAGAGACAAGTGTAACATGTAGTAAATGATATCTGATAACAAATTAGATGGGAGGTTCAGAATAGGATTGCCATCAAGTTAAGCCACCTATGTATAAGAGCAAGATGAAGCCCTAAAGGGATCTAAAATCTGACCTAGAAATCTCAACAGTGCTCATAACTAATCGGATGGAATTTTGACCTTAATGCTCCAAAAAGGTAGTAAAAGCTGTTAGGATACAGTGTCTTTAATAGACCTTAAATACTTCAAGAAAAGGCAGAAACAGTCAAAGATAAACTTGGACAAAATGATCTCCAAAAAAATATCAGCAAAAGAAATCCCTATTCCATTATTTACCAACTCCAGCGATGTGCTCTCTTTGTGTGTACACTTTGACCAGTGCATGGTAAATTCCAATGGCCTCACCAGAAAAGCAGGTGGTTTATAAGTGCATTCTGAGCATTATTTTACATTAGTTTTTAAAATAAGGTTCCACTTTTTCTGTTAATTTCCTAGTAAAGTTTCCTGAGACACTGATCCCGCCCAACATTTTTGACCCATCCATGTAACAAAAATGCACACATGTGAAAAAAGTACTGCCGAATCAGTAACTAAACATCCATGATTATGATCATAACACCAGAGAGAATGAAAAAAAAATATACATCTAAGATACAGATTAAGTCTTCAATTTTTTTTAACATTAATTTCCTCTACCCAAGAACCAGATAAATTAAGCATACTTCATCCTGAGGTATACCAACACTCTACAAGAAAACAAGCCACCCCTGTTCCTGAAGCACATTGCACTCTGCTACGTTCATTTAAAAGCGACACAGCTATACTGAGAGTGCCATAAGTACTGCAAAATATTGAACCTAAGCTGTTCAGACGAAGTGTTTTTTTTTCAGCGGTAGCACCACACAATTCTTAAATAATAAAAATAATCAATGTACAGTGTGCAGCATAATCAACACCCAACATTCACAAAAATTACCTAATCATCTTATTTATCATTAAATCTGCGCCTCTCTACATGAAAATTGGATGTTTATCGCGATACAATATCATGGGAGATATACACAAAGGTACAGGTACACAGAATGACATCAGCTGTTCCCATTTACTTATGCTACACCATTCGCATGCTCTGGGTTCCCACCCCCCAAATTAAGGGAGTTAGAAATTGGTTCAGATTTTGTTTCCGCTAAGTTGAAACAAGAAAGAAAGCCCAATAATTTCTACCCTGTACAAACCACACCGAAGTATATCACCTTTCGCCGTTGCGCTATTCACCTATTTCAAATGCCAGACATATAGGCAACACTTCGCATGGATTCCATGACCACGTATGCAGTGGAGACCACTGCAGTCTAGCACCAAACCGAATACCCCTAAAGCATAAAAACTGAAGCTATATCTGATTTCCATGTTGAAAAGGAGATAAAACTGAAGATTCTTTTTCTGACATAAAAAATCTGATCTCCATGGAAAAGTATCACTCTGCACAAGATAGGATCCATCCCACAGTTCGTTGACTCTCCACAGATTCTCTTTAACTCCTACTAGTCTCTGAAAAAATTATATGAATCCTGACATCCCCTTTCAACGGGCCTGTCAGAGTGAATAACCACACTTTGATCCAACGTCCTTCCTGCACTAACTTCATAGTTCTCGGGAATATCCACCGGCATCTGTATTAAACATGGTCCCAATGTTCTGCTACGTTATTTCTGTCCTAGGAATAGGAGATCAGTCAAGGGAATTCAGGACAGGAAATAGGCATTGGGTTCTGGAAAGGAGGTAAATTTCGCAGTAGGATTGTCAACTAGGAAAGGAGGATTTAGGATAATTGGAAGACCACGAACTGGTACTAGGGTTCTGGACATGCGGATTTCTAGAAAGGAGGGGAGTCCCACAGGAGTGATGCTTTGTATGGACAACTGAATTGGATGACAGGCTAGATTGGAAGTCAGGATCAGGGCTTGCTACCACGAGAATGGAGAAAAAAGGTCAGGAATGGGGATGGGAGGTTGAGAACTAGGACAAGAGGCCGCGAATGTAAACAGAAACAACATGGGGACTCCAGCACAAATGAGGATATACTGATTTCTTTATTTCTTGAACAGATGTTGAATGTATTACTCATAGCTCTTGCAGTCCTCCATTTTCCTAGATGGTAGTTATCTTCCATCCTTTTGCCATAACCATCAGATCGTCACATGATTGTCTTACCGTCAGATAGCCACCAGAGTTATGGCTCCCATTGGCAAAATTCTTCACTTCAAAATATGCATTGATATGTTGTATAATGGTCCAGCAGTTTAAATTTTTTCAATGAAAGTTGGATGTCGAGGATATAACCCAAATCTGCACAAGGTAATCAACGACCCACCACTTTAGCTTTCATTATTTGTTTAAGATAAACCGAGACAATTAACTTACAAAGGGCACTTAAAGATTGCCATCTTACTGAGACAGAACTGAAGACGTAGACACCAAAGGTCTTCACGACATTAAACTTTCTCATCATTTTCAAAAAAATGCAGGTTCATGAGCACCATCATTACCGGTGGCAAATAAATTAATGGATGACAAATTTCAGCTTCAGATCATTAAAAAGAAAAAGATGATTCGGTTCTAGTGCAGAAATGATTTTTCCAAATGATTCAGTTATATATCTATTCAATGTTAAAATTAGTTAAAGCTCATATTGTATTTTCCAGGGTCCAACGCTTGTTCATTGATGACTAATCACATAAATCACGGCCAAAGGAACAGGCAAAATCTTAAGCCAATGAGAAACTAAATAGCATTCCTCTTTCTGAGATTTTCTCACTCTGGCAAACTATAATTGTTTAAACAGAGTAAATCACATTATCAACATCCTAATCAAGGAGACTTTACTATGTTAAAAAAGTATATACACATGATATACCTTGAAAAGGTTAAAAGCCAACTGTTTCTGGATACGAAAACTCCGGACTTTGTCGTGATCTACAAGATCAAAGTATATACCCCTTCCAATCTGCTCCACCAAATCCTCATTTCTCGCAACCTAAATAAATTTCAAGAAAAAAGATTGAAGCGCAGCTGCATCAAACGAAGAAAATATGGAATATCAATGAAAGTTGGATCATAATCTCCAGACCTTTATAATGGTGTAGAGATGAGCTTCAGCTTTCTCTTTCTTCTTGTGCTCTTTTTCTTCTTGTTCCTTCTTCAATCTCACCTAAAAACAAAACGATGAACTTTTATGGGATGCAGTATTTAAACTACAATCATTCAAGGAAAGGAAAAAAATATTCTCTTACCCGAAGATGCTCAGCAATGTCTTTCTCATCCACATTGCAGATTATCTTTTCCTTATCACTCTCCCGAATATACACAAGCATATAGGCATTTGAATATTTTGTAAATTTGAAAGGAACATTATTAAATCCAGGATTAGCCTGAGGCAGCTGTCAGACAAAATGAGCAAGTAAACAACTGATAGAAATTTACCTCTTCTTTAATGAGGTAGTAAACAAAATGAGTATCATTAATGTGTCCTGAATGAAGCATCCTTACCTCTTCTTCGCCACCATATTGCTCCTCCAATGCCCTTTTGGTGTCCTCTTTTGTTACTCGTTCATCATCAAACTTGTACCTGAAGAGAGACTCCTCTACTCAATAGAATTTTGTCACCAAAGAAACTAAATCGTGCATTAATGGATTCTCAAACTTTCTAGAAATATTCAAATATAGTCAGCAAAATAAGTTGGCAAGATTAACGGCAATAGTTCTTGCAATTGGCGTACAGAGGAAGCAGGCATGAGAACAGAAGAATATAGTTTCACTAAATATTCATTCATCTAATATAACTTCGAAAAAGATACACTAGAAACATCAGATCAACCATGATTTTCAACAACATTAGAACATATCCCCAAATAAAGTACTTGAATTATATAAAAAAAGAAAATTTGCCCCTGCAAAACAACTACATACCACTGGTCAGAGAGTGTTGGCCGAATAAAAGCATAGTAGTGCCCCCCATGCACTCCACCACTATGTACAAGAACGCTGAAAAAAAAACACAAAAAAACATTATGTAGGTGAAAACTGCAACTACTTGCATCAGAATATTCTCTATGTAAGTGAAATATGAATGTCCAAAAAAGAGATAGCTCCTCTATCAGAATATCCTCTCTTTCAATAGATAAACCACAACCAGATTCGTATACTCGGACTAGGCCAACAATAATATGAAGTAAAAATAATCCGGCACTAAACATTGTATGATGTAAATGTGCAGGATAAATAATAATAATTTAATAAATAGATCTTCTCAACCTAAGTGATCTCATTCCTTTGATTGTGCAACTGCCTAAGCCGTTTCCTTTTTCCTAGAGTATTTTTCAAATCATGTTTTTCCATGAAACTACCATGAAAATAATACGGATTGCACTGTTTTCAAATCAAATGTCTTTCCTGAGTCTCTGTACACGTCCAACTAGTACGTACAGAGGATGTTTTAGCGTATTGCCTGATAGAGAATGCATGTTGGCGTGGAACAGCATACAAAGATATCTGACACGCCAAGTTGACACTATGTATAAGTGTACTACGAGGTGAACATCACATATTTGAGCTTCTCTAGGACACAACCAAACATCAATTAACAGGCATAATCAGCACTTTTTTACCTATGAAGAGTATAAAGATTGCGAACACTTCTGTCTGCTTCCGGTGAAAGGTACTTCCCATTGTCTTTATCAAGGTCTAGTTGCAAAGGAAACTCATATCGATCATTTATCTGAAAATATTGTCACAGAAGAAGAGTGACCAACCAAAAAAAATGATCGCACGAAAAAAAAGACAATTCTAATCAAAGATGAAAACGAAAAAGAAAAGAGAAATATAAACGATACACAAGCAGTGATGCTCAATAATGTCATTTTTTAAAGGAAAGTAGTACTACCTATTTAGTAAAGAACAAAGGAAACCGTCGGGAATACATGAATATGTACTATCAGCTTTCAAAAAACCACACATATGGCTACGTACTACACCAAGATGATATGGGCAATGTTAATGCCCATAAAAATTCAAAAATCACTGTTGTATGCTTAAAAACATCAAAGTGCTGCATGACAGAAAGATGATAGTAAAAGGGACTCAGAAAGATAGTTATAATATAAACGGATCAATTAGAGCTTTGAATAGAGCTGTAACTCTTTAAATCCAGATGAATCAATATTCAATACATGCAAATCTCAGAAGTAATTAAAGGCTGTCAAATGTGGAGAAAAAAGGTAATATCAGAAGAGCCAAAAGATTAGATCTGATACAACTTCCACTAGGGTTAAATAAGTCTCAAGCGTTAGCTGGTACACCAAACTCTCTATTCCTCGACTTTGAGGAAGTTGGGATTTACGCATGTTATACACCATTTTGGTGCAGACTGTAGAAATGCAGCATGAAGGGTACTTCTAGATTGTGCATTGATCATATGTCCATATCTCTTTTCAACCATGATACTACCACTTTCAGAAAGGAACAAAACTATTGATCATTTACAGGCAAAATAATGAGAGCAAATCAATCAAACTTCAACTTGAATAAAAGACACTAGAAAATCATATGGTACTAAGTAAAGAACCAAGTCGCATGTAGCACATGATTTGAATACCAACCTTTACCATCGTATCACGCATGAAATCATACTCAAAACGTTTAAGTTGAAGCTGAAGGACTGGAGGAAAATCAATGAACAAAACTCCTTTCTTAGCATCCTGCAACACATATTTACACATTAGAAAAATAATAGTTTCTAACAATTGCAACAAAATAATAACTGAAAACAGCTTCTGCAATCACAATATTTTTTTGGGACTCATTTGAATAGAGTTTAGTTCAGTTATTGACTTCACGGTCTTAGTAATGTTCACTAGAAACATCTCCCAATCATATCCCTTCATTTCGGCCATTTTAACACTTCGTCTCAACCAGTTGAACAGTATGAAAGGTCCTGTTTTACCTGCCTTTTTTTTATTCAGCAAATATAAAGAGTCAAAATATAACCTGAACACCAAGCTTTTCACTCAGCTGGGTTATTTAATCATTTAGTGTTGCAAAGTAAAAACTATTTTTGCCTTTTGAAATGCTGCATAAACGTCATGTAATGAAAAAGGATCAACAGGCACCTGTAAGCCGTATTGCTCAGCATGATACTTGTTATCTCCTTCAAGACGTTCGACTTCAACATACTTATCAAAAGAAGCATACACATCTCGACAACCTTTGACATCGAGCTGAAGATCTGAAAAGTATGGGTTAAAGTGTAATGGTTCAGTAAAAAAATATCACTAAACTTGGCATAAGTCGGTAGTATCTCCAAAAAAACTACCATAAAATGATTCCTTTCTTGTTGACTTGTAGTCCACATTGATGCACTCGATATAATTCATGTGGTGCCCTTCAAAAAGATGCTGAATAGTACCCTCAACAACAGTTCCCTGAAAAAATGCAGATAGAATGACTTTTTATCATTTTAAATATTTGATGCTACGTAAGAAAAACGTCAAGCACAGATGTGAACCTTCATTTTATCTTCCAACTTCTCACAAAGAACCCTATTGAGCTCTTGTACGTCGTGCTGCATGAATGAATCATACGTATCCCACCCAAATGATTTTGTTAGCTCCTTTGTTGCAACACTATTGTCACTGTACTGAAGCTTGTAGAATAGAGACTGCAGAGCTAGAGGGATACTTCCAGATGGCATGTCATTCTCAGTAGTGGGCATATGGTACACAGCCTGAACATACAATTTGATGATTCATTTTCCAGTTAATGCTTGCGGTAGCACAACTTTTCTGAAAGATGTAAAAGCAAAATAGGATGAGAAGAGTCTGCAAACCTTTCTAAAGTATGGAACATGGTACAAAGTCTGAAGAAGAGAGTTCATGTAACAGGTTGCACCTTGATTCTTAAGGCCAACATAACCTGTTTCTTTTTTTGAATCGTATGCCCAGTAATCAACCACCCTACGGACTGCAACTTCAGCTTCGACTATTAACGTATCATTGACAAGATACCCTCTATTTGGATCATAGATTTCACTTAAAGGCATGAATGATGTGAAGCCCCAATCACTCTCACGGCCATTGAATTGGTGCTGTGTATCTGAAAGATGGAACAAGATCAGAGATATTTCCTCTTCACCAAAACGCTTAGCCACTCATGCCCCACTGAAGTCGGAATGTAAAATCCGGTGATTAAGATGCAGAGATCATGATTATGGACACAGGAAAGGCTGAGCACATATCCCTCATTTGCAGAAAATGATAATTTCCTAACCTTTACCAATCAAAGTCCACCAATGGACGAGGGATTGTGATTCAACAAAAAGGCAGCGATTTTGGCAGTTAGACATTCGTAACCAGATGTCTCGTCAGAAAAAAAAAATCATTAAACACTGAAAAATTAGTCCAAAGACGATGTGGCAGAAGCATTGAAAGCATACTCAACCAGAAGGACTCAAATAGTTTACACTGATTCTGGAAGTTTGTTATCTCAATACCAGCGACAATACCTTTTCTTATGGTGTATTTATGCTGGATTTGATTCACCACAGCCAGACTGAACTGAGCATATCGGCTCCACCCATAGGGAAGGCTTGCTGAATCGGCCACATCCAGGTACATAGACAAGTGGTCAACATTGTTCCCCTTTGGAAATATCAGTATTCGCCTGTCACAGAGCATCATCCATAATTAGCAACCTCCTACCTTCCATAATTGCACTTTGGGAAGGTGAGCTAGATAAATATGACGGCAAAACATTCGCAATGTGGGGTTTTTAAGATCAACCAACAGACCACTTGTATCCGCCGACAAAGAAAACATCTGAATAATGCTTCTTCACGTTAAGCCTGGAGAAATTCTCGATTGTCCAGGTAAATCTAGATGTTGGAGGATCTTCCACCGGTTGGTTCTCTGCACTGGTGGCAGATTCTGGTTGTGCGGCTACAACTGCAGCAAGAGAAACAAGTATGAGCACAAGCGTTTGAGGAAGAAGAAACACCAACACACCCCATTCCAAACTGGTTCATGAAATAAAGACAAAGACCAAGCTTTTGGTTCATCACGAAACAAGTAGCGAAAAACGATGAACGAGTGCAAGGCCACAGAATATAATTCGCCCCGAGGATCATGTGCAGTTTGTCAATGGGAATAACGGGGCAACCTTCCATGGGTTGGGGGCCTTCGACGAAATCCGAGTGCGGAACCAGCATCTCGTCCTCCTGCTGCCGACAGACACAAAAAATAAACACAAATCAGCAAGATAGATCCAGGCTGCAGCAAACCGCAGGGTTGGGTGCAACGAGACCGGATCGTCACCGATAAGTCAAGTCACGCGGAATCACAATTCAGATCGAATTACACCCCGCAGGCAACCAAATGCGTCCCAATGAAATCCTAAGACCCAGCGGCAACCGCGGTAGCCCCACGACCACGGGGCCAACATAGGCTCCCCAGAAACGGGTTTCCATCGTCGCCGGGGAAAGATGGCGTGGAGAGGGGAAACGGAGCAGCCGGTTTACGTACATCGAGCGGCGGAGGTGTCATCATAGTCATGGATGGGCGCCGAAGTCGACGGCCTCGGCCAAATCAGCAGTCAGCTCCAGTGGATCCACTATAGGGCGTCGCAACCCCGCCCCCGCAGCAACCTGGAAATCCCCCACCTCGTTGCGTAGATAGAGAGACGGAGGGCGTGGGGAGGGAGGGAGGGAGGGGAAGAGAAGGGAAGGTGGAGGGGAAGAAGGGGGAGTGCGGAGTGAGTGCCGCCGAAGCCGAGAAGCGAGCAAGCTCTCGGCGAGGAAGGCACAGCTGCTAAAAGTCGCCGAAGCGAAGGAAGGGGGAGACGCGGGGCAGATGCGGGAGGGTAGTTTTGGAATTTACTTTTCATCGCCCCCCTGGAGATATGCACTCCGAGGATCCCCCGAGTGGGCCCAATTCCACCCAGGGGCATCATGAGAATTCTCGGGGTTACCCCTCCCAGGGGGTCTCACATTCACCATCAGGATCCAACCGGGTATCCCTTGGACCCGTTATCTTTCGGATCCGAAGCTCAGTTTCCTCCTATTCCCACGTACCTAGTACTTAATGACGATGACGTGGGCGGCCCATGACCGTCCATCAGCATCATGATTTCGTTGTCCAGCATCATGGGAATTATCGAGATTGCCCCCCATTCTCCACGTCACCATCTGGATCCATCCCGGACCCGTTTTCTTCCGGATCTGATAGCCCAGTTTACCTCCCATTCCCTCATTTTGCTGATTGATGATGACGTGGCCTCTCCATGACCATGCATCAACATCATGAAGTCCATCCCTGACTATTAATTACTTGGGGTTGACCAGAATAGTTTGATCAGCTATCACTAGCTCGATACCATTTTTCGTAGTCAATGAATTTAGTTCTGACCAGGATGTGACTAGGAGAGGAATATTTCCGTAACTAAAAGTCAAATATACTACGCATGTTAAGTGTTTAGTCGGTCAGAATTAGAATTAAATATAAATTATCCATAAAAAGATAATTACTTATTAAAAAAATATCCTTTATTCAGCATAGATGACTTTCTTAGTACAATAAATAATGAAAATTCCACAATAAAAAATATGACAAAATAAATTTTCATCACACGAGGAGAAAAAACTATAATAAGAAGAAAGAAAAGAAAATTTAATCATATCCATCTCACTTGTTCGTTCTAGTCAAATATTTCTCATCCACTCTCACATGATTAGGTACAAGAACAGAAAATGAACACATCTCAGTCTAAAAAGAGAAGGTCAAAGAGAAGACCACAATAGCTCCACAAAGTCAACTCACAAGAAATCACTAGAAGGAGATGGCTAACTGCATGAAGAACTGTACAACCCCATCAGCTTAAAGCTTGTTGATTTCATTAGCGACAATGCGGTAGATGACCGAGCCGCCCACGGTGTCGACAGCCAACCGATTCATCCGTATGAGAGCCAAAACGTAGGACTTCCCCTTGCGCCCTGCAATCGAAGCATTACATTGACAAGATGATGGAAATAAAGGCCCACGAAGGATGAGTCTCATGTGATGGTGGGTACTGAAGGCACATACCCAGCCCGAGTTCGGCAAAATCAGCCTCATTGAAGGAATCACAGTTCTTCAATGGGTCTTGCTTGGAGAGACCCAAGTTGATCTTCGTCACAGCCTCTTGCAGGTCCTTTAAAAGTCAACGTTTTTTTGTGAGCAAGTTTGGACAATCAGGAGCAAAGAATGATGCTGTACGATTTTTGGAGACACCATAATAAGAATATCCATAAGACTGATGACTAGCCAAATGAAGGCTTGGTCCTTGGTGCAGAATGACTTAGGTGGTGGCATTCCATGAATCACAAGAATGTCAAGCATGCTCTTCTTATCTTCGATAAAAGGAAAAGATGAGACTGTAGTTGACTGAACAGAAGGAAGATACGTATGAATGTAAGGGATCATACCTCCCACGAAGCAAGACTCCTCACATAGGCAGGAAGTTTGTCGTAGTCATTTTTTGATATTTCTATCAAAGCTCTGATGGCACATACATCTGGCACATACCTCCCGGAGTTCATTGATCATTAACAGAATGCTTGTCAATAAATAGGGTGAGCATTTCATGGCCAGTTGTGATACCTTTGGGAGCAATTGCTTCCAGAGAGGAACGATGTGAGATCTTTTCGTCAGAGGTTTTGCCACTGCCCGAACTGAAGGAAACGAAAATTTTCAGGAAGGAATACTGAAGGGTCACAAACAGAGAACTAAATTCATTCACCTTAACAGTTCTTCTGGATGACTCCTTGAACTCGGAAGATCATTTTGGGCTGCAACATAAGACCACGGATTCTATGTTATCAAAGAAAGACAGAAAAGATCTTCCATCAACAGAGAAGATGACAAAGACCATCGTTTATTGTGAACAATAACAAGCCACTAATATTTACCCCAATAAATTATAGATAAGTAGACACTAGCTGCTGATGGTTTCATTACTATAACATGGCAGAAATGTTTAACCTGGATCTGCTGATGGACCTGATGAGGAATTTCTGATCCACACACACAGATTTTAACAGGAGTTTGGGGGGCCAATCTATACAGCAAGTAGCTGAAAATAATTCAATGGTTCGCCATAATGCAATTTAATATAAACTTCTGCACTTTGTTCTCCTTTAGAAAGTGAACAAGCTTATAAGGTTGTACAAGATACCCGGACACCAATGGAAAGTAAATTTTGGTCCAAAATAAGTTAAGCTGAACAAAAATTGTAGGAGCTGGAAAGCACATATGTGGTCAACACAGTACTCCTCTCAGGAAGTATATGAGTAAAAGAATTACAAATTTGATTAATAATTGCTTGTGACGCATTGTTATAGAAAGACAATAAAAGAGCAAGACACATTATAACACGAGGATGACCCCAATAGATGCAAAAAAATTCGAATCGCACAAACTGTGGATACTATTAAACACAAGTTAATGAAGAAAGCCTGTATGTAAAATAAAGGGCACAGTTCTCTCCCACCATTCAATAAATTTTTCTACAAGATTATAATTTTTGATGAGAAAGTAGCGCAAACACCACACCTTCGTTCCTGTTTGGCAAAGAAAAATCAATTGTGTCTTGTCAGTTGTCAGTTGTCAGAGTTACACACTATTTTGAAGTATAGCTGACAGTAGGAATTTCGGTTGGAATTAGGATTATTTTCCTTTTGGTTATTGCGAAAATATGTGCATTCAGAATTTCCTTAAATCGTTGTCAGTATGTCTTTAAACATTCATTTGATACGACGCAAAATCCAATTAAACTTTCCGAAAAACTTTCACAACAATGTTGTTTGACACAGTTGAGATTCCAAGATTACCAGCCAAAAGAATCATTAGTTCAGAAGGAAGCTCAGCAATATGGTGGACTTAGAATTGAAACCTATGTAGCTGAACCAAGTACACATCCAGGGGCCAAGCATTTAAACTAAAAGGGAGACTTTGGATTTATGTGATCATACTAACCTTCACATGCTAAGGTGGCAAGGCACGCATCTGAAAGGCCAATGTCTTGCAAAGATTGCGAATCCTCAAATCTTCAATTGGTTAAGGTAGTTGAGAGCATGCAACGCACTAGGTAGAACAAAGACGTATGGGTCGAAGTACACCAGGTACTTCTTAATCGTAGAACACATCAAAAGACTACTAGTAAATTCATCAAAACATAATCGATCAAACTATTTGATAATGGAAATTGAAGAGCTTACCAATTTTTCCCATGAAAAAGTAAACCCTACCAGAATTGAGTCCAAATGATGAGAAAGTGCTAGAACCGTTTCAAGATCTTAACTCTTCGTATGTTTCCCAATTGATATTCGGTAACAGTTTACGGGGGAATGAGGACGAGAAAAGCCTAAACCACATGGAAATTATTACTAAAGAAAAAGGAAGAATAGAATGAAAAAAAAGCGCTGATCTGGCGGAAAGTAAGTCTACTTTGAGAAGTCGAAAATAACACCAGAGGATTACCCCCCAAAAAAAACGGGAGCCTGTACTATAAACTATGGACATGTTTAAGCAAGGGAAAAAAGGATACAGAGGATCCTCATCCAGCCTCCTCCTGGCAGACCCTACTTCAAAGATCGATCCACAAGCCTGCCGTGGCGGCTGCAACCCACTCTCCGAGCTGTGAAGCCTCGAATCCCCATCCAAATCCCCACTGTCATCGATCCCGCCTAGATCAATCTCTGTAGTGTCATCCAAGAGATCTCAGCAGAAATTACAAAATCGCACGAAATAATGATTCCTTTCGCGAGGAAATCAATCTTTCCATCTCTCCTCATTAATGGCCAACGGGTGAGAAACTTGCAACAACAGTCGTTACCGGGGACGTAGCCGAAGCTGGAGAGGCGATCCTGGAGGAGGTCGACATAATTCTGGTTGCGCTTGTAGACCTCCATGCAATGTCCGAGGAGCTCCGCAACGGAGACGGTCCCCATTGCCATGTCCTCAAGCAATGCTAGGTCCGACGCGGCAGCCGCCACCCTCTGGCCAAGCCGCTGCGTAAACGACGCCGTCGCAGAATCTGTTTCATAGGAACAATGATGACTGAAAGCCGGGGGGGCGTGAGGGGAAGATCCGGAAACTTGAAGGTACCGAGAGGGATGGGGCGGCGGCGGAGAGAGTCGGCAAGTGCGTCGGAGCTGGCCTGGAGGTGGGAGACGAAGGCGGACATGGCCCCGTAGAATCCAGCGATGGAGCCTTCCATCCCTCCCGATCGCCGCCGATGCCCGTCGCCGCCGCCGCGCCGCTTCGCCGTTCGTTCAGAGCCTCCGCCACCGAAAATACTTTCAAAAATGTTTGGGCGGGAATTCTTCCTCCGCTGTTTCTTCCGGCCCGCCCGGGCGGCTGCTCGAATCGATTCCAAACGGATCGCGATTTCTGCAATGGGTTAACTACCCATTAACTATGGGTGTAATTAATTATGACATAATTAGTTACGAAATTACTCGTCATAAAAGGATATTTATAGTTTTCAGTATTAACCTCAATTTTCAACAAGGCCTGAGGGATCATTATCCCAAAAATAGACCTAAATAATTGCTTTATTTGTCCATGTCGTACAATTTCAACCAAAAAATAATGCTTTCCCTATTTTATTACTGGGGGCTAATAAAAAAATATTTATTTTCCAAGTGTGAGGAAATCCCTAAAATGAGTATTAATTAATATACAGTAATTTAGGAGTTTTTATTAATTGGTGATGGATTTTTCATAAAAAAATTATATTGTCATGTTATGGAATTACAACCAAGAAATGACATAAAAAATTAATATATTTTTTTCAGGTTTGAGAAAACCCCTAGAATGAGTCTTAATTAATTGACGGTAATTCAGGAGTTTTATTTAATTGGTGGTGAATTTTCCATAAAAAAATAACTAGATTATCACAACGGGCGCGCTTAAGGCATCTGCCCCGCCGGGCTCGTTTATGCCAGGCTTTTTGACCCGGCCCATCTCACAAAATGGCCGAGTAATCACAGCGGGCTTGCTTAAGGCCCTACGAATACTGATTCCGGGCAGGCGGGCTCATTTAGCTCGGTTTGTTTTTCAGGCCCGGCCCAGCGCAAACCCCAGACTGACTGTCATCCTTAAGGGAGTGTTCTAACGCCGCTCGCTCGCTCTTCTCCCGAGTCTGCAATTCTCTCTTTTTCATCTCGTTGCGGCAGAGCGATTCTGCAATCGACGATGACGTCGCTGATCTCGCCGTCGCAGGGCGCCGCTTTGTTCGCTGGAGCGAGGGGCGGCGGCGGCGGACACCGGAGGTGCAGGAAATCGCCGAGGATTGTCATGACCAACGTCGCCGCTTCAACTGAGCCCATCACCGTCGTTTCCAGGAACAACGCGTTATTCCCCGTAATGGTGCGAACAGATCTCAGGAGAGCATTGCAGCTGGAATGATCGTTTCTGTTATTGGCAATGTTTCTTGATGGCTTTGCGCCGAAGTCCTGGACCGTACCTCTGTTTTCAGGGTTTGTGAGGGGTTTTGGGGATTTTGGAAAATCGTACACCTTGAGAACCCTGCATCGATAATGGTCGCTTGCGACTTCTTGAAGTTTTCTTTGCTGGGCTTCGGGTTTTCATTGTGTTACTGCGCTTCGGTATTTTTTTTAACAACTCATCTTTATGCGATACTGAAACTTCATTTTCTGCTGTGAAATGTTTGCATCTTCCTGTTGACATGCACATTTGGTGAAAATAGTAACCTGGTGGCCTTTGTTACTCCTAAAATTCTTAGAATCAAATTTCTGTCCCAGGGACGCGTTGTATCGATTTCTCTCTGCTAATGTTCTCAGGAAAATATCATGATATGATGTGCGGTTGATTTTGTTAAGTCGTAAGCTCAGTTGACAAGTCCAACCGATGTCAAAGATTTATCATCTCTTCACATGTTAATGGTCGATCGTTGAGTGACGAGTATCCCTTCTAAAAATTGCTTAAAATTGTAGTTTCCATTCTGAAAGTTGCAAATTCATGACTCAGTGGGTATCCCTCGTAGATGCTTTCTTTATCTAGAAAAATGAGCTTTTGGTGGATATAGTGCATTACAGTTTCTCTATCTAGTATTGAAAATGCAAGAAAATCTGTAACAAATCCCATGTTACTTTGATGTAGTAATTTTGACTTAGCCACAAGCCTCCCATTTTTAAGTTGCACAAATTCAAGAAGTGAATGGTAGTTGTATCGGTGTAAGTTTCAAACTGAAAGACTACAGTTGCATATTACTCATGTTGTGATTGTTCAATCTTGCTAGGTAAATGGATGTGCGGGAAAAATGGGGAAGGCTGTTGCTGAAGCAGCCGTATCAGCAGGGCTACAGTTAATTCCTGCATCATTTAGCAGTCTGGGTGAAGCAGGTCAGCTGGTCAAGGTGAGCACTACAGATGTTCGGCTGCATGGCCCTTCTGAGAAGGAAGATGTGTTATCTTCAGTTTTGGATAAACATCCAAATGTGATCATCGTGGACTTCACAGTGCCTGATGCTGTTAACCGTAAGTGCTCTCTGAATGTCTTAAAAGTTGTGACATTTTTATTTCCTTTCTAAATCAAGCATTCTGGATGCCAAAATCAAAGATTTATGAGAGGAGAAACCTTTTATTATACCATTATAGAGACAGGTCTGAATTCAAAGGCGAATTTTTTTTTTAGCTGTCTATCTGATGTGTTAGTTATTTCAAGCCATCAGTACCAGCCATGGTTTACCCTGACAAGACGAGATAAAATAGGGCAGAACCTGGAGACTGATGGGAAGCTTGATTTTTCAATTATGTATATTTTTGAATTTATTGGATGATATCCTTGCGTAATGCCTGATTACTATGTTTTCTGCAGCAAATACTGAGCTATATTGCAAATTTGGCATGCCCTTTGTAATGGGTACAACTGGCGGGGACAGAGAACTGATGTATAAGACTGTGGAAAACTCGAATGTTTATGCAGTAATATCTCCACAGATGGGAAAACAGGTCTTCTGAGATTTGGATTAACAGTTCGAGTCGATTTTGAATTTGATATTTTTCTTATTGTACATAATATGGAAAGAGTTACTTCGTCATATTGAATTATTTTCAGGTTGTTGCATTTCTTGCAGCGATGGAAATCATGGCTGAGCAATTTCCTGGGGCCTTCTCGGGCTACTCACTTCAGGTTTATATTATCATTTTCTTCAATTCTGAGAAGTTTGTTTGGCATGTGTCTCATGAGAGAGAATCAAATGAACAAAAAATCATTAATAAACTTTATACTTCATTTAGCTATGTCGTTTATTTTTCTTTCTGATGGTTGAAGAGATAGGTTTGACACATTTTTTTTGTTCCAAGATGAAGATGTTATACTTTCATAAGGAAATTCTACACTCTCCAAAAAAAACTCCTGTGATACAACAGAACGTTCATAAAGATCCCCACCCCATTGATATGGATGTATATTTTCTCTTCTCTCCATGCTAGTCTCTAGACCTTTTTTTGGGTATAGTGGTTAGATGTACAACAAAAGTTGGGGCCATTAAAATGTCTGAGCTGTCTTTGGGTCATTAACCCCTCTGCATTTGTATGGGAATAGATTTTTCACAAGCCGTTCATCTCTTCTGTGACAATTGGGTCTATTTGTGTTCTGGTTGCTCATACGCAATCTGTTATATAGGCTTGTTTATGTATCATTTAGCACAAAGAGACTGCTGTTCTTGCCTGTTGATGGACAAGAACTTAGGAGGCAGAACGTTATTACCAATGGAGATGCAATGCTGTTGGAAACCGTGGTGTACAGGATAATTCTCTGCTAAGACGCTTGTACCAGCTGGAACTGTTGTGGGTTTGTCTGATGGACGCCATTTCATCTTGTGGGAAACATGAACGCTTCATCAGTAGTAAAAGGTCATTATAGTGAAATAATGTATTTGTGCTTGAGCTTGGGAAGCAACCAATGTTGGGTTATTGATAGCAGAAACAAGTATATGAGTTTAATCAAGTAAAAAAAGTCTTTATACTGCCACACTATCAAGCATTTAGACGTAGATGTAGAGCAGGGGAAGCATAGTTAGAACTGTGGTAAAGGTGGCTACAGGTGGAGCAAGTCCTCCCCTCGTCAATAGGCTTGGAAGCAGCTTTTGGTACTATCTGGCTTACCACGAGATTTGGTGGTGTGAGCCAACGAGCCTTATGAATTGTCAGCATGGATACTACTTTCTAAACTGAACAAGAGAGATAGAGGCATTATCAAAATAATGGATGATTCTCAATGCGTGAGGGTGGATACCTAATGATGGACCATCATCTACTACTGGATCAATTGCTGACTTCTTATGGGGAAGGTTGCGTCCTGTAGATTGGTCCTTATCATTAGATGTTCGCAGAGTGTCTCAGTATCATCATAGAGTAATGCCTGTACATGACATGTATGGAGCATAAGCCACATCCACATGTTTTCGTTGCTTCTATGCAACTAATCTGGTAATATTGCTGCAGCATCTTAGCATGGCAAGGAGACTAATCCATTCTTGGAAAAGATGGGAGCTGCGATGGAGGCTGACATCCATCAATTCGTCTAAATGACCACAAATGTGTTCAGGTTGGGGATGTTTGGTGATTACTGATGTACCTGAGTCAAGGCATTGGCAAGTGCATTGATTGCCATATTAGTCAACTCATTTGCTGCATGTGCTGTTGGTTGTGTTGGGGAACAACTAAAATGGCTCTTGTAACAACACCTACTTGTGATCTAGTGGAGGTTCGGGTGGGTCTGATAGCAGCTTCTTTCTGGGGGAGTTTGGGGATAATGAACCTGTGAATCTGAGAGAAAAAATATGGAAAGATTGCCTGCCTGCGAAAACAACAATTTTCTCGGACTAGACGTCCTGTTGCAAAAAAATTTAAAATCTTAGGTCTGATCACGTAACAGGTTTCAAGTAAGATGTTATGGAGTTATAATTGTTCAATTGACGAAACCTGGGGAGATGGAACCAGCTTTCGTGGTGTGCATTCTTTGGTAACTTAATATCATACTGAAAATTAGTTTCTAGCTGGGTTAGTTTCTTGGCATTGATTACTGTCCCTTTCTGGTTCGTCTTCATAGTTGACTTGGATGGAGATGATTGAGGTTGTCTGCTATACCTTTTAAACATTTTGTACTGCTCATATTAGTTTGTAGTTGTGAAACCATTTCCTTTGACTAACCTACGACAATTTATGGTGGAAAGGTCCAAAGTCAGCGGGGTTTTGAGTTCCTAGCTCGATTTTGGTCGTACTCATGGTCGAGATTGTGGTTCTGACCATGCATAGTGCTACAAAAGGAGAAGAAACAGAATGCCTTATGATGAAATGATACGACTTTAGGACCATAATGAGGCTGGCAGCTGTACACATTGACATCTTTCTCAGAACCTGCTCCTGTAAATCTGGTGTTTGATCGTTGACAACCTTCATCCAGCTTATGAAAAACCCTGCTGCTCTCTCCAAATGGGCAAAATTCTGACTTTCAAGCAAGCTGGCTTTTTTTTTTTTTTTCTCTCCTTCCTGGGGAGACCTTAAGTCACTGAATTTATTTACATCATTTCTTCTCCTCTCCCATTGGCCGTGACGATTCTTGTGATACAATCAATTCTATAGAGCACCTATCCTCCTATCCTTCGATTCTTCTATCGTGTTCTTGGCTATTACCAAAAGAAGGGCAGCACTTTGATGATATTTGTCTCTGTGATGCTTCACCCTTTTCAGGTGATGGAGTCTCATCAGTCAACCAAGCTAGACACCTCTGGGACGGCAAAGGCGATCATTTCATGCTTTAATAGGCTGGGCGTCTCATTTGAATTGGATCAGGTGCCATAGAAAGAACCCTGAAAACGATTTCCATTTTTATCATCTCCACAAGAAAATCCCCATCTCTGAAAGGTTTTGGGATATATATATATATACATATACCTCCCTTGTTGCAGATCCAGCAGATCAGGGATCCTAGGAAGCAGCTCGAGGTGGTGGGCGTCCCCGAGGAGCACCTATCCGGCCACGCTTTCCATCTCTATCATCTGACTTCACCAGATAACACGTAGTTGACTTTCACCCGAGCTTGTTTGACCTTGAAAATTTGTGGTTCTTGTGCTGACTCTGCGTGATCTTCAGGGTGTCCTTTGAATTCCAGCACAACGTCTGCGGGCGATCAATCTATGCCGAAGGGGCCATTGATGCTGCGATTTTCCTCGCCAAGAAGGTGGTGGTGCCCTGTTCAGAGAAGATCTGCAAGCATTTCCTGCTCATTAAGGGGTGAATTGATCATGAATTGGGTTGATTACAGGTCCAGGCGAAGGCGGAGAAGAAGATCTACGACATGATCGACGTCCTCCGGGAGGGCAACATGCGATGATCCCCTCCTCTTGATCCATTTTTGTAGGCGGGCTGTGAACTCTGCTGTGTTCTTTCTTCTGTATCACGTTCTACTTGAGGAAAGATGCTCACAAATTTGTCATATTTGTTCTTATCTGTTGAACAATGTTCTCAGGTGAGGAAAGGAGCCACTTTTATCGACAGGCAGAGCGAGCGAGAGAGAGAGAGAGAGAGAGAGAGAGAGGAGAGGGCCTAGAACTCCAGTGGTCTAGAATATGAAGGGAATGAGGGCCTTGACTTCTCTGGGGTAGTCCTCGAACTTGGAGAGGTACCACTTCCTGGTTGCCCAGCTCCTGCCCATGAGGTAGAAGGCGGTGCCCGCCATGACACAGAAGGAGTAGACTGTCTGGGAGGCGCAGGCGATGCCGGCGAACACCATGATCTCGAACAGGTAGTGAGGGCAAGTCACGAGCCCGAAGAGCCCTCCCCTGGGGATCTTGTACCCGCCCTCCCCCTCCTTCCTGAGCCTGCAGAGGAGGACATGGTGGTACAGGTTGCCGCAGATCCCCACCGCGAAGAGGGCGGCGCCGGGGGGCTTCAGGTCCACCGGCGGCGGTGCCGTGCCCAGCGTGAGGTACTGCGTGTAGATGATGAACGAAGTGTTGATGAGGTAACAGAACGAGATGGTGGCGACGGATTCCAGGGCCATGGTTCCGCTGTACCGGTGGAGGAATAAGCTCTGCGGAAGAAGAGGGAACAGGTCGGGATCAGGAGTGAATGGGAAACCTTGGAAATCTGAGGAGGAAGATGTACCTCGAGGAGTCTCTTGAAGAAGTGTAGGCCCAGCATTGCCACCACCAGTGCGGCGCCGGGCGCCTCCCTCACGGCGGGGAGCGCGAGGGCCGCCACCGCCGCCGCGAGAGACGGTGAGTAAACCGCCACCATGCTGAGCTTGCTGCGCACCTTGGGGCCGAGCTGCTCGCCGGTTTCTGAGAATTTGGAGTATTTCACGTGGCTTCCGAGGGTCTCGTTGAAACCGCCGATGGCATGGGAAGTGGCGGTGATGGCCGGCATGGCGGAGGCCAGCAGCGACGGCGGCAGCGGGAAAGTGAAGGAGCGGACGACGTCCCACATCGTGGCCTACCCCGTATCTTCGGCTCTGGCTGGGTGGAGACGATTGTGCGGAGGAGGCCGGGTGTTCAATTCGCCTATCCAATGGGCCTAAGAAGAAGAAGAAGAAGAACCCATGGAGAAGGGCCCATCACCCAATGGGCCCATAGGAGAAGGATAAGCTGTGCGCCACCAAGATACACCATCCCAACCCAAGGGGTGTTTCTCCCATTCTCTCTCGTTCTCTCCCTTCTTCTTCCCCCTTACCCCTTCGTTCCCTCTCTCTTTCCCTATGTCCTCTTTCTCTCTCTCTCTCTCTCTCTCTCTCTTCTCCCACCCCCGCCGCCGTTCCGCCTCCTCACCGTCCGCTCCATCGTCACCGTTTCCACCTCCTTGCCGCTGCCCCGTCGCCGCCAATCCGCCTCATTGCCGCCGTTCCACCTCTTCGCCGTCCACCCGTCGCCATCATTCTCTCTCCTCGACGTCCACCCCGTCGCCGCCGTTCTGCATTCTCGCCGTCCACTCTGCCACGAAAACCCCCTCTTTTTTTTTTCTCTCTCCCGTTGACACCTTCCCATTTCGCCCTTTTCTCTTTCCGCCCCTTAATTAATTATTTATTTATTGACACCCCTACTCTCCAAATTTGTCCCTTATTTATTCACGCCCTTTTTCTCTCTCCGGTCGCTGCCGCCTAAATTTGTGACTCTTTTCCTTGACTAAAGTACGTTGAGCCCTCTCCTTTTGTGAAATTTGGTCTATTCAAAAGTCTTTGCTCTTAGAATTTCGTGTGATCCATAGGATAAGTCACCCTTTACATCATGGTGATCCTAAACGCTTGTTCTAATCATATTTGATTTCTTGAATTAGGTTTCTTAAAGTGTAACCAAATGATCCTCTCATCTGAATTGTGGGATTAATCTCCTCTTAAATCTTCTATCTGATTCGATCTAAGTCCAATTTCTAACCATTTCTTCGATTTCGTCATGATAACTTTGGATTTTATGACAAAAATGGACTTGTTGAGAGTAAGAATGGAGCTTTGTTAAATATTTGGAGTGACATGCTAATCTAGAATAATTTGCTTGAAGTATTTTTGGACTAAAGCTACAATTTTGGCGTCATTGGTCTGATCTAATTTTGAAACACTTGTCATGAGTTCTATGAAGGAATAAATTAAATTTGGGATGTTATAGATAATTTGCTTGCAACTGTCTGAATAATAGGGTTGTAATTACCAATATGTGAGGATAAAAAATGTGTGGGCTTACCAGAATCTAATTCACATGATATTTTTATAAAATATTTAATATATATATTATAAATTCATGAAATAAAGTACAACTTTGGAGGTAAATCTTTTTCAAAAGATTAGAAATTTATTGTGGATACTCATAAGTTTCAAGGCTTTATGGAATGCGTAGCTGGAGTGAAATTTAAATCCGCCATGCATCACATTTCTTTAATATTAGAAATACAACCAAAGAAAAATCCAATAGCTCAACCAAATTAAAGAAATTTTGTACATATTTGTTTAATTTGCCATTAGAAGTAATTAGGTTTTTAAGAACTTAAGTAACTAGGGAAGTGATGAAAGATAAAACTCATTGTGTCTCAACTCGTTGCTTTCCCTAATCCTAGTCATCCCAATCAAGTTCCCTGAATAATAAAACCTCTTTATAATAAGCTTATAAATCTTGCCATGACCTGTTTGAGCTACTTGTTGCTGATTAAATTCTTAATTAAAAGACAATGTATGTCCTTACTCTTTTCACACTGTAAGATGATACCATATTTTATTTTCTCATATTTATGTGGACAATGCCACATTTGGTTCCATAAATGAAGATTTTTTAGAGTAAATTTTAGATCATCATGACTGATGTCTTTTGTCCAAAAATCAAGACTTTCTTGATCTAGTCATGGTCATTTTTCCATCAATGGTTAAAAAGAAGCATAATTGGTGTGAAAAAGAAGAGAATTACTAGTTCTAGATTGAGCATTTAATTTTCTGGTTTACTCTTATTCAATGTTTTAGAAAAATTTAAGAGAATCTCATCTCAGTACAATTAAAACATTTTTTCATCATCTTTTCAAGTCGATTGATCTTAGAAAATTGATTTCAATAGTATTATTAGTTCAAGCTAATTTGGTCTCATTGCTCCAACTTTTTTGGAAATGGGGGCAAAGTATAAAGCAAGGGGACTCTTTTATACACAAAATTAAATTGGTCTAGTAAGATATAAATTTGAATCATGAATTCTATGAGAGTTCTTCACCTTTTGAATGTATTCTCTAATCAAACAATCATTCACTCAAAATGTCATTGCAATATACTAGATTTTTGAAGTGAAACCTTTTCGAAGTGTATGGATGCATCACAATTGTCTTAGTCCATTGAATATGGAGAAAGATCAAACATCTTAATCACTCTTACTCCAATTCAATGATATAAGCATTGGGTGCTGAAGAGTAACCACAAAAATTATAAATAACCACAAAAATCCTACTAATGAAAAGTAATTACTTGGACATTGAATTTTTGTAAAATATTTGATGAAAAATATTGATACTAACGATTATTTAATATAAGAGATGCCTATGATGTTTACCTACTTTGTCAAATCTTTTTTTGTGAATAATTAATTGATTAAAATAGAACTATAATCATGGTCATTCAAAATACTTTAAATATTGTCAAATATTAATTGAAAAATGACTTTGGTATTTTTATATCACCAAGTTACTGATATTTAGTATTTATATGAAGATTTACCAGGTCTATTCAGTACTCACATTTTATTTGAGTTTATTTGGATTTATGTTGGCTTTAAACATTAATTTATTTTGTGGTGTATCTAAAATGACGGTTCTAGTGATATAAAAATTTTACCAAATATGCTACAATCATTAACTCTGTATATATATATATATATTAATACTTAATCATAAATTTTATTTGTTTAACCATTGAGGATCTTTGAATCCTTAAAAGAGGTGTCATTTTAGTTACCAATTGTTAAAGTTTATAAAAACAAATTAGAATTTTAATGTTAACTAATTGAAGCAAATAAGGAAAGATTGCAATTCAAATTTCTCTACAACTTATCATCTCTCAAACAGTTAATTAACTCTCAATAATCCTTTTTGACTCTCTAAATTTAGTACTCATATTTTATATGAATACTCTCTATCTATCTCTCTTCCGTCGTGTGTTTGTGTTTATTCATAATTAAGGGTTTTTTTCTATGCGAAATTCTTGTTTTTCCTACTCCTCTCTTCTCATTTTTGTCCAAAAAGGTACTATTTCTCTTCAGAAATCATCCTCATTTTTCCTACAAGTGGTAGAGAGCAGCTGTGTTTATGTATTAGCCATTTTTTCCTTATGTAGATATTGTAGTGACATCAAAAGAGATTCAGACAAGGTTGTGAACGTTTTTGGGCATTTCTGAAGATTGCTTACCATAAGTAGGAACTTGCGATGATCTTTGGGATCTGAATTGCGAGAGAAAAATCCCCTCTTGATCCATTTTTGTAGGTGGGCTGTGAACCCTGTTGTGTTCTTTCTTCTTTATCACTTTCTACTTGAGGAAAGATGCTCCCAATTCTGTCGTCTTCGTTCTCCTCTGTGAAGAATGGTCTCAGGTGAGGGAAACAGCCACTCTCAGCAGACACGCTGTGAGAGAGGGAGAGAAAGAGAGCCTAGAACTCCAGCGATCTAGAATATGAAGGGAATGAGGGCCTTGACTTCTCTGGGGTAGTCCTCGAACTTGGAGAGGTACCACTTCCTGGTTGCCCAGCTCCTGCCCATGAGGTAGAAGGCGGTGCCCACCATGACACAGAAGGAGCAGACCGTCTGGGAGGCGCAAGCGATGCCGGCGAACACCATGATCTCGAACAGGTAGTGAGGGCAAGTCACGAGCCCGAAGAGTCCTCCCCGGGGGATCTTGTACCCGCCCTCCCCCTCCTTCCTGAACCTGCGGAGGAGGACATGGTGGTACAGGTTGCCGCAGATCCCCACCGCGAAGAGGGCGAGGCCGGCGGGCTTCAGGTCCACCGGCGGCGGTGCCGTGCCCAGCGTGAGGTACTGCGTGTAGATGATGAACGAAGTGTTGATGAGGTAACAGAACGAGATGGTGGCGACGGATTCCAGGGCCATGGTTCCGCTGTACCGGTGGAGGAATAAGCTCTGCGGAAGAAGAGGGAACAGGTCGGGATCAGGAGTGGATGCGAAACCCTGGAAATCTGAGGAGGAAGATGTACCTCGAGGAGTCTCTTGAAGAAGTGTAGGCTCAGCATCGCCACCACCAGTGCGGCGCCGGGCGCCTCCCTCACGGCGGGGAGCGCGAGGGCCGCCACCGCCGCCGCGAGAGACGGTGAGTAAACCGCCACCATGCCGAGCTTGCTGCGCACCTTGGGGCCGAGCTGCTCGCCGGTTTCTGAGAATTTGGAGTATTTCACGTGGCTTCCGAGGGTCTCGTTGAAACCGCCGATGGCATGGGAAGTGGCGGTGATGGCCGGCATGGCGGAGGCCAGCAGCGACGGCGGCAGCGGGAAAGTGAAGGAGCGGACGACGTCCCACATCGTGGCCTACCCCGTATCTTCGGCTCCGGCTGGGTGGAGATGATTTTGGTGGTGAGGAAGAGGTCTCGTGTTCAATTCGCCTCCCACATCTCTCTCTCTCTCTCTCTCTCTCTCTCTCTCTCTCCACTAATCGATAATAACTTGCTTAAAGGATTTTTGGACTAAGGTTACAATTTTGAGATTATTTTTCTGGTCTATTTTTTAAAAAACTTGTTATGACTTATTTAAAGGACTAAATTTTTTAGTGGGTTGTTTTAATAATCTGGTTGCAAATGTCTCAATGTTCGGGCTCACATTTGCCAATCCGCAATGATAAAAAACACGTAGGTTTAACAGAAGTTATTCAAATGATATTTCTAAAAAGGTTTTTTTATATACAAAATATGAAATAAATCACAACTTTGAAAGAGATTTTATTTTCAAATATGGGAAATTTACTTGGATTGTCTTAAGGTTTAAACCTTATGGAATGTGTAAGAGGGAGCAAAATTCAAATCTGCCATTGAAAATTTAAATCAATACTCAAAAACCTCAAAGTGATAGTTTAAGTATTTTGTATGGTATAAGCATGTGATTAAGTTCTCATTTAATAGTTCAAGGGAGCTGAACCTTATAGTCAATTTAACTCAAATAGGGTAATGAATCTAAAAGTAAATTAAATCGTAAATCTCTAAAGGAAACTGAGCGTAGTAAACAAAAGGCTGGTAATCAATTGTGTCATTGGACATTGAAACCTAAGGAAAGAGTTTTCTTGGAGAATGGGCATAGGCAACGCGATGAACTATCATAAAGATCTTGGAGCCCTCAAGATTTTAATCTAAAAAATATTAGAGAATTTTAGATTAAAATAAATCATGAATGGTTGATCCAAAGTTAACAACTATGTAAGATAAATTCCACCACTCTTTGATTTAAGTACGGCATTCAATCCAACAAGGTGATAATAACAGTCATGTTTTAGTTGATGGATGACAACTTCTGTAAACTATTGGAGATCCCAACAAGCCGTTTTATAATTTTTTTAGAAATCATATGTTTCATAAAAATATATTTCCAAGGAATTTCATGATGAATTCTTTATGATGTTCTTAGATAGTGAAGTCCTTTCAGCTGAGTATCCATTCATGTTTTAGAAATGTTACTGGAATCAAGGAAACATCATAACAATGTAGAATTTTGGAATTATAAACCTACCCATTTAAATATTTTAAAGCTGTTCGCCACCTAACTCGTTTTATAAACTTGGACCATATTTTAAAGCAATAATCTCTTGATGAGGATACGAGAATCGATCACACTGTTACCAGTTAATTTATTGAGAACAAGTGCATGAATTCGAAAGTCATGAGCTTTTAATTGGGTGCTTCAGGATTGATTTCTTAAAAGCTATTTAATTTGGCAGGCGGAAGATCAATATTTGTTGTCGGATACCCCCTTTCCCTGGTGGGAAATCTATACCCTAAGAAACAGAGTTGTTGTTCCTCTCACTGGGCTCAGTACGGAAGGCTCTCACGAAGCACCGACCCGTATATCTCGTCGCACGTCGGACGTCCTACTCGTGCAACTCTCGTAATTAGTCCTGCAAATTATTTGGAAGCATTTGCATATGATAAACAAGTCAAGAGTTGACTTGTCAAAACGAATCACCACGTTACTTGCGCTCCCCGAGCAGCCTAATCCACCGACAGCCCGATGCAGCTGCCAGCAGCCCACGCCACAGAAGAACGCGTGGCCAACCGGCCATCTACCGCCTCTTAGGCCTCAGTGCCCTCTAATCCCACCATTCCAGAGTAAAAGACTCGGCATTTGACAGAAAGCCTCCGCCGCCATGTGGGCCGTGCTCCCTGCCTTCATCTTCCCCCTGCCGACCTCGCTTCTGGCCCCTGCCATGGCGGCCATCTCCTTGGCGTCCCAGGCGTACGGCGGCATCAATGAGGCACTCGGAAATCACGTGTACTCCAAGTTCTCGGAAGCCGGCCAGCCGGTCGCCCACATGGTACCCAGCAAGCACGGGATGGTGGCGGCGTACTCGCCGGCGCTTGCGGTGGCGGTGGCGCCCTTCGCGTTCCCCGCGGCGAGGGAGGCGCCCGGCGTCGCCCTGTTGGCGTCGATCCTGGGCCTCCACTTCTTTAAGAGGCTCCTCGAGGTACTCACACTCCCAGAACGCCGGCCCTCTACTTCCTCGGATTTCTGGGCTTTCCTGTTCCCGATACCGATCGGTTCTCCCATTCTGCAGAGCCCGTTACTCCACCGATACAGTGGTCGCATGGCCCTCGAATCCGCTACCGCGATCTCGCTCAGCTATCTCGCCAGAACCGCGTTCATCGTCTATACCCAGTACCTCACGATGGGCACGGCGCCGCCGCCGGTAGACCTGAAGCCCACCGGCGTCGCCCTCTTCGTGGTGGGGATCTGCGGCAACCTGTACCATCATGTCCTCCTCTGCAGGCTCAGGAAGAAGGGGGAGGGCTTGTACAAGATCCCCCGGGGGGGGCTCTTCGGGCTCGTGACTTGCCCTCACTACCTGTTCGAGATCATGGTTTTCGCCGGCATCGCCTGCGCCTCCCAGACGGTCTACTCCTTCTGTGTCATGGCGAGCACCGCCTTCTATCTCATGGGGAGGAGCTGGGCAACCAGGAAGTGGTATCTCTCCGAGGAGGGTCAAGGCCCTCGTACCTTATGTCTTCTAGATGGAGGAGAGAAACCTCCCTTGTTATCCAATAAAATTACAACTTTTCTTGTGGCCCTTAACGTCACTTCATTAACGAATAAATCATTATCTCTCTCAGCCTATCTACTTAACGAATTACCAACGAATCTCTCTCTCTCTCTCTCTCGTTGTTTGTCTGTCTATCTGTCTCTATTTTTGTCTCGTTATGGAATTGTTTGTGAATCTCTCTAGATCTCTCTCTCTCCCTCACTAATTGTCTCTTTAAAGCTGTTCATCCATCCATTTGATTGGTTCTTACCATTTGATCTATAAGTCTTCTAATATTTCATTTATCCAAAGTACTACATAGATTCTATGTGTCATCACTCTAAACTCAGGCTCAATGCTTGATCTTGATACCAGTCTTTGTATTTCATTGTGCCATGTAACCAATTTGTTGCTCATAAGGGTGCAATACCTTGAGACAGGTCATCGATCAACAAGGGAGCTTGCACAATCTACATCAATGTACACTTCTAAATAATATCATATTTTTAGATAAAGTACCCTCTAAGTATTGCAATACTCTATTAGCTGCATGTAAGTGAACTTCCTTGGGATAATATATAAATTGACCAAGTACACTAACAACATAAGAGATATTAGGTCTATACAAAAAAGAAATTAATTTTTTGACTAGTCTTTGGTATGATTGTATATCTACTAGATTACTATTTTTTGTATTACGAAGTTTATGGTTTGTGTCTATAGATGTATTTAGAGGTTTACTTCCTAATCTTCTAATATCCCATAAATTATCTAGAGTGTATTTTTGTTGAAATATAAAAGTACCTATTTTGAGTATGACACCTCAATATTGGAGAAAATATCTCAATTTTTTGAGAGCTTTAATGTCAAGAAATCAACAACTATTTAGGTACTCCTTTTTATCTTCATTATTTTCTATCACTAATATATCATCCACATATATTAAGAGAGTTATTCTCCTTGACGATGAGTGTTTAATAAACACAATATGATCTCCGTTATTTGGTTTATATCCCAAGATATACATGACTTTGGTGAATTTCCAAACCATTCTTGTTGTGATTGTTTGAGGGCATAAAGTGTGTTATTTGACTTACATACCATTACTTGATTCTTTACTTTCTCATTGTGATAAGAAAATCAAAATATCTTAATCTTCCAACTATACCATAGTGATAAGAAAATCAAAATTCTCATTGTATTCATTTTTACAACTATATATTTTTTTCTAAATAAGTTATATTATACATTTGAGTATACCCTTTGGTTATTAATCTCGCTTTATATCTTTCTAAGACTACCATCTAGTTTATATCTAATAGTGAAGACCCATTTACATCTAACAGTTTTCTTCACTTAGGAAGTTTAATTAATTTCTAAGTCTGTTTTTCTTTCAATACTTTCATTTCTTCATCTATAGCATTCTTCCATTATATGTATTGTTAGATACCTAAAGTATTAGATGGAAGAGTAATGGTATCAAGTGAGGTGAGAAAAAAATTTTGATAGATAAGAGATAGTCTTTTGTATGATAAAAAATTAGAAATTATACACCTAAGACTCCTAAAACATTTTTTTTTTCCTTCCTTAGAGCTATTGGTAGGTCTTCTTATATAGAGGGTTAACTATGTGATGATAAGGATTTTATATTAGTTTTCTCTTCATGGAAGCTTCTATAACTTCACTAGGTTGTTCTGTATCTTTTAGGAGTTTTGATTTCACTTGAGGATTCACAAGAAAATCCTTTAGAGTTATGGGCATGTTGGATTGTTCAAGTGGTAATGCATAGTTATTACCACTTTCTCCTTGTCCACCTACTTTTTCAGCTTCCTTTGCATTAGATAATCTATTTAATGTAATATTCATATCCATAAAAGATAACATCTATTGAAATAAAAAAAATCAATGGTAGGGAATGATAGTATTTATACCCTCCTTTTGTGTTTGAGTAGCCCACAAATATGCATTTATGTGCTTGTAGACTAAGTTTACTTTTTTTCTGGTATTAGTTGTATTTATAACATACAGATCCAAATACTATAGGAATTAAATTATTCATAAATTATATGTTTGGGTAGAAAGAGGCAAGAGTGTCTATTGGATTGGTATTTGCAAGAGTGTCTAGTATTAATTGTGGTAGCAGGAACGTGAAGGCACATATGACATCCCACATGGTGACAGAGGTTGTGTCTTCTATTCTAGTAGGGTAGAGATGATTTTGGGGATGAGGATGAGGCCTAGTGTTCAATTCCCCTCCTTTATCTCTTGTATCTCTCTCCCTCTCCCTCTCCCTCTCCCTCTCTCTATGTCTCTCTCTCCCTCTAAAGTGACATTTTGCACACCCACACAAAGTAATAGGAGTGGTAAGGATAATACATACCAAAAAATTAAAAACGACCATGACATGGTTTTTTGAGAATGAAAAAAATTGTTCAGATTTTATGACAAAAATGGACTTGTTGAGTGTAAGAATGTAGTTTTATTAAATATTTGTAGGGACATGCTAATCTAGAATAATTTGTTCAAAGTATTTTAGGACTAAGGCTATAATCTTGACATTATTGATTTGATCTATTTTAAAAAAAATCATTATGAGTTATATGAAGGAATAAATAAATTTGGGATGTTTTAGATAATTTGGTTGTGACTACCAAAATATCAAGATTGCATTTGCCAATATGTGATGATAAAAAATGTGTAGGCTTACCAAAATCTAATTCGCATGATATTTTTAAAAAGGTTAATAGATATAAAAAATCATGAAATAAATCACAACTTTGGAAGAAAATCCTTTTCGAAAGATCTAGAAATTTATTGTGGATTGTCCTAAGGTTAAACCTTCAGGGCATGTGTAGCTGGATGAAAATTCAAATCCTCCATGCTGTTTCTTTAAGATTGGAAATACAATAAGATAAAAAACTAATAAATCAATCAAATTAAAAAAATCATAACTTTATTTAATTTTTCACTATAAGTAATTATATTTTACTAACTATAGTAACTAAGGGAGTGATGAAATAAGTTCAATGTGTCCCAACCATTTGGTTTCACTAATCTTAGTCATCCCAATAGTGCTCCATGAGTTAACATAGCCTCTTTATACCAACAAGCTTCTAAATTCTTCATTAAAAGGTTATTTATGTTCTTACTAATTTCATAGTGTTAGATGATAACCATATTTTAGTTTCTCATATTTAAGTGGGTGATGTTATACTTAGTGGCACATTATACTATTTCTTAGAAATAACATGAGGTTTCTCACATGACTTAACTTCATGAATTTGTGACACATTATACTATCTTAGAAATTAGTAATTCTAGATCTCTTTTGTTGGAGACTCATCACAGCTGCCTCAATGACTACATTGTTGATGCACCATTAGCATCTCAATGAGTTCACTTACCATCAATAACTCTAAATTTAATATATTAATTTTGGACAAAAATCATTATTGTTATTATTTTTTATTTTCAATAGTTGTTCAAGGATCTGAAAATAGTAAAGATGATAGAGTAAATTTTTGAGAATCTTTTCCACATGTACATCTCTCTTAAATTGTTCTTGATCTTGCTTGTGAATATTTGAGAGTTTGATAGAAGGTGGGAGAGGAGAAAGAACTTGAAGCAGATGTCACTGTCTGAAATGTTGATTTCAACATCATTGTATGCCTTGCTCTTAAATCTGACTTGGTTGATCAGGTCCCTCACTGATAGCAGAAAGTAAAAATAGATTTATGATTTAGATGTCTTTACCTTGAAATCTAGCTTAAATTCTGCCTACCTTAATTTTGAGTAAGATATTCCTTTCAATAGTATATGACATATAGATTGAAAACACATAAGATCATGTGTAAAATTAATAAAAAATCATAACTCTTTGAGTATTTTGAATCTTGAGGAACGATTCTTTGCCTTTATGCTTTACATTGAGATAGAAATATGATTTTAGTAATACTTTAAAGTCAATATAAATTCAATGCCTTGATAGTTTTCTAAAAACATTATTGCACTTTACTCACATAAGTCACATAAGCCTACAAAAAATATAACTCATTACTTTGTCCAGAAAGATAAAGTGTTAAGGCTTGTGCTTGTCATAATGACTATTTTATTTTGTACTAACTTGGTATTATATTTATATTTAGGTATTATATTTTTTTATCACCAAATGACTAAGTGAGGTTTCTTTAATATTCAAAAATCAAGATCGTCGATTAAATCATTCTACAACATATAATATTTCAAAATTTTCCTTCAATCTATTTAATCATCATTGAGATTATTTAGACATCCAAATGAATTCAGTATTATTCAATAAAATTTATGCAAGATAAATATTCTATTTCATTATTTTAATGATTTTTGATTGAGTGAGTTTGCATTTTTTATTGAGTTAATTATTTTAATTACTAATTAAAGCATTATTGAGATAATCTATGACCCAACAAAGTGTATGTGCAGTTCGTTGTTTCATTTAATTTTTGTGAGGACTATGCCTCTAGTCAAAAACCTAACTTGTTTACCAAAGGCCCCACAATATCTTTATAATTGTTCTTCGCAAAACTCCACCTAAGAGGAAATCTAATAATTTCGAATCAATATCAAACAATTTTCCAGTGAATTAAATAATAGTTCTGTAAAATAAATGTGACATTTTTTTTCCATCAAGAGGGCAATCTCATGGGAATTTTGATGATTTTAAGCTTTTCAATTTGAAATATTAAAAAAATTCCATAAGTATCAATAAAACTCAAGTGAATTACTTGATCAAATATGAAAGGTGACATACTAATACAATGTAATGGACAAGAAGCAATCACTCTTCTTAATCTTATTTCATGAAAGTAGTGTTAAGGACTGTAGTGAAGTGAGATTCCATGTTATCTACATTTCAAGGGTGGTTCTTGTTTCAAGATATAAAGATGATACGGAGCATTCCCAAATTATTGATGTTTCATGAGAAATAAAATCAGTAATATTTAATAATAGTAGATTGCCATTAGCTAGAGATTGATGAAGAATATGTAAGGACTCCATAGCTGAAATGGGGATGAATCTAGAAGAGGAAGATAAGATAATCTCTTGAAAAAAACATGCACAAGTCCCCACTCCACTCCAAGTGGTCCCAAGGGCACTGTACTTCATTTTGCTTCAGAAAATAAAACCCTTAACTCCTACTGTCTCTTTCCCTTAACTAGACAGACAGTCTAGGGCTTGGGGGGGTGAGAGACCACTCCACAGCTAATGAGCCCCAATGTGGGTTTGCTGCCTAGTTCTCTTTGGAGAATACAAATGGCCCATTGACCCATTAGTTATCAGGTGTCCTAAAAAGTACCATCCTTGTCCTTCCATCACAATGAGTTCTTAATCCAACTCAACAAAGATAACACTGCCAAATCAAGCAATTTAGGGCAGCACAAATTTGTCATCCTTCTATTAAAAGAGGTATTTTCTAGTATCACAATGAAAAGAATAATTTATCCAATAATGATTAAAAGAGAGGTATTTGTCATCATTCACTCGTCTGACCAATAATGATTCATGATTAATATTATCTTGTTTATCCATTCAAGAGAATATTACTCTTCATTAAAAAAATAATAGTTTGTATTTCAGATTTTTATCTAAGAAGATATAATTATGCAGTTTTCCCTTTCTAAATATTAATTGGAGAATATGGTTATGGCTATAGTGTCAAGCTGAGAATCTGAGATGATTTCCCGTTTTCTTTTCATACATTTTAAATAATGTTTTCTATGAAAGCTGCACATTAAATTCTAATAGAGAAGATCCACCGATTGTGGATTATTAGCCTAGATTTTACTCTAAGATCCAGTAATATATCCCAATATTTCTTAGCACTATGTTCGTACTTATGAACCATAAATAACCTCTCAAATATCTTGACACTCCTCGTAATCAAGACTTTGAAAAATCTTTCAGGTGGGCTTAAACAGGTGCACAACATTATTCGGTGGTTCGGGAAGAGAATTAAAAAAATCTAGCCATAGAAATAAAATCAGAAGGAAGGAAAATACCATCAACAGTCTGTGTGTTCTTCTTCCCAACTTTAGACCCCTCTTGAAAGACGAACTCGCCCAAGAGTCGTCGGCTCTAGAGAGTGGTCGCATGTGTTCATTTTCTCTCCGTGTATCTGTAGATGGAGACTTTAGGATGAGCTGCTATAAAAGGACGGTACCCGATCCATCCTCCTGTGCTTAACATCACAAGAAACCTTTCCCTTTATTCTCTCGAGTAATAGTACTTAGCAACCACTGCAGCTCTAGTTTTCTCGGTCCCATGTGTGACGGCATTTTTGGCAAAAGTGAGTCTCATCCATGGTCGATGCACAACGATAACAGAAGCAGTGGTTACACCTGGAAGCACCAACGAATAAATCAAGTTATCAAGTAGAGAAGAGAGAGAGAGAGAGAGAGAGAGAGAGAGAGAGAGAGTTTCATAGAAATTGCTTCGGTCAACGTGCAGGTCTGATGCGTTCTGGGGAAGTGGAACGAAGGGTGGCTGGACAGAGAAAGTGTGTAGGGAGCCACTGTGGGAGGAAGGAGTCAAGGACGAATCACGTTGAAACGGAAGGAGCCGCGGTGGGAAGGGATGACGGGGGCAGGCGAATCACCTGCAGCGGATGAAGAGGCAGCCGTCGATTCGCTCAACGAGCATCCCACACATTGGGCACTTCTGCCATCGGCTACGTAAGGCGAGCTCCATCAGCTTCGCGACCGCGTTCTCCTCCCTCTCGTCCGCCACCGCTTTCCTATACTCCTCGCAGGTCAATCCCGCGTGCCATGGCACGCGGCACTGGGCGCAGCATGTCCGTTCGCAGTGCAGGCACTGCGACTCCGTCAATGGCCCCCCTTCCTCGTCGCCCTCGTTCGTCAAAAGGGCTGAACAGTCCGAGAAGGGGCAGTAGAACCTCACCGGAGGGGCCAAGGCCGACTCGCAAAGACGTAATCCCCATTGATCGAAGACGGCCGGGGGAATAAACCCCCTGCAGTCATCCGGATCCAGCTGCCCAATCTGGCATTCTGGATCGGGGCAACGGATGGGGAAGTTGTTCTCCTCCACCTTTGCCTCAACATGCCCCGCTATGCAGTCTTTGCAGAATATATGGTCGCAGCCGCTCTTCCCGATGAAGCCCTCAGACCGCAGCTTGTCCTCCATACAGATGGAGCAGAAGAACGTATCTGGCGGCAGCTCCTGCACTCTTTCTTCTTCTTCCAGCGCCCTTCGAAGCTCCAGCTGCTGCACCCTTTCTTCTCCTTCTTGTTCCAGCATCCTTTGAAGCTCCAGCTCCTGCACCCTTTCTTCTCCTTCTTGTTCCAGCATCCTTTGAAGCTCCAGCTCCTGCACCCTTTCTTCAACTTCTTGTTCCAGCATCCTTTGAAGCTCCAGCTCCTGCACCCTTTCTTCTCCTTCTTGTTCCAGCATCCTTTGAAGCTCCAGCTCCTGCACCCTTTCTTCTCCTTCTTGTTCCAGCGTCCTTTGAAGCTCCAGCTCCTGCACCCTTTCTTCTTCTTCTTCTTGCAAAGCCCTATGTAGCTCCAGCTCCTGCGCCCTTTCTTCCAGCGCCTCCTGAAATCGTTGCTGGAACAAGAACCCGTTCGCACAGTTGGGGACTGGGCATCTAAAGCCGGCGTTGTGATCATCGTCGTCGGCCATTCTCCGGAGGGTCAGGCAATCGAAGCACGGGAGGTGAGAGCAACCCCCCATGACGAAGCATATATCGGCGTGCAGCTTGGGTTCGCCGCAGGCGTCGCAGAAGATGACGGGGGGGTCCTGATAGTTTTGGTTTTGCTCCATAACTTCGCTGAACCTGCAAGATCCAGACGCCCCTCCCCGTTGTCTCCCCTCCCTCTGCCTCAACCTTCCTCCGAAATAGGAACCCTGCAAACACCTTAGCACGAGAGGAGGAGGGAGAGACAGAGACAGAGAGCAAGAAATGGTCATTGCCGCGGGAAGAGGAAGTCCGGGGAAACTAACACAAGTCAACGTCCCGACCCGTCAGGAACCATCCCTTGAAACCGCTCCGGGTGAGTACGACAGGGCGGCTGGGGAGTAGACTTTTGAGACCAAGTCAGTAGGTGGGTTGCCACGCTCTTTCCGGACAGGTAGAGCAGGGAGTAAACTGATTCACACTGAAGCGATCTCATCTGGTCTGAATCCCAGGTACATCTGCCCTCGGTCTGAGGAGGAAGTTGGCTTCGAGCTTCATGCCCCGGATACCCCTGCCGTCGGGGAGACCAGTGGAGTGAAGAAACCGGCACGGCCTGCCTTCTGGTATTATTGTTCCATGAAATGGCAGAGTTTTACGCCCCGTTTCTCTCTCTCTCTCTCTCTCTCTCTCTCTCTCTCTCTCTCTCTCTCTTACCCCCTCACCACACCCCGGACTTAAAGCCGTGTGGACCATATTTCTGAACTGTTCTGCCATTTAAAGGTCCATGAAGCAATTCTTTTCCTTGATCCTACGAGTTTTTTTCGTTTGTCCTTTCATTACTCTACTTGATGAGGTAGACATCTAATCAGTCAGATTAGTCTACTATTGTTTAAGAGGTTTTTTAAACTCATTAAAATAATTTAAAAAAAAATGGTTACAATCATCTCTCAAGAGGGCATCACGATTCTGGCTACAAACTCTCTACAAGTTAATTACCTTTTTTGCTAATATTTTCTTTCCCTCTCTTGCCACAGTTTCATTCACGGAATCACTTTCTCATCATCAAACCCTAAGATGCATATAAACGAGATCCAGAATTTTCTGTTGAGGTACTTACATGTGATAGAGGGGCTGGCTGAAGCTATCTTTTTATGGAATTCTCTGTTGCATCCTGCCATTAACATGATTAATGCAGGGCTTCCACAGACTGTTTTCCCCTTGCAATGGAGAAAAATCCATTAAAACTGAATGCATCCCTGGCAGGCAATGATATATAACAAGGGTGCACTTCTTGAGGTTCATAGATAATTACCAATAATCATAGATTCCGGGAACATAACCAAAGGCTGCTTACACTGCTACTTATATGCGCATTTCAGGTCAACAGAATGCATCAACATAGATTTTCATGAATAAAAATGGCAGGTTGAATCCAAGATTATTGATTTGGAGAGGAACATACAAGTTTCAATGATGTTCCTCTTGACTTTGCCAATTATGGTTGAGAGTGTGCTGGTTTAATTGATCTTGGTGTGATGTGTACAGTGCCCAACACTTATCTAAAGAAGATTCTGATCAAACTTTCCCTATTAGCTCACTAATAAATATCTGAGCTTACTGGTTGACAACCTCATCAGCACTCGTGCTTATTTTTCTTGAAATAAGGGCACAAAAACATGGGGTGAATCTAGGTGGTTGATGATCTCATAATAACCCACCAATGTTACTCAGCAACTTGGTAACAAAGTTGAAGCATAGATCCATTGAATCAAACTCGTTCTAATGAAAAATAAAAGATAAAACACACAAAACTGGACTAGGGTGCCCACCTGCATGAAGCCACTAGAACAATGTGCTAATTACTGACCCACAAATCTCTGAGTCCTAATAAGGAGGAACACAAAAATGAAATTAAATCCGAAATGGCACTTCACTATTTTCTCTAGCCAATCATGGAATTCCCTCAATCATTATATTGGTCTCAAACACTCATGGCCATTATATTGGTCTTGATGATGCTCCAGCAATTGCACAGTCACAGTAATTAGGTAGACAATAAATAATTAAATAACCAAACATCGTAGAACCTATGGAAAAGAATGCCAATATGTAAGAATGGAGGAACCAGAGACTACAGATGAGTAAGATAATAAATCCCTAATTGCAAAACGGTATCTAAAACTTCCCACTGAATTATGAACTTCTTCAAAAACTGAAAGAATGGCGAGTAAGAGATGCCACCTTGCAGGCAAATCCTCTTAAAAAAATATCACACCATAGATGCTTCAAATAAAAAAAAAGGCATGATATTAGTAATATAAACTTTGGCCAATGATAATAGCATTATCATCATCACCACAGCATCAACAATCATATCCGCTGCATGAGAAAGAGAAAATAGAATCAGATTGCACCATTTGATGTTTTAAATAGTCCTGTAGATCATTGAGGGTCATCTTCATGATATGCACATGGAGTCATTTATTCTCATACATTCATCAATATTTCACATAATCTACAACCAACATAGAACTTTTCCGGTTGCAGTTGCTATTTGGGTATCATGCATCCAGACATGTAACATGGAACTCAATCATATCATCTTCACATCCAGGGAACTGAACATGAAGGAATGACACAGACACAGATTTTTTATTTATGAATTTAATGAGAACATAATTCCAGCTGAAGACATTCACTGACCTTTCGCACTATTGTTCCATGTGACGTGAGTATCAAAAACGTGTGATTTTCGAGTAAGCTGAAAGAATTTTAGCTTGTATCCCTGCTTGTCATTGGTATAAATTACTATCAATTCCCTTTCCAGCATGAAATGAATCAATGATACTCCTATATCATATTTCTTCTCAGCTTTCTCTTTTAAATCCAATTGAAACTGGTTTGGATCAAGAGAGTAATGGGAATTTTGACGGTCTGAGCTTAAAGAAATGATTCCCTACTGTTCACCTCTCTTCGCAACAAGTACAAAGGTAATGAAGAAGAGGGCACAGATAGTATAGTATACTGACCGCATGTGCTTTGACCAGAGGCTCCAGTCCTCTTTCCTTCCTCTCCATATCCCTATGTTGAAAGGGAAAGGAGAGGGATGATCATTGGCATATATTCTCATCTCAATTGGTTGCCTAACCAGGAATGCTTTCAAAGAAACGATCCCAACACAAGGAATCCTTAGTGAGGGCCAATGGAAGATTGCTCTAACCAAGCCTATGAACAGCTGATCATTCATTTCCAAGTGATGGGACTAAACACCAAACCATCAGGGCAAGAGAATCCTTTCAGGAACTGAATTAATTATACTAAAAGTGAAGAATTGCAGAGGATCTCAGGATCATCTATCTCCAACGAAACCAGAAGTTACAAGAGAGGAATTATGCTTCTACATCTCCAGCATTGAGGAAGATCAGAAGATCGTAGAACTAAGATAATTACAACAACGAAGTAAGATTGTAGAAGTCGATGAAAAGAACAGAAAAAAAAGGGATTTGAGATTGCAAAATCTAATAATCAGTAGTAGTATAAGTAGCATCATTCTTATTAAAGTCATTGGGGTGGAAGCTCCTCGCCATTCAGATAAAGTAGGTAATCCGATCAACTCCCCTGCCCCCTGTTTAACCTGGAGGTGAAAAAATCACCTAGGACGCTTCCCTGCCGTCAGAGGAAAGGATACCCTCTGAGGCGTCAGCTGCTGCTGGGGCACTGGCACATCGCCTGGCCCACCGCTGTGGTCCTGAGGAAGCTTCGGTGGGTTCACAGCAGCAGGAGCGGAGGGGCCATCGTCTTCTTCCTCAGGCCCGTCGGCCGATCCCGAAACCTGTTTCCTCGGAATAAACAGCTGATAGTTGGGGCTGATCAGAGTGTCATGCTCCGGGGGCAGAGGAATGCCAGGTCCCCCAATGGATTTGGGCAGCGGAACCTTGTTCCTGATCCGAGCCAGCTCCAGCAGCACCTACGAGAGGGCAGACATCGGCCCATAAGAGAACAATTCCCTTCAAAGCAGTGGCTCGAAGAGAAGAAATCGGAGCGAAAAAGGGTACAATTGAGAAGCTATGGTTTAGAGGAAAAAGCCGTAGAACAGGGCGATCTAGGGTTTTGAAGGATCTTCTGAGAGACTTCTCACCTCGCGGGGGGGCGGCTGGGAGAAGGAGAAGTTGACCTTCGACTGGATGGCGAGCTTCACGTCGTCAGGGTCGATGGCACCCTTGCCGGCGTGCTCGGAGTAGACATTCGCGTCGTTGAGGACGTCGACCACGTAGCGATACCAGAGCTCCAGGAACTGGTTCACCACGCGGGGCTCGTACTCCGCCACGCCCATCGATCGCAGCAGCGCCCTCACGATTCTTGCATCGCGGGGCCCGTCGGCCTCCTCCACCATCCCTTCGTCCCTCCCCACGGCGCTGCCGGCGACAGCGGCGCCGCTGCCGGAGGCGCCCTCCATCGCCGCCCTCTCCGTAGCCCCCAGCACTCCCCCGTCTCCCTCCATGCCCACAATCCCTCCTCCTAATGGCCGCCGGGAGACACGGCGTCAAGCGAACCCCACTGCCCTCTTCCCTCCTTCTCTTGCCCCAACGTCGTCGTTGTCGTCGTCGTCGCCGAGTAGAAGCTGGATCTACAGGCAGATGGCAACTCTACTTGCCCTCCTTCATTCCAGACCCGAATTCATGCGAACCCAACGTCCCTTCCTCCCTGCTCTCGTGTCTCCCTACCTTCCCCCGCCAGCTCCCGCACGCAGAGGAAAAGCCTCAAACAAGAGAGAGAGAGAGAGAGAGGAACTAGAGGAGGCCATGGACTTGCCTATTATAGCTGTTGTTTCTTGGGGGTGGGCCCGTAGACTGAGCCCATTGCTGCTAAGTTCCCCACAGACTTTTGGATCGGAAAATTGAGGGATTTGGATCGAGGAACATGGATTAATGTCTCACAATTTAGCAATGTTTCTATCATCTGACTGTAGTAATATGTAGGATCAAACAAATGGGTTGAACCCAGATCTTTAAGAGATAATGCAACCAAATAATAATAAAAAAGCTGCCATTTTGCCGTTCTTCTCAGCCGTTGGGTTGACTTTAACAGTGCAAGTGTTTACTTTCGGATGAAAAATGAGGGTTTTCTCTCGTGGAACATAGATTAATATCGCGGATTTTTGTATGGTTTCCGTCATGTGACTTTACTAATATGTACCATCCATCAAAATGTGTCGAACCCAGATCTTCTGCAGATAATACATCCAAATAATGAAAAAAGCTGCCATTTTTGCCGTTCTTCTCAGCCGTTGGGTTGACTTTTAAAGGGAACGGGCTGACTTTCGGGTGGGAAAGGAGCAGGGCGACAATGCCGGCAAGAAAAGATCCAGAGATTGAAACCCAGAGAAGAAGAAGAGGAGGACGATTGGTGAAGAGAGAGCAGAGCTGGTGGCTTGGATTGACAAGGGGGAACAGGTGTTCATATTTAACGGCTCCCACGCGGTTCACAGGTGTTCCTGGGAGAGGGGAGCAGGTGGCCATTAAGGAGAGAGTACGCTAGGGAAGGATCGGTGGGAGGAGAGGAACTGTTACCATTTGAGGGAGGTTGACCTGGCGGCGGATCGAATCCAGCAGAGGCGGTGAGGGGATGCTCGGTCGAGGATAAGCGAGAACCCAACGGCGGGCGGCGTCTGCTCTCCTCATCGTTATCTCTCTATTTATATCTCGCCACCTCCCCCCTTTCCCTCTGTCTCTCTCTAAACTCTCTCTCTCTGTCTCTCTCTCTCTATTGGTGGTGGTCGTTGCTTTACTGGGCATGGCTGCGGCTCTGAGGATGGCGTATGGCCTCTTGTTCCTCTCCCTGTCGCTCACCTGCCTGAAACTGCTTCACCTCCTCCTCAGCCCCGTCTTCCGCGTCATCCTCTAAACAGACGGACGGAGGCGGGCGGGGGTCACAAGTCGAGATGAAGAAGAACGACTCTCTCTCTCTCCCCATGACCGGAGGATGAGCCCAAGTTATGATGGAAACCTGCTTGTTAGTCACATAATTCGAGACAGCTCTCTCCAAAGTGCTGGCTATTCCTGTGGGAGAGGGCGGGGTTCTCGCGCCTCTCTCTCTTTCTCTCTCTCTCCCTCCTCCCTTCACGAGAATAATGTGCCACTGTGGACGGTGCCCATGAATGTTGAGGAAACTATAGCATACACATCTCCGTCATCTCCACCAGGCACGGGAACGATCCGCCTTAGCAATTACTCCTCCCATGATACGAACCCACGTCTCTGGCCTCTCATGATCACAGGTGTCGCTGGGCAAGACGGATCTAATTCGGCTCTCAGAAAAAATAATCCAAAACGAATTAGGGTTATGGTTTGAGCGAGCTCGCACCCTTTGAAGGAGGGCTCTGAATATTACGAAATCATGCCGGAAATCGATAAAAAATGGCTCATTCCTTCCTATTATGATCTCTACTTTGTTCACCAGGATTGACCACTGTTTCCTCTCTTGAACTATTGTTCTCCCATTAGCTCGCTGGATACCTGTCGGATGAAGGTTACAAGCTTCGGCGCCGCAAAACCCGACCATCCTCTGAGATGCCGAGATAAATTTCAGAGAAGCGGGAGATCCATGGATGGGAAGATGGCGTCGTAAACTACCTACCACTTCTGTTCTTCTTCTTGAGGGGATGGGGGTGTTGTGGACGTCGCCTCCGGCCCATGCGGAAGAGAGGAAGACGGGGGGATGCTCCAAATATTTACAGACAACAACTTCGCCAAGGATAAAGGTTTTTCGTACGGAATTCCGTGACGCTCTCCGCGTTTAGAACTTTCCCTCTTGCCCCTCCATTCGGAGGACGCCCTCACATCTCCATCTCTCTTTCTCTCTCATGACGTCGGTTTGGAAGCCCCAGAGATATGGCCGTGAGAGTCCTTAGAGAGAAAGAATGGATAGCTCGACCTGCTTGGGCGTGATCGCTGTGTTGGCGATCTCAGGGAGCGTGGCACTGCTGACCACGCAGATGCACAAGCACCTCGACCGCGAGTTCAGGAAGATCTTCCAGTCGGAGTTCGGTATAACCCCTCCTTCTTGTTCTTGTTGTTCTTGTTGTTGTCCTTGTTGTTCTTGTTGTTGTTCTTTTTGTTCTTGTTGTTCTTGTTGTTCTTCTGTTTCCTCTTGTTTTTCACGCATTGAGCTCCATTTGATCCTCCAAAACCAACAATTCGTCTCGTTTCTTCGCTCTTCTCAGGCGATTACCTCGACATTGTAGATTGTCCAGGAGAAACCAGGAATGCGCCCAAGAGGACAACGAGAAAGAAGGTGAGGTTCGCCGACGACGTGGTCGAACCCTCCTCGGATAACTCCACCTACCGGCGGCGCCGCCAAAGGCCGGCGCCGGCCGCCCGACCACCGGCGTGAATGAATGCCGACGAAACATGGGTCGAGACTCATCCAAAAATTCGTCGAAAAACTCGGGTACCTACCGGGCTACTGCTCCCCTTTTCAGTCGATCTTTCTACAAATGCTCAGGAGATAATTGGGGGTCTGAAGCCCTCTCAGAGTCGTGGAGAATAAAGAACAAATGAGAATCATACTGTGCGAGACTGCCGATTAACCAACGTACGATCGCTTCCAGATCGAGCGAGCAGGAAATGAGCCAGACGCCGGAGAGAGCTCCCCTCCTCTCGGGTGAACTTGCACCTCCTTCGTTTACTAAATTAAGCTACGAACAGGTTGACCGGCGAGGGGATTCTCCTCGGCTTATGGCCGCATCGTCTCGTCCGGCTTCCTCCCAATCACCAATAAGTTGACGAATGCGGTTTATTGCATGCCGGGGAACATCAGAAAAAGGGTTGACCCCGGCTGCAAGGAAAAGATAGTGGGCATTGCCGTGGGGGTGGTGGTGTTCGTCCAGTTGACGGCAAGAGGTTGAGATTATCATCAAGAACTTGCCGCGACGGTCGCATCTTGGAGCATCCTCAGACTAGTCAATGGCTCTTTTGGCCCTTTTGAAGGACACGAACGCGTCTCTGATGAGCTGAAGAGAGAGAGAGAGAGAGAGAACCTTCTTGAGCGATGGCTGCGCTTGAAAGGTCGAGTCTTTAAAGTTGTGGGTCGTTCATATCTCGGAATTCGGACGGAAATTTGTTAGAATTTAATCGAATTATTTGGTAAAAGAATTCGATCTGGGTTTCTAGAAGACCGATGAGTAGGAGTTCCAGACCAGTCAGCAAGGAGATGGATCTGGAACGTACTCGAAGCGTCCACATATCTCACCACGCTACGCGTCACTCCAGCTAGGAGATAGATTTTTTTCACGCCAGATGACGTTACGCCGCCGTATGGAAAGATGCGACCTTTGACCGTCCAACGCCTGAGGCTCTCTCTCCATCTCCCCCCCTCCCCCCCTCCCCCCCCCACCCCCTCCACCTCTCTTCTTTCTCTCCGGCCGCCCCCTCCCCTCCCCTCCCCCTCCCTTTTCTCATATCCCAACGCCTAATTGAGCTTTCTCCCCCTTCGCATCATCTTCCAACGCCAAATTGATCGGTGCCTCTAATCTCTCTCTCTCTCTCTCTCAGCACATGCAGGAGCAATCTGGCGTGCTCGGACAGCCAGGGCGATCGCGCATGAAGGACCCGGCCAAGGCGGCGGCCGGCGCGGCCGTCGACTGCGCTGTGATATGTTGCTGCTGCCCCTGGGGGCTCGCCAATCTGCTGGTCCTCGCGGTGGTCAAAGTACCGGCGCACCTATGCCGGCGGGCCTTCCGAAATGGGAGGACCAAGATCAACAAGTACAGAACCGCCGCATCCGGTAGGGGCAATAACCGCGACGGCGACGGCGACGACGACGACGACGATCTGACGGCGGCGGCGCCAGACGCGAAGGGGCTGCTTCTGGCGAGGGAGAGGAGTTGGGGCACCCCCAGGTCGGAGGCGTCGCTGGAGAGAGAGGAGGAGATTTGGAAGCCCTTCTACGCGACGGGCTTCTGGCGAACGCTCTCTCAGCAGGGGTCCGAGTCCTCTCCGATCCGGTGACGAGAAGAGGGGTTGACATTCTGAGTTGCTTCCTGGCTGGGATGAAGCGTAGATCCCCGGAGAGGGGAGGAGACGACGACACCCCCACACAAATTGGGAATCTCTTCCAGAGATTTTTTGTGGCGGCTCATTCAACGATTATTGTGAGTTGACCTTGTCGCCCCTCACGATGATTGGAACTGGTTTCCGGCGATTTGTTTAGTGCTGCCGTCATCATTACGAACTATCTGGGTGCGTGGCGGCTCAATTGCCATTTTCAGCCCTCTTGCCGATCTCACGTTAAGCATCTCAGGTCAGCTCAAGACGAGCCCCCACTGTTATTGTTTGACGTCAAGGCGACACTTACCTACACTGCTAGATACTTAATACTAGCTCCATGTATTAGATTTATAGCTCTAAATTAGGAAGCTCACTTGACACCATGGCATCTACCCTTCAGGAGATAAGCCCAACAGATATTTGGTCTCAGCCCATTGATCTAGATGAATGGTTCTAGATGAGTTGACTCTAGTGTTCTTCGGAGCCCAAGGTCCTATTTCTGTTGTTTTATCTTATATTTCAATTTCTATTTCCCATTTTTTTTCCCATTATCTGTCTAGATCGGGTTCTCATTCTTTCTTTTCTGATTTACTATCCACCTAATCGTATATGGTCTTGCCAGTTCATAATTCAAATTCTCCATGTACTTATTTTTTGTTTAATGGCCGCTCACCACTAAAAACTAGTCTAAATTTGAAGTATGCATTTACTTAGGTTGTTTAATGCCTTATTGTGGGAGATTTGAGGTTAGAAGCAACACAACTTTTTCCATTCAATGTCTAATGAACGTTTCAAAGAATGCGCTAAATTTGAATCCAATGGGTTTGTTAATGAATGATCAAGGGTGATTAATTTAAATGATTTAGAGCGCAAATCATTGTGAAAATTCCAAGAAATTATGAACACCTAATGACTATCTTGCCACACTACGTCAGTATGTATTCCCTTGAGCCAACACCCAATGATTCTTAAAAATGGGATGAGTTGATTCCCTTGAGTCAATATGATTGGGTTAATCATCATATTTTCCTAAAACATTTATTTTTGTATCTTGGATTTTTCGTGCATTTACACATGCTGCACTTTGTTCATATAATCAATAATAACATTAGTATATTTGACTAATAAAATCATTAATTACACTTTATTTTTGTATCTTGGATTTTTCGCGCATTTACACATGCTGCACTTTGTTCATATAATCAATAATAACATTAGTATATTTGACTAATAAAATCATTAATTACACTTTATTTTTGTATCTTGGATTTTTCGTGCATTTACACAGGCTGCACTTTGTTCATATAATCAATAATAACATTAGTATATTTGACTAATAAAATCATTAATTACACTTTATTTTTGTATCTTGGATTTTTCGTGCATTTACACATGCTGCACTTTGTTCATATCATCAATAATAACATCAGTATATTTGACTAATAGAATCAATAATTACACTTCATTTTTTGTATCTTGGATTTTTCATGCATTTACACATGCTATATTTTGTTCATATAATCAATAATAGGATATGTATATTTGACTAATCAAATCAATGATTACGAGATTAAGCACTAATTTGAAACAAAAAAAACTATATTGCTTAGAGTTAAAATGTATCAATTAACACTAAGCAAGTTGGTTTAATGCTAACAACATTAAACAAATCGCCTTGAACCAAATTTGCAAGGCATAATTTGTTGGATTTCACGTCATAAGGCATTAAATAAGCTTGGAAAAAGCATGTAAGATGAATTTTACACGATGATTATACCTTTGAGAATTATTTTTCATAAATTCGTTATGAAACATGCTGCAATTCTTTGAAGTGGAAGATGAATCCGTATTGCAACATCATCCCAAAGAGACACATTTTCAAGAACTCAACACAACTATTTTAGCAGAAGATTCTTGGCCCAGTTGTGTTAGAGAAAAACATAATGCTCATGTTCTACAACAAGATCTGTACAAGGTATTAGAGGATTACATCTAAAGGCCTAAATGGGTGGCTCGGGGACATGAGGGTATTGAATATCCAGAGAGGGGAAGAGAGAGAGAGAGAGAGAGAGAGAGAGAACTTATGATCACTTATGGCTGTGCCCCTCCATCCCGCCGGTCAACGGCACCGGTTTCTTCTTTAATGGGCGATCCCATTTTTATTATAATAAATAATAAGACCGTAGTAATAACAGTCATAACAAGGCGATTCAGTAGGCGGTTGGTGGCCCTGACGGTGGCGGTGGCGCTGCCACGGCCCAAATAAAATGGGCCCGCCCGGGCCGGCCCGGGCCGGCCCGTTGTGTGTCGGTGAGGCAGCTGAAAAGCGGCCCCCGGCGGATCTATCCCGCTGTAAGAACCCGCCCTCTTGGTCGGTCGGTGGCCAGCGAGGCACCGACACAGTCTTTCTCTCTCTATCTCTACCTATCTCTCTCTCTATCTCTTACGTCAGCCTCTGGAGAGGGGGGCGGGGCGGCAGTCTTTCTCTCTCCCTCACCGGAGGGGGGGGACGAACGGACGTGCCACCGGCAGGAGAGACGTCAGCTTCGGCTTTCGGAGTCCAACGGAGGGTGAGGGGAGACCATCGGAGCCTTACATTTACCAACTCGTGCGGCCCGATGACGCCATCTCCTCTCTCTCTCTCTCTCTCTCTCTACCTCTCTCTCGCTCTATATCTCTCTCTCTCCTGACCATTTTGTCTCTGTTGAAAAGAGAGGCGTACAGTAGTCGGGAGGTCTGAAGGAAGGGCCAGCAGCTGACAGAGAGCGAGAGAGAGAGAGAGAGAGAGAGAGAGAGAGAGAGAGGGAGAGGGAGAGGGAGAGGGAGAGGGGGAGAGAGAGAGAGAGAGAGGACAGATGGATGGGGTCTGACCTCCGCGTGGTTCACCTCTCCCCATCTTCTTTTCCCCATCGAGTATGCCATAAGTTCCTCACTCAGTTCGTAGTTAATAATTCCTTGCTGTTCTCACCGCCCAGACAAAGAGGGAAAGAGAGACAGAGGAGAGAGAGAACGAGAAAGAGGAAGAGAGGGACCGAGAGGACGGAGGAAGAAGAAGCGGAGATTTAGTCCGTAAGCCTGCAAACGATTGACCCCTCGGCAGGTAGAGAGAGAAAAATAGAGAGAGAGCGGAGAGAGAAAAGATCAAGGAGAGTTGAAGAGGAGGAGGAGGGGGGCTCCTGAACTCTTCAGAACGCTCCGGCGCCATGGGATCTCCCCAGATCTGTGGCGTCGCCCTCATCCTGCTCCTCACGGCGGCCATCTCTACCGCCGCCAGCTCCTCGCCGGCATTGCCCTCCAAAAAGGCCACCTTCAAGCCCACATTGTCCACCTCCGCGACAGCCACCGGCGGGGGCGGCGGCGGCGGCGGAGGGATCAACTCCAACTCGGTTCTGGTGGCGCTGTTGGACTCGCAGTACACGGAGCTGGCGGAGCTGGTGGAGAAGGCCCTCCTCCTCCCAACCCTAGAAGACGCCGTCGGCCGCCACAACCTCACCATCCTTGCCCCCCGCAACGAGGCCATGGAGAGGGAGCTCGACACCGAGTTCCGCAGGTTCCTCCTCGAACCAGGCAACCTCCCCTCCCTCCAGACCCTCCTCCTCTCCCATGTCCTTCCCTCCCGCATCCTCTCCTCTTCATGGCCCCTCTCCTCCTCCGGCCACCGCCACCGCTCCCTCAACCCCTCCCACCACCTTCTCCTCCGCTCCGACCAGTCGCCGGCGACGGAGAGGAAGACGAAGCAGCAGCAGCAGCAGCTGCAGCTGCAGGTGGATCTGGCGGCGCTTGTCCATCCTGACGCCGTCGTCCGCCCCGACGGCGTCATCCACGGTATCGACCGCCTCCTCGTCCCCCGCTCCGTGCAGGAAGACTTCAACCGCCGCCGTAGCCTCTCCGCCATCGCCGCCGTGATCCCCGAGGGCGCCCCTGAAGTTGACCCCCGCACCCACCGCCTGAAGCACCCGGCACCGTCGGTCCCCGCCGGAGCCCCGCCGGCGCTGCCCATCGCCGACGCGCTGGCCCCCGGCCCGGCGCTGGCCCCGGCACCTGCGCCGGGCCCCGGCGGCCCCCGCGGCCACTTCCACGGAATGCGCCAGGTGAAGGACTTCATCCACACGCTCCTCCAGTACGGCGGCTACAACGAGATGGCCGATATACTCGTGAATCTCACCTCGCTGGCGACGGAGATGGGGCGGCTGGTCTCAGAGGGGTACGTTATCACCGTGCTGGCCCCCAACGACGCGGCCATGGCGAAGCTCACCGCCGATCAGCTGAGCGAACCAGGCGCGCCGGAGCAGATCATGTACTACCATCTCATCCCCGAGTACCAGACGGAGGAGAGCATGTACAACGCGGTGCGCCGATTTGGGAAGGTCCGCTACGACACGCTGCGGTTCCCTCACAAGGTGGTGGCCAGGGAGGCGGACGGCTCCGTGAAGTTCGGCCATGGCGAGGGCTCTGCGTACCTGTTCGACCCGGATATCTACACCGATGGGCGGATCTCCGTGCAGGGCATCGACGCTGTTCTCTTCCCACCAGACGAGGTCCCCTCCTCCACCGTCTCGCCGGCCGTCAAGAAGGCGCCGCCCGCCAAGGCCGCCGCCGGCCCCCGGAGAGGTCAGTACTGCCCTCTGCAACAACTTTTTCTTCTTCTTCTTCTTCTTCTTCTTCCTCCGCCGCCGCCGGCGCTTGCCGGAGCTGGGTAGGTATGGCCGCCGGCGAGATCGCCGACGGTGAAGCTAACCTGGGCGGTTGGCGAATCACTTTTTTTGCTTTTATTTTTTGTTTTTTTTGGCGTGCCGGTGGGGAAAAGGAACCCTTTTTCTTTTTTTCGTCTCCAAACCGGGATTTTTTTCCTATTTGTTCCCCAAGTTATCCAACCGACGGCCATTTTCTCTCGATTACATTGTATTAAACAGGCTTTATTTTTATTGTTTTCTCCACCGGGGATGCGTCGGTGTCCGCATGGGCTGGCTCCCGGCTGGTTGCCTTCGTCGTCGTCTTCCTCCGCCCGCTTCGCTGGCTTTCACGGCGGCGGCGGTGGGGTCGCCGTCGGTCGCCGCCGTGTTCTTCCTCTACTAGGGCATCTGGGCTGACGTGAATGTCGATGAGCAGGGAGGTTGATGGAGGCGGCCTGCGGAGTCTTGGGGGCGCTGGGCCAGCGGTCTCGCTACGCCACCTGCCAGTGAATCCCAATAAATACCGCTTCTTCATACACAAAAACCGGCGGCGCCGCCGCTCATCTCAAAAACACAGCAAGGTAACTGAGCCCACGATCTTCTTCATCATCTTCTTCTTCCTCCGGCCGATTTACTCCGGCTGAGCTCGTCGTCGCCCTTCATGGTTTTGTTCAGGGAATAACGTGTGAAAAGAAGAACGACGAAGAGATCGTAACAGCTGAACAGACCGCAGTGTAGCCCACGAGTTCGTCTATGCATCCTCTTTCCTCTCTCTCTCTCTCTCTCTCTCTCTCTCTCTCTTCGCTTGTATGTTTGTATTTCGTTTCGGGCTCTGTGGTTGCTATTCCTCTTCCAGTCTTGATTTTTGGATGGTATTGTTTATCCTTCTTCATCCCCCCCTGCGGAAGAGAAGAGGAGGGACGAGGAGAGACAGTAACCCTTCTCTGTCTCTCTGTCTCTCTGTGTCTCTCTCTTTCTCTCTCTCTATATGGATTCATGTATGTAAGTAGCTACGAATAATGAGAAGGCCAGCAAGATCTTTTCCTATCGGCGCCGGGAATTCAACGGGCTGGCGATGGCGGGGAGGGAGGGAGAAAGTGGGGAGAATGGGCGGGGACTAGAGGTGGTCGGTGGCGGCGCCACCAGGCCCGGTGGCGGGCCGGGCTCCCAGCCTGGACGCCGTCGGCGGACAGAGATCTCACGTGGGACGCAGACAGCTGGCGCTCTCTCTCTCGCTAGAGAATCTTGGCCAGCTGGGTTGCACCTGTCAACGGCCTTCATTAAATTCCGCGTCGAATTTAATCCCAACCTCTCTCTCTCTAACGCGGGGCGGCAGACGGAGAGGGAGAGACCCAGCTCCGTTTCATCAGCCCAACAACTCTCTCTCTCTCTCTCTCTAGCTAACGCAGGGCGGGTAGACGGAGCGGGAAAGACCCAGCTCGGTTTCATCAGCCCACCACACTCTCTCTACCTCTCTCTCTCTAACGCGGGGCAGCCGACGGAGAGGGACAGACCAGTCAGAGTCGGGTTGTTCGGGTGTCGGCGTCCCGTGTATAGAAAGAAGAATAAGCTCGGTCGTCTACCGTCTTCAGACGCATACTCACCGACGGCACCAAACAATGTCGTCTATATTATGATTAAATAAACAGGGATATAGATAGAGAGAGAGAGAGAGAGAGAGAGAGAGAGAGAGAGAGAGAGAGAGAGAGGGTAGAGAGAGGTGCATTGTAGGAGAGGGCGGCAAGAAAGCCTGAAAACAAGAGGTCTCACCCTCCTCGGCTCCCTGCCAGCCCAGCAGCCTCACCTGCTCGCTGCGACGGGAGACCGTCGATAATTTAGAAACAGAGCAAAGATGACTGCGTCGTAATCGCCGCATACAACTCCATGAAAAAACAGACAGACCCTCTCTCTCTCTCTCTCTCTCTACTGTACACAAATCTGGACGACAGCAACCAGCGAGAGAGCACACCACTCACACTCTCGGCCTCTTCTTCTTCTTCTTCCTCTCAGGGACGGGGACTTCCGGAAGCCTTGGCATTCTCCTCTGCCCGTCCCTTCGCCGTCCCCGTCGCCGGCGCCGTTCACGGAGCCGACTGCTCCGACTCCCCCCCGCTGGGCTTCCCTTCCGCTTCCACCTCTGGCCTTGGGGCAGCGGCGGCGGCGGCGGCGGCTTTCGCGTTTGGCTTGGCCGTCGCCGGCGCCGGAGAAGACGACTTGCGAGTTGTCTTCTTGGAAACGACCGGTCCTCCATTCCCGTTGGCTGGGCCTCCGTTCGGCCTGTTCCTCTCGCCTTCAGGGGAGCTCTCCGAAGCGGCGGAGGGCTTCCGGCGTCCGAGCTTCGGAGACACCGCCCGGGTCGTCGGAATCTGCGAAGATCCTCATGAGAAACGGCTGCATCAGGATCTGAGCCAAGCTCTTCTCGACGTCCAATCGAACAGCATATACAGAGAAGGATCATAATAATAATATCTGCTCCTACCCTGTTCTTTAATCGATCAAACTCAAGATTTTCCGACGTCGTCTAATCAAGCAGCATATATACAGAGAATGATCATAATAATAACAATATCTGCTCCTACCCGGTTCTTTAATCGATCAAACCCAAGTTCTTTCCGATTTCGTATAATCAGGCAGCATATAAACAGACAATGATCATAATAATCATATGTGCTTCTACCCGGTTCATTAATCGATCAAACCCAAGCTCTTCCCGAAGTCCAATCAAGCAGCATGCATATATATAGAGGATGATCATAATAATAATAATAATAACAATATTTATCCTATTATTATCACGAACAACAAACACCAGGAAGGAATTTGAAATAAAAATAAATTTTAGAACAACAAGACAGTAACTTTCAAGGCTCATATCACTAGGTTAATCCACCCCAGTCTGTGATTTGTGAAGATTTATGAAGCTCTGTGGCCATAAGTCAAATTGGATGATGAGGAAAACCCATCGATTCAATCAGCCAGCAGCTCACTAGAAAAAAATAAATAAATTTCCATGATAGAGTTATTTCATAAATATTTTGATGTATCCTATTATCATTATCAAGAGCAGGGATTGAAGTCTGTAGACCAATAATATGGAAATCAACGGATTAAGCCACTCAAAACGAATTCTGGGGACGCATATTTTGACATCTAGACCAGTCACAAATGAATGAAGGTTGTGCAGAAAACACAGCCTTTTTCTTCTCCACAGAAAACATGGCAGCATCCAGGAAGATCGTCGTCATGAAACTCCACATATTTAAATTATTTATATAAAAATACGTCGTGAATTATATATATTTTTATTTCCAGAGCTGTCTCATTTATAACTCGGCGCTCCATCTCTCCCTCTCTCTCTCTCTCTCTCTCTCTCACACACACACACACACACACACACACACTCTTCCTTGGCCGTCTCCAGCAGCTCTCTTCTCCTTAATACTATGTTTTTAAGTGAAAACAATCTAATTCATGCTCACAGCTTGACATGAAAAAAAATGGCGGCCGGGCATTTATGGCCATCTGGATCTGCGCCAAGAATCTCTGCAGGTAAAGCTTGAGGATAGAAGTCATGAATCGATACAATAGAAGCGTAATACCTTCTTCAGTTCAGCTTTAGGGGGCTCCGGCTCCTTGTAGAAACTGGGCATGGGTGTGGCCTTGAACGTCAAGCTCTTTCTCAGCTGCTTGATCTCCGCCTCCTGGTTTTCCTAGATCAAAAAAACTCCAGTGGGTCTGATTAGTTTAATCTAAGATGAACTGGGCAGAGGCCATAAACGAGATTAATCAAACAAGTTTCCATCTTCCCAACTCTCAGCACCTTTGATTTCGCCTGCAAGTTCGTCTTCTCCTCTTCTTTGGCCTGTATCTTCTCCTCAAGCTTCATGAAGAACTGGTCCAGCCGCACCAGATCAGATCATAGCATATTTGGCAGCAAAAAACATATGATTTTCATGAACATGCACACCTCCTTCCGTTTTTCAGCGCGTACATCCAACCTGAAGGCAAAGCCAGAGGAGCTGCTCTTCCTCTGAGATGCACTTCCAGGACTCTCGCTTCTGGAAATGGAATCGATATCCTTTGTGTATTAAAACTCTGAGCATTCATTATTTGGGATCGAAAGGCATTCTAGATGATAATAATAGGTTTCCAAATCAGCAAGATTGATCGAGGATCGGCGACCCAATTATCCCATAAATTAATACTTGAATGCTGCTTTTACAGCGCCATATTCTTAAACAAAAAGGCTTTTTTTTTTTGTTCAAGCCATAAATTACCAAAGACGAAGGCACCACCAAGAACAGTAGAGCATTTCTCTCTCTATGGGCGGTTCTATTGCTATGAAAACCTTCTTCTGTTCCTATTCAGCCATAAAAATCTTAGATAGCATGCGCAGTCTGCAGAATTATGGGCAGATGGTTGACCGAGACAAGTGAAGCTCTGAATCTTGTAACCCAGAGGAGGAAGATCAGCTTACTGTGGCACTTCAGATGTGTTGTCGTCGGAAGTCGCATCCACTGAACCAGATTTCAAAGCCTAAATTTTGGAAAAGGGGGTGATCATGTTGGAGAGGACGATGACAGAGAGAAGCAGCCATCTCAGCTGCAAAAGTCAACCTACCAAGGTCGGAAGAGCTCTCGGCTTGGAAGGTGAGTCACTGCTCTGAAGAACTCCTGCAATTGCGTCAGCAAACCAAAGAGAAGAGAAGACACATGAAACCATGGAAGTAGTTTGAGCCAGAGGATCCGAGCTTCAGGGCATTTGGGGGCTGACCTTCCGCTCCAGGCTTCAGCGGCTTCGCACTGGCGGTGGCCTTCCTCGAGCCGCCATTGTGGGCGACCTTCGCAGGGAGAGAAAGGCCCTCGGATATGGCGGCCATCCTCCTTTGGTTCTGGGAAATTGCGGCTGGGGCAGTCTGTCCCTTCTTCTCCTTGTTGAAGTTGTTGCAGCCCTTCAGGCGATCACCTCGGTCTGATCCAGGTTTCTGCACAAAGTAAGAGGGCATCTCGCCTTGTAAGCCGCCATCGCCGCCGAGCAATCAGGGAAGGAAAACGTCGTCGAGGATTGAATGCTTACTACCTTCACGGTTTTCCGCTCTGGTGCGGCCGAAGAAACCCTACCGTTGACTCCGGGCGAATCATGGCCAGTCGATTGCTGCAGATCTTCCGGTCGGCCGTGGAGCAGCGCCGCGCCATGGCCGTCCTGGTCTAATGCAGCTTCCATTCGGGGTAGAGAATGGGGAATGGGGATCGGGGATGGTAGGGCCGCCAAATCCTGAAACATTCGGAAGCCATGCCAGAGTCAGCGCTGTGGGACGCTACTGATAGTGAATGCAGAGAAGAACACTGCGGGAGATAGATGCCGAGTGGAAGCCGAGAAGGAGGAGGAGGGATTCGAGGCATCCGATTGGATTGGATCGGGAATGCAGCAGAGGAAACGAGAGGGAAGGAATCAAGGCCCCCCTCATTTCGCGCACCAGGATGGATGAATGGCAGGAGCAGACCTCTGGAACTAACTCAGCAATGAGTCGGGATCTTCGCCGCCGGTGCGTCGGCAGGATCGCCGGCGGGAGTCATGATCCAGAGCTCCAGACTCGAGGACCACCCTGCCGCCGCCGTCACCGCAGCGCCACCGCCGCCCCCCTGGAGCAAGATGGAGGGGATGCTCTGTCCCAATGCCTATTCCGCCGCCCCTCCCGATCTCCACCTGCCGTCCCCGCCACTAGCCCACGAAGAGCGAGAGAGAGAGAGATAGATAGATAGAGAGAGAGAGAGAGAGGACCCAGCAATTTTTCAAGGATCCACTCACGCCGACGAGGGAGCAGAATCAGACCAAAGAAAGTTTCCACCAGTTCCAGTCACACAGCAACTTGTCTACCCATCAACTAGTTTTACAGAGTGAGTGAGTGAGTGAGTGAGAGAGAGAGAGAGAGAGAGAGAGATCCCATCGACTTCCGGCATGTCCGGCCAAGTGAGCTCCCTGCAGCCCAGTGGGTAGGCGGGGGGTCGCGCTCACGGCGGCGCCGATCGGTTACGGCGTCATTTTCGGAGAAAGCTGGCCACCATCCTCGTTTTCAAGGCCGCCGCTGCCGCCGGCCGCTTCCTCTGCGTAACCATAGAAGCAGCCCGAGATTCTCCACTGTGAAATCCTGACCGTCTTTTCATCACGGTAGTCAACCCTGATTGATACACCCGTTGACCCATCCGTTGACCCCATCAATCTCCGCCGTAATCTACTCTTTCTCTCTCTCTCTCTCTCTCCATGAGAACAACGAGGGATTACCGGAGTTTGCTAGTGAGAGAACAGTGGAAAGCCAGGGGAAAAAACTGAATGAACCAGAGGAGCCTCTCTCGGTGGGATCGTCGTCGTCGTCGGCAGCAACGATGGGGAAACATTAGGTCAAGAAAAAGGTGGGAATGGACATGAAGAATACGAGCTTCAACCGAGCTTCAGGGCGTCCCTAAACCCTAATCCGAAGCTGGCCTGCAAGCCGAGCCCCTTCTTGCCGCACTCGGAGTTCCCCCTCTGCATCATGGCGACGAACTCGTTGTAATCTATGCGCCCATCCTGCGGGGAAGAGCGAGAAAGCGATGAACATCTCCAAACTCTGTACAAAACAGATATCAATCGATCAATCATTTCAAACGGATGAATGAAGGTCTTCTTCCTACGTTGTCCTGGTCGGCCTCGCGGAGCATCTCCTCCATGCGGACGTCCTCCACGCCGAACTCCTCGCAGGCCTGCTGGAGCTCGTCCTGGGTGATGAAGCCGCTGCCGTCCTTGTCGAAGAAGGAGAAAGCCGCGAACAGGTGATCCTCCCGCTCGATCTTGTTCAAGTGCAGCGTCGCCGCGATGAACTCCCCGTAATCTATCGTCCCGCTGTTGTCGATATCCGCCTGCATCCACTTTTCAAGTCAACGGCCGAGGCCTTTCGCTCTTAAAGTCAGCACCTCTTGGGTAGATGGCGGCGGCCGCTCACCGCCTGCATCAGGGCGTAGATTTCAGACTCTCTCAGGTTTGCGCCCACGCGTTCCAATCCGGCCTTGAGCTCTTCGAAGGTGATCTGGCCGCTGTTATCGGTGTCTATCATCTTGAAGAGCTCCTTCAGGCCTGCGATTTCTTCCTCCGACAGGTTCTCGGCGATCACCTGAAGACGGCGCAATGGAGATGATCAGCTTTAACCAGTCGGTTCTACTTCCAGGAGGTGAACGATGGTGGAGGAGAGAGCCTCACTGACCCTTAGGGCCATCTTCTTCAGCTTATTCATGGCGGAGAACTGTTTCAGCCGCGATAATACGGCGGAGTCGAGCGGCTTGTCGGGAGCTACGCCATCCACCTGAACCCACGGGTGGCCTGACAAGATCAGACGCAAGGAGAAGAATTTTAGTGCATGCCAAAAGTCAACCCCCCCCGCCGTAGATTCATGAAGCTCTCGGTCTTTTTGGTCGAGAGAAGGTTGCTGTGGTTAGCGAATCGCAGAAAAAATTACTCGTTAAGAGTGAAAACCTAGATATCATAGTCTGATCATCAAAACCCTGAAGCAGCAGTTGGAGCGTTTTCATTGTGATATCATGCAAAGATCGGGGAACAAATCCAACGCTGTGTTTCGTCGAATGCACCAGGAGAAAGGAAAAATTCATCATTCTTGGATGGATTCTTCTTATTAAGAAGGAATTCCATGCCTACGACTTGGAAAACTGCTCTGCAAATTGGGAGATGAACCAAACAGAGAGAGAGAGAGAGAGAGAGAGAGAGAGTCTCACATAAGACTTCATTGGCGGGTTTTTCTTATTGAGAAGGAATTTCATGCCTAGGACTTGAAAACTGCTTTATGAATTGGGAGACAAACCAAACACAGATAGATAGATAGAGAGAGGGAGAGAGAGAGAGAGAGAGAGAGAAAGAGAGAGAGAGAGAGAGAGAGAGAGAGAGAGAGAGAGAGAGAGAGAGAGAGAGAGAGAGAGAGAGAGAGTCTCTCACATAAGACTTCATAGGCGGTCAACCGCTTGCTCACATCTCTCACCAGCATCCGGCGCACTAGATCCTTGGCACCGTCGGAGATGCTCGGCCAAGGATCAGAGTCGAAGTCGAGAGAGCCCTTCAGAACCTGTTCGAATATCCCCTGCTCGGTCTCTGCACATCAAGAGAGAGAGAGAGCTCGAGCGATGGGCCCAAGTGATGAGAGAGAAGGAAAACCCAGAAGGAGATCGCAGGACGGCGTCCCAAGGCACTCACCCGCCCAAAACGGAGGCACCCCGGAGAGCAAGATGTAGATGATGACCCCTGCGCTCCACACGTCCGCCTCCGGGCCGTACCGCTTCTGCAGGACCTCCGGCGCCACGTAATACGGGCTCCCCACCACGTCCGTGAATATCTCTCCTAAAGCAGGAGTAGACGAAGGATGCAGATCAAGAACACATGAACAAGAGAAGAAAGTGGCTTCTGGGTCTTGAGGTTTGCGTCCAAAGGTCCGATCTTGTGGGATGGACCTACGCGAGCAAGGTCCTGGATCAGACCCCCAGAAAAGAACCCTTTTTCATTTCCATCAAATAGGTAGATTAAGAACAGATGAGGAAATGAGAGGGAGGATGAAGAGGAGAAGAAGCTGGCTTCTGGGTCGTGTGGATTGCGTCCAAAGATCTAATCTTCTGCGAACAATTTCCCGGATCCAGCCGACCATGGGATTGCTTGTCAATTAGGTAGGATTTGATAACAATGGGTTCTTCTGTGGGGGAACGAACCGGCCAGGACTTGCAGAAGGAGGAATGGAGTGCTTTTCCTCGGGAAGAAGATGGAGCTCCGACAAGGGTTTGTCTGCAACTGAAGCGAGCTCGTACCTGGGCGGAAGAAGATGGACAGTCCAAAATCAATCGTCTTCAGCGGGGACTCCTCTTTATGGTTGACGAAGAGGAAGTTCTCCGGCTTCAGGTCCCTGTGCATGACCCCTAGCGAGTGGCACGCCTCCACCACGCCAACGATCACCCTCGCCAGCTCCGCCGCCTGCCTCTCCGTGTAGTACCCCCTCTGTATGATCCTGTCGAAGAGCTCGCCGCCGGCGCAGAGCTCCATCACGACGTGAACGGCGGCGGCGTCCTCGTAGGCGCCGACGATGGAGATCACGTTAGGATTTCCGGCGAGGTGGTGCATGATCTGGATCTCCCTTCGCACGTCCTCCACGTCCTCGTCTGTCACCAGCTTCCTCTTGGCGATGGATTTGCAGGCGAACTCCTGTCCCGTCGTCTTCTCCACGCAGAGATACGTCGTCCCGAACTGGCCCTGCCCGAGCTTCCTCCCTAGGCTGTAGATCTCCTTAAGGTTCTCCGTCTTCCTCCGGAGGACCGATTCTGTCTGCAACCCCGCGCTGGAGATCCTCTTCACGTGGTGGGACTTCCTCGAAGGCCGCGGCGGAGGCGGCGGCGCCGCCTCCTGCTCGATCTCCGTCATCTTCTCCGGCTCCGGCGCCTGGTTTTGCACCGGAAGCGGGGCAGCGGCGGCACCGCCGCCGCCGGGGATGGTTTTAACATCTTGGGGTTGGGGGAAGGAGCCGCCGTCGTCGTTCACCGTGCGGGAACGCCAGAGAGTGGCGGAGACGGACTGGAAGAAGCCGTTCCTCGCGACGGCCGGCCCCACGCAGGTGTTCCCCATTGATCGCTGCCGGCGATGGAGCTCTCAAGAGGACGACCCCCCGCCGGTGCTGCGCATCTTCCGCCGGAGACCGATGCATCCACCGGTGGCGACCCAGAAAAATACGAGGGGCTGGGGAGGGCGGCGAAGTGAGGCGGGCGGCGGGTAGTCAGTCTCCGGCGAGAGAGGGAGCAGAATCGGTCGGCGAGCTCTGCAGCAATGGCGGACGAAGGCGGTCGTCCAGGGCGATGGGGGCGAGGAAAAGGATGAGAAGGAAGGTCGCGGGGAAGGCGGAAGCCGACGCGGGCATTCTGGTCTCGTGAGCGGAGCAGGCCAACGCGCCTGATTTGCATCCAAAGATCGCTCCTTATTTGAGAAAATGTCTGAACAAAAAGTCAAACCGATCAGGTGATCCTCCCAATCTCTGAAAATAAAAATTCAAGGGGATAAAAATTCGACGGTAGGAGCTGAAAAAAAGAAAATAAATATATATTTATTTGTCATTGTGGAATTGTTCCGGCGGAGGAAACGGGAGGAGCTGAGCCGCCCGAAAAGGCGGGTTTTCAGGTCGATGATGATGTCAAGTTTTGGTTTTTTACTATTTTTAGTATCGTCATTTGACTTTTCGATCAGTATAACTCAGCAAGAAATCGGGACCTTATCCGATCCAGTGCAGGGTCGCAGCAGCTACAAGGGGGGGAGGGGGAGGGGGAGTCCCTTCTCCGGCAACGCCTCTCCGGCGGCGGCACGGCGATGGCAGCGACGTCCAGCTTTGCAGGTTCCCTCCTTCACCTCCGCTGCAATGGCAGCGTCAGGTGCCCGCGCGCCGGCGGCTCCTGGAGCACCGGCGGCGGCAGGTCTCTCAAGATCCGCAGCTCTCCCCTTCTTCTTTTCCCTCTCTTCCCCGAACGGGGACGCCGGCGGCCCGCCACCGCCATCCCCGCTGCGGACACCTACTACGACGACGACGGCGAGAACTCCGACGGCGGCGATGGGGAAACAGAGCGGCGAAGGGCAGCGCCGGCCTCGACGGGGGAGGCGGCGCGGCGGCTATACGTGGGCAACCTCCCTTACTCGATGACGCCCTCCAACCTCTCCGATGTCTTCTCCGAGGCCGGCACCGTCACTTCCGTCGAGGTGTCGCCCCTCATCATCGTCTTCCTCGCGCCGCCGCCTCCTTCCCCTTCCTCTTCATAACCTGCAACTCGCCGCCGGAGCAGGTGGTGTACGACCGCGTCACAGACCGGAGCAGGGGCTTCGCCTTCGTCACCCTCGCCAGCGCCGACGAGGCCTGGGCCGCCATCCGCATGTTCGACGGATCCGTGAGTCCTCCTTTTCCTCTTCTTCCTCCTCCTCCGGCGATCGCCGGCGGCGGCGATATTTACACTGTTCTTCTCTGGGTTTGTGGCAGCAACTGGGGGGGAGGACGGTGAAGGTGAACTTCCCGGAGGTGCCGAGGGGCGGGGAGAGGGAGGTGATGGGGCCCCGGCTCCGGGAAGCTCGCCGGGGATTCGTCGACAGCCCCCACAAGCTCTACGCCGGCAACCTCAGCTGGGTCGTCTCCTCCGACGCGCTCAGGGCCGCCTTCGCCGGCTGCGCAGGTCTGCTCAGCGCGAAGGTCGTCTACGAGCGCGATACCGCGCGTTCCAGGGGCTACGGCTTCGTCTCCTTCGCCTCCGCTGAGGACGCTCAGTCGGCCCTCTCCGCAATGGACGGCGTGGTACGTACCAGCAACCTCTTCTTCTTCTTCCTCCTCCTCCTCCTCCTCCGTCGCTGTGCCGATCGCTGCCTCTCAGTGGCGGTGGTTTTTAGAGCAGACGAGGTGTTCGACGGCTTGCCTCGCCGCTGTGCCGATCGCTGCGGTGTGTTCTTAACTCCGTCTCCTCTGCCTTTGGGACCGTTGCGGCCCGGATTCGCAGGAACTGGAAGGCCGGCCTCTGCGTCTGAATGTCGCCATGAACAACGGTAGCGCCAGAGCCGGCGGCGGCTCTTCTGGAGAGTTGGAGGCGGCGGGGACCCCCGACGGCGCCACCGTAGTTAGCCCCTGATAGCGACCCTTCTGCCGGACTCTCCGCCGCCGCCGTCTGGATGGCTATTTCTCCCTCCCCTGAGCTGCCCTGTACGAACTCTGTTCCTGCGTTGACTTCTCTAGTAGAAGAACACAGTTTTGGTTCGCTCTTCATCCTGGCTATGAACACGATTGACCATCTACATATATATATATATATATATATATATATATATATATATATATATATATATATCTATGTATGAACTGAGAGTTGACCAAAGGAATTGGGCTTTGAGCGGGATTCCAATAATCACATTTCTCGAGAATCTGCACCGTTGACCTTACTCTGGAGGAATCGGAGGACATGGGAGATGGAGAATGATGGTGGTCCACGACCGCCCGTTTTGATACAGAGCCTGGCGACGAAGAGCAGGCTCTTGAGCTCGCTCGAGTCGTAGGCGTTCCCAAGATCTGAGTCGACCATCTGGTTCATCGAGTGGGAAAAGTCAGCCCGCTGGATCCACCGGAGCAGATCCGCCCCCTGGCTCCCGAACGACTGGCCAGTCACCAACTCGAGGATCAGCGCCCCAAACTGGAATAGAATCTGATCGTCTCCTCGCCCACTGACTCCTGTAGGAGGAACAAACAGAAAGAATCTTGGTCAACGCCGGAGGGGTGAAGGATGAACACGGAGAGATCGTAGCGAGGATTTAGACTTGACCCTTCAGATCTTCTTCGTCGGATGGCTCACGAACTTGCCCGTCAAAGCTCATTGACCCGAAAGTAGACAGCTGCATTTATGAAAAAAAAAACTAAACGGGATCAAACTGCTATTTAATAATTTATGAATCCGGGCGGATCAACGGTGGCACCTCGCACCTTGGCGACCGAGTTGCCGTCAAGCAGGATATTCTCAGCGGAGACGGTGAGGTTGCAGGGCGGGGGATCACAGAATAGACACAGGTACTCCTACGGTTGAATCAATCGAAAAGAAGATTGACTGGTGAGCAACCTTCAAGAACCCGAAGCCAAAAGTCAACTCGGCCATTACCAACCAGAGAAGCCGCGACGTCAGTGGCTATCTGTAGCCTTGCCCTCCAAGTCAACGGGGTCCTCAGAGGGTCTGCACGGAAGAACAGGGAGATATTTGCCACCCGACCCGGTTTCCACCAGAAATCAAGAAAAAAAAAAATGATCCACTTTACTCTCAGCTTCGAGTACCGTGGATGATCTCCCTCAGGCTTCCGTTCTCCATGTAGTCAAACACGAGAAACCTGAAACCAAAGTCAACGCCTGGGGGTGATGGCTGATTTTTAAGAGAGATTAATTCTAAAAAAAGGTTGATTTTAATGGGAAATGTTGACCTGTCATGTTCCTCAGAGAAGCCCCGGAGGCCGACGAGGTGACGGTGGTGGAGGCGGGCGAGGAACTGGAGATCTCTGTGGAAGGCGTCGCTCTCTGGTGCAAGAACTCGAACCTTCTTCACAACACCGACGAGCCCATCCGGGAACTGAGCTTTATAAGCGGCCCCCCCGGAGTCGCTTCCGATTATCCTGCTGAAGCCATCTGTCGCTCGCTTGATCTCCTTGTAGGTGAAGCGCCTGAGAAACGGCGAAGGCCCTGCAATAAGGTTGACTTTTAGATCTAATCGTCTGTGATTGTCATAGAGCCAAAACACTAGCATGAAGCCCCTGCAGAAAGGTTGACTTTTAAATCCAATCTCCATGATTATCAAGGAGCTCAAACACTGACATGGAGCCTCTCTGCAATGAGGTTGACTTTTAAATCCAATCTCCGTGATTGTCAAGGAGCTCAAACACTGGCATTGAGCCCCCGCAATGATGTTGACTTTTAAATCCCATCTTGGTCACTGTCATGGAGCTCAAAACGCTGGCATGATGCGCCTGCAATAAGGGTTGACTTTTAAGACCAATCTTCGTGATTGTCATAGAGCCAAAACACAGCATGAAACCCCGGCAAAAAGGTTGACTTCTAAAACCAATCTTCGTCACTGTCATGGAGCTAAAACAGTGGCATGAAACACTCTTGGAAAAGGTTGACTTTTAAATCCAATCTTCGTCACTGTCATAGATCATACAGCTAAAACACTGGCATGAAACACCCTAGCAAAAAGGTTGACTTTTAAATCCAATCTTCGTCACTGTCATATAGCACAAACACTGGCACGTTCTTAACGCAGATGGGCATCTTGACGGGTTCAATGATATTATTTAGACGATTTCTCTGGTAAGATCAAACCGCTGGAAGAACGCCATCCAAACCGAGCCTTTTCACAGGAAATCAGAAGGCCTGGGAATATAAACCAAGATCATCCCCAGGTGACTGATCATACGGCCAAAAATGCTCCACGACGGCATAATCATCTCAACCTGAGAACAAGGGTTCAACTCTTTTTCTGTTCATCCTCTACTGGAGAGATTTTCTTACTTATTGAACAAGAAAGCACACAGATTTTATTTTATTTTTTTATTTTTCTATTTAAATGGAGTAAATATTCACGAACCCACATTTTAAAGAAATGGGCTCACCAAGATCATCTCCATATCACAAATCTCAGTCATTTTCAGCTGCATAGTTCTAATGGAAAGCTTCCAGTAGACATGGATCTTGGAGCATGTTTATGGAGTGGACACGATCTTTTCTCAGCAGAGAAGACTCCACAAATAAGAGATTAAAACACCAACTTAGGGATTTAATTAACCAATACTGACCAAGATTTTCATTCAATTTTCGGAGAAATAAGGCTTCATAACCCTGTGCCATACATACACTGGGCAAGAAGGCCAAGGCTTTCTCAGTAGAGATAAGGGCCCCCACATCCGGGATCTCTCCCCACACCTTCTCCCTCAAGAACTTGTAAGCAGGGCTTGGGTCGCATATACTAATAAGAACAGTGCAGATGAGATGATCTTAATGGGGTCTATTAGTAAGAAGACTCCCCTCAGATAAGAAGATTCAGTGTTTACTCCCCCTCAGTTCTTGCTCCCATTGATGACCCTGAGCAGATTCAGAGCTCATCTGGGTCTCTAGCGACTGACAGGGCATCAGATCAGGCTTTGGATCTGCCCCTCCCTATCCTTTTTGTTCAAGAGGAACCGTGAGGATCTCTCGAAGAGGCTTAGATGCTCCACCCCCAACCTTTTCAGGCATGGAGGTGGCGAATCTGATGCCCCAGAATTTCTTCTCTTGGGTGGTGGGTTCATCTCCTCACAAGCCAAAAAAGTTTTAAAAAAGTGTTCTTTGACGAAATTAGGGGTAATAGAATCCTTATCAAAAAGGTCAACCTATCCAACTTTCAGGCTTCAAGATACGTTTAAGCGGTGGATGATTACCATAAGATTCCTCCAAACCCAGAAAAACAGATGGGAATCTAGGATTTTGCCTTCGGCCAGACCTAGATTGTAGAGAAATTTTCATTTTTCTCATCTTCATTAGCCATTACATGAAAAAAAAAAAAAAATCCAAATGGAAGCAGATTTTGTTGTCCAAACCTAGGGCTCCCCTTGATATGCTGGTGATTTACGTAGATTGAAAGCTTTTATGGATGGCTCTGTACTTCTTTAAAGTGGGAAAATTGATTGGAAAAAGAACATGGATCGTTTATGAATGCAACACATGAAATGACTCTGATGGATCTGATGTCCAGAACCAGCTTAACATGATATAAATAATATGAATATTTTACCAAGGTTCAAGATTATTGACTGATGCATCATTCACTGGAATGTCATGCCAGAGAAGGTCCAATTGACAAAATTCTCAAGCGGAGGTGTGATGAGCATCAACTGAGGTTCAAGGAAGGCTATAGCTGCATGAAGAATTATACACTAAAATATATTTTAAAATTAATGCAATTCCTCATCTTCCCCTTCCCACCCACCTTACGTCATGTCCAATGGGGGGTCTTGAGCATCGTCGCCCAGATTTATTTATTTTTTCTTTCAGTTCAAAACCCACATACTTGATCAGGCTGATCGGATCCCACAGATTAATGGAATGATGTTCCTGAAGACTCCACATACCACGGTTGCTGGCCCCAATTCGTAGTCACACTTCTCTCTGAACACAGAGAAAGTGCTTTCAGATCACCAGATGGTTACGAAATCGGTAGAGACCCAGATTCCCGCGTTGACTTTGGAGGGAGTGTCCCAAATTCGGTAGAGACCCAAATCACCAACTTGGTCAACTGTTTGGAGAAAATAGGACGAAATGTTTCTCAGAAGAAGGGTGAAAGAAAGATTACCAGAGGAAGAAGGGGACGACAGCAGAGACCGTGGGGAGGACAGAGCTCTCCCGATGCTCCGGCACAGCAGGATTCCTCCTCCTCGCCACCTCAGCCTCCGGCGTGTCTCCTTCGACATCAGCCACTGCGACTACGCCGTTGGCAGAGCAATGCTCCAGTGAGGGGACGGTTCCCTGTGGGGAAGCCGGAGCAGCGATTGCAGCGAGCGGCGCGGCGTAATGGAAGAAGCGTGATGGAAGGTTCTGTCTGGGAAGGGAGAAGAGAGGCGATTGGGGACTTGACATCGTGGCCTGCTGGTAACGAATTGTCCCCATCACCAAGTTGGGCATCGGATACTCGTAATTTTACCACATGGAAAGCACCTTGCGCTGTTCTGGAAGGAAAAAAAGAGCGGAAGGGTTGAGACAGAGAGAGAGAGAGAGAGAGAGAGAGAGAGAGAGAGAGAGAGAGAGAGAGAGAGAGAGAGAGAGAGAGAGGGTGTCGGGTAATCTCCCCCCCCCTCTCTCTCTCTCTCTCTCCCCCTCCCTATTGATCTTTCTGTCCCTGGGCTACCTTTCGGCAAGGTTGCTGCCGGTAACTCATTGATCAAAACCCAGCACGCTCACCTCCCGGGTCCAAGTCATGTGGAGGCAATCATTCCGAGCCAACGGCGCTGCCCGCCGCCACCGTCGACTAGAAGCCTTCCTCCCACGTCACCTGCACATGGGTCTCTCTCTCTCTCTAGCGCAGCTGTCCCGACATGTTCTGCCCCATTCTTGTCTTCATACCGCCTCCGTTGTCTGTCAACAGGCCAGCTGGTTCCACCACCTTCTCCGCTCTCTCGCAGGCTCCATTATAGTTGACTGTTATGATGTTTTAGGGTTTACAGCAAATTGCCGTGGGATTGCTAGGAGGTTAACTGGACTCGTGACCTTGACATCTATTCGCTTACTCTTCAGACTACAAGACCCTGTGCGATGATGTGCAGCAGGCATGGCTGTTCTAGAGAATCCAGGATCACCTTGAAGCATCTCATCAGCATCTTTTCTTGCTGCTGCTGGTGGAACTAGAGCTAATCTAGGGTGCGTTGGATGGTCCTTGACTTCTCTAGACAAAGATATGGAAATGTACATATATGGAAATCTGTAGCTTTTCATACTATATATAACTACATATATGAGTGCAATCATTAGTACCACCAAATGTCCTTGGCTCTTTAATCATCTACTATCACAACTAGTTCGCCTTGTGTCATTGCATTCAAAGCCAAAGATATTTTCTTAAACATGATCTATAGTGTGTGCTAGGAACTTAATTTATGGCATTTCATCAAATCAAAATTTACTTGGAATGCTGCCACCGACAACCCACAAAGAATTAATGAAATTTAAAAGTCATAAGAATGTTTCAATCGATTTAGAAATGGGTTATGAAATTCTCATAATTTAATTTCATATTTTCTCAGAGTTATATTATTAATTGGGTTCAGATTTAAAAACCACTAAAGGAAGGGGTTGTCAATAGGAGTTGGACAAAGAAGTTAAGGCTGTTTTGCTTACACATTCTAATAAAAAAGGCCTAGAAATTGATACGAGATTTGCCATAAGTAAACATTGCTGATGATTGTTCCAATAACATTTTGGCATTGGAAAAATTATTGAATCATGGAAATCAATTAAAACATAGTGGCTAAATATATTTTGAATATCAAGAAGTATTGCATATGAGAAATTAATCAAATTTTGAATTATAGAAAATATGTAACCATATTTTCTAGCCCCTTTGACAAATAAGTAAAGGTAATTTCTTGGAATGAAGATAAAATAAATTAATCACGAAACTCAAAATTGAAGATTTAACTCAAATAATATATTTGTATTTTGATAACCTTCATTATACATTTAGAGCATACTACATTATCCTAAAAAAGAACTAACATCTCATACCAACCTTGTCGTTTTTGTCTTGTAGATTCCTCATTTTTTTTATTGAAAAAGAATGTGTGAAAATTTCAAACAAGATTACTATGAACATACAAAGTCAAGGGGTTTGATAGTAGCTACTTGGGAGATCTTGAGTCATTAACACTAAAGGGTTGGTGTAATTAGGGGTTCTTTCACTAGCATAATCTTGAGTGGATACATGCTCAAAATGTTTGATGGTAGCCAAAGGTAAGCATCTTCAGAAAAGTATATGTAAGTTGAAATGTAACAAAAAAATTATCAATTAGTAGGCATGCTTTCAATGAGTCAACTTCTTTACCTCTCTTAGTAGTTTTGGGGAGAAGCATAAAATAAATAGTTGGCCACCTAGTTCACCATTTATTTTGATTTATGTCATTGGGAATTAATACATGAGTATATATGTGATAAAATAAATATGTCATTGTATCCCATATTCCCAAATGCTTTGAACTTATTGTAATGTTAAGTATCGTCAATCATAATAAAGACTAACGGTCAATAAATTTAATGAATTTCCTCTCATTCATTTCTCTTTAAATAACTATGAAAAGGGATGCCATAAAGATATCTCAACAATTCAAAAGTAATTCTCAAGAGGCTTCATGAAAAAATGCAACTATTTGCCATCAAATCCATAATAAAATGTTTAATTTACCCCTATTTTAAATTATATTTTAATCTAAATTCTTGTATTCATGATTTTCTTACAATTCCCAATGTTAAAAAAATACAAGGTCTATTAGTTTTCAACATTAAAAATGGGATACTATTTTACTTTTCTTCCAATTTTCTTTAGATGGTGATTAGTCCTAAATTTGGACTACAAGAGAAAAAATAAGAGTAGCAGTGACAAAGTTTACCTGGCTGCTACAAAGGAAATAAAGTTGACCTTCTAAGTCAATTTTTATTTTTACATATTTATGTAATTATATGTGTGAATTACTTTTAGTGCATCGAGGCCTCCACCCTATGATGAGCAATGGCTCCCACCTAGATTAACATGTAATAATATTGAGTTCATGAAACTTGAATTGAACTTAAAAAGCACACTCCATACACTTAAAAAAGCACAAATCTAGAGTTTCATAAATGGAGTGAGGAAGACTACCTATTGATTAGATTGATGATAATCACACTAAGAAATATGAAATAGGATGCCAAGCTAGGTAGAGTTCAATGCATCATGGTCATATCTATAGTGATCCTAGTACATTGTTCTACACAAGTAATTTTTGCTTTCATGAAGCTCAAAATATTTAAAGTGAACTCTTGACTTCAAGTTAACACATTTTGCTACAATGAAAGGAGGAACAGATGGAGAAGAGGAATGAACTTTCCTCTATCTTGGTGGATAGGGGGAAGGAAGGGAGAAGCTACCTCAGATTTTGTGCCCTCTCCCATCCACTATATACTGGAGAGAACTTTACATAACCTTTCCCAAAATACCCTCAGTATACATGTTCCCATGATGACCATCATTATAGTGTTAGTTCCTTTAGACATTGTCATGATTCAAGCATCCTAATACATTTCCTTCTCATATATTTCAGCTTAAGCACAAAAAGTAAGAACACATAAAACTTGACTAGTCTTTTGATGTTAACAAAGTTTCATTGTCGATATTTTTTCTCTT